CTGCCTGATTATGACGATACTTACGCGTGATCGAACTCGCGAACAAGGCTGTTTCCCATTGGCTCTTTGAATGTAGCCTCAAACTCTTGTCTACAAATGTCCATTGCTGTATGGCAATGTCTACGGTGAATTTGGTTTTTGTATTTTCTTGAAGAACCAAGTAAAAATAAATTTTCGAATAAGCTGTTTTAATTATTTATACTGTTTGTGGTGAAATACATTTGTAAATAATAACATTTTATTGTAGAAGTTTTTAAATTTTAATATGAAAATTTTAGAAAAAGTTTACAAATTTAACATTTTAAAACATTTACGAGTTAACTTTTGAAAAATGTATTACACCGAGGTATAAACAAGAAATCAAGATGTTTGAAGATTCAGGATTCAGTTATTGCTTTTTGAGCATCCTTCATTAAGTTTTTTCATGCGCAGAACTGCTGTTGATTTTTCTTTTCTTCAGAAAAAAAAAGTCAAATAGTGAATATAACTTCTCTTTCTAAAAGAATTTAGTTTTTTTTTTAAATAAAGTCAGTCAAGTAAAATATTACATGGTTTTAAAAATGGAAAATTTGTAAATAATAAAATTTTAGGTCAGCGAATAGTAACAAACACAAGTTAAGCACGTGTCTAAATGAGCAATTCTCTTAAAGCCTTGTTGAACAAGTTTTCTGTTTAAATTCTATTGATAGTAGTTAAAGTAAAACACAATTTCTTGACATTGGATAAAAGACGTTTGATGATTAAGTTCAATACAATTTCTCGTTAAGTTTTTCAAACAAACTGAAGTGACATTAACACACCATGGAGCCGGTGAGTGTTGTGTTTATTAAGCTGTTTGTCTTATGTTTATATGTTGTTTACCTATTTTGTGTTTATTTAGCTGTTTACTATGTTTGTTGGTTATTGAATTCGGCAATAAAACTTAAATACTTTTTTAATCATTTCTAACATTCTCTCTTTAACACGGCATGTTAAAGATATATATATATATATATATATATATATATATATATATATATATATATATATATATATATATATATATATATATATATATATAGGTAGGTCTGTATCCATAAATAAGAGGTAGAGAGAGTAAAATAGGCACTCTCCATCGATCATTTGAGAACTATATTAAACGCTTATCCGATAGCTTAGATAACTAACAATTAGCGTCCTCTGTTTTCGATGTGTGTGTTTTACAGAGCCTTAATTTCTCTCTGTTTTTTTTTATAGTACTCTTTGGTCACAGCAGACAGTGAGTCAACCGCAAAAGAAGAAGAGGCCTTAAAACAGTTCAAGGAAAAAATTTCTGACCTAATAACCACACAGGATGATTACAGCCTCAAAAAATGGCTCAAAGGTAAACATTCGACACTAAGGCGCGATACAACATGAAGAAAATCTTTAGTACGAGCCGACCCGCGGCGTATCATACGCCGCTATTTAGTTGTTTTATTTTATACTTTTCAGTAATTTATAATTTGTGAATTCGACAGTACCAATGCTGCCACTGAACATATTTGCTTTAAAACACTAACCCCCCCCCCCCCTTTTCCCCTTACCCCCCCCCCCCCCCCCCCGTGAAAGCAGCCTCCTCTTAGTTACCACCTGTAATAAGTTTAAAATCGTTTCAAACTAAATTATCTGCCCCTAATAGCCGTCACTAAACCCGGCTCTACGATTTGTAAACATAAGCGTGACCACCACTCACCATACCATGTCAGGGTGGCGTGGGGGTGGGGGTGGTAGTGATAGTGATAGAGAGAAAGAGAGGGGACTGCAAGGATGCGTCTCCCAGAAGAGAATTCTATATATAGATGAGTAGATGCTGCAGGCATTAGCACAATAAAATACATGTCCTTATAGAAAGTATGAGGACGGAGTGGCCTAGCTTACCACGACCGCTAACCTTTGACTGGTAACCTGATAGTCTCGAGTTCGAATCCAGGTTAAAGTCAGTAGACCGTCCCTGAGTCCACCCAGCTCTGATGGATACCCTGCTCAATTCAGGGAAAGTCAAGGCGGCCGGCCATAGTGCTGACTACACCATCCAGTCATAATATTGGTCACTGAAACAGGTGAACTCTACTTCAGCCTCCCCCTCCTCGAACCATCATGTCCGAAAAAGGAACTACTTTTTATAAAAAGAAATTTCAGCATATTATAACCTAATAATACTATTTTAAAAATAGAATAAAGAAAACAACACTAACACTACGAATAGGAGCTGTGACTTCTTAGCCTAGTGCCTTGAGGCAACGAGCACTGGCCTAGATTTCGCCCCATACTTTTCTAATTGTATTGATTGTATTGATTGGCAATTTGTCCAGTAAAGCGACATCTGCAGATTGTCTACTTCAAAACTTAATCCCAGTTGGGTTGTTTAAATAAAGCGTGATATTTTAATTTAAGTTTCCAAAATTCATTTATAAAACAAAATATCGTAAAGGTTATTCACTTAACCTAAAATGTATTAACAGTTGTCAGTGTTATTGAAAGCTACCACTTTTAAGCTCCCATATTTGTCATTTGACATATAAAAGTAAAGTTAATTTTTTTTCAAGGGTATTGTAGTTGTCTTTCAGAAAATGATCATGCCTATTCGTCATTTCTTTTTTAACCTAATGTCAGGTACTCATACAGGCTGAGTGAGCTCATTAAGACAGAACTTAACCTACTTTCAGCAAAATAAGTTTAACCCAGTATCTCCTCTTAGAAAAGGCTAAATCATTAAACTAACAAGTTACATAATTTAAAAAAAAACCATTTACGATACATCAACTTATTATATTTGTCAATATTTATATTCTTCATACACCATCACATGGGCCTGTATATTTTCATTTTTTTTTTCAGCCAGAAACTATGACATCGCAAAAGCTGAAGCTATGTTTAGAACAGTATGTAGTTTCTTTTTTAGTCTTTCATATACAACATATAGTTTAAATCTTGAGACATGGGTTTATTTATAATTGTTCGGTGTTATGGAGATAAATTACTAGCAGTTATTGAGATGGCTGGGTTTTTTTTTTTAAATCTCAGGCACCGGTTTTTAAAATCATTTCTAAAGGATGGTTTAAATACAACTGTTGTATTTTGTCCGGAAGGGGGGAGGTAGTAATTCTTTGAGGCGACTCTTCCTGGAGGGGGGAACTGCCCACCCTCTTTGAGAGATGCATGAAAGAAACCCTGACCTAAACATGATTTGTCCAGACCGACACAGTACGACCTTTTCTTGCTAGTCCAAATTTTTTTTTTTTTTATAACAGAGCATGGCGTACAGAGATAAGATGAAGGTGGACACGCTGTTGACGGAGTATGATCCACCAGAGGTAAGGCCATCACATGTTTTAGCATGGTTAGACATATGAGGTATGATGCAGATAAAGCTATGTGTGGTTGCGGGAGACGGTTTTGGAGTTATGTACCTTGATGTAAATGATTATGTTGCGAATAAAATAGCGTCCTTTAAAAACAAAGACCACATGACACGATCCGAGACCACAGCTTTATATTAGCTTCAAATTGTCTAGCAAATAAACGTCAAGCTATACTCAACATAAAACTTGAATTTCACTTGACTTAATCCTTTCAGGTCACTTTGGAACTAAGTACTACAACTCCACTTTTCCAACCCGCTCAATAATGCGCCGCTCTCTTCAGTTGTTCCCATGTGAATCCGCAGATTTTGCTTCACTTTCTATCTCCCCTCCCCCACCCCCAGAGTTCTCCTGGTCTACTTACCTCACTTTCCTCCTGTACATAAGGAATATCCTAACCACTGTTTCTATTTCCCACAGTACATATATTAGAAAATTCAGATTAATGGTGTTTGCACTTTTTCCTTAAACTTTAATACATTTTCATATATATAAATATATATATATATATATATATATATATATATATATATATATATATATATATATATATATATATATATATATATATATATTGCAGGTACTCAAGAAGTACATGACGGGCGGACAGTGCGGCCATGATAAAGATGGCTCCCCAATCCGTGTGGAGCTGTTTGGTCAGCTGGACATGAAGGGGTTAATGTATTCAGCCAGGAAGGTCGACATGGAGAAGGTCAAACTGAAGCAATGTGAAGGTCATTTGAAAGATTGGCAGGAGATGTCACTCAAAGTATGATTTTTTTTATAAACGAGAGCGGTCTTTAAGTATAGTTTTTTTAAAGTATTGCGTTGACGGAAGTATAGTAGGCTGTTTATTTAAACTCATTGATAATTTAAAGTGTCTATAAATGTGTATTTATTATGTACATCATTAACATACGACGCAAATTAAGGAATACAATTTGTTACATGCAGGATCTTACAAATTTAAATTATATATAGGCCTATATATATATATATATATATATATATATATATATATATATATATATATATATATATATATATATATATATATATATATATATATACACATATATATCGATTTCTATAAAGTACACACACACACACATACATATATATATATATATATATATATATATATATATATATATATATATATATATATATATATATATATATATATATATTGCGATTTCTATAAAGTAGGTCTACGACGATCAAAACAATAAGTGGATGGTAAAGTAGGTTTAAATAAGTGAAAGAATATAAATTATTCCTTTAATATAAGAAAATATTGCTACTTTTTAAAGAAATGATTAAATTTTTGAAATGATGTTTAGTTGAACAGACGTGTGGACGGGCTTGTCGTCATCTTTGACATGGACGGCGTGTCGAGTAAAATGTTGTGGCGACCTGGTACGTTGAAACACTTAGTTTTTTACTTACAACATGCCGCTTTGTTCAGCTTGTACATAACGATTCCTCCGCCCCTTAACTACATCGCAACATCTCTTAAGCTTAACTGTTTCAACAGCTCGAACAGTGTTTCTTCCAGACGTTTTTTTCCGGGGAGGCACTTGATATTTTCGGAGGAGGGAGGGGGGCGGAGTAAATTTTCCTGGGGGGCGGGCACTGATAAAAGTATATATTTTCTGTATAAAATTCCATTTTGTTCAGGGGGGGGGGGGCAGAAGACTTTCTTCTGGAGGGGGGCTCCTGGAAGAAACTCTGAGCTCGAAATGTGATAGCTGTCTCAAAACAAATTCGTGAGATTTAAAGTTTTAAAACCTTGTTGAGCTCAAGACCAACAATAAACATATCGATGTAGCTGATTAACTTTAATTTTATCATCCGGACACAAAATGCTGATTTACTTGGCCTTATAACCATGTTCATTTGATTTCCCCCCCCCCCCCCCCTTAGCTTTATTGAATTCACGTAACCTCGACTGTATTATTCAACTCCTGGTCAACCTGTTAATTTTTTTCACCTGTTATATTTAACCTCTGGCCTACAAATGTACCCAAGGACGTCGCGATGGGGGAAGGGGAGTGGGGTGCGCACCACACCGGGTGACACCATTTAGGGGGATGACACCAAGGCAAAAAATTGCAATATATATACAGAAAATGATAATTTCACTTAATTAAATGATTAATTAGAGTGAATTAAATTAAAACATTCTACATCCAGCTGTATTTATAACCGAACATAGATAAAAATCATTAGTATTATCTGAGCACAGTTTAAAGGGTGGGTGGGGGTGACGGGAGGGGATGGGAGTTACCTCAACTCAACGTTGCAAAATATACCTGAGGAAAACGGTTTGGTTGAGAATCGTAATAACTTATGTGTTAATCCATGTATGGGAAGGGGGGAGCAAAAACATAAATACATCCAGAAGAATACACACACACACATATATATTTTTTTCTTACGGGGGGGGGGGGGTGACAGCATTAGGTGCCTCGCATCGGGTGACAACCGACCTCGCCACTCCACTGTGTACCTGTAAATTTTCTCACCTGTTATATTTAACCTACAGGCCTACCAATGTCCCTGTTAATTTTTACACCTATTTAACCCCAGGCTTACAAATGTACCTGCACCTAGTAAGAGTACTAGAAGACAACTACCCTGAGATGCTCAAGCGAATGTTCGTCATTAACGGTAACGTTTTTCTTCCTCTACTAGCAAGCAACCACCTTACATACGGCTGTCTATCAAACCATAACATATTGTAACTATCATAAACGTTGTGAAATTCATGTACAGGCATTTTTATTCCTCACTCTACATAGCCGTTCGTAATTTTTAGTTTTAAATATTTTGATCGTGTTTGATTATAAATGTAGCGTGTGAGTAAAATAAAAAAAAACACACACAAAAATAGAATTTGTTTTCTATATAAAAAAAAAACTATTAAAGTTTTTTTTATTCTATTTTTAGCCCCTCGGATTTTCCCGCTGCTGTATAAAATATGCCGTCCTCTGATCAGCCAAGACACAAAAGACAAAATACACGTCCTGGGGTGTGAGTGTTATGATAACAAATTATGATAACAAATTGTGATAACAAATTAGGATAACAAATTATTATAACGAATTATGACAACAAAATTATGATAAAAAATTACGATAAATAATTATGATAAATAATTATGATAAATAATTATGATAAATAATTTTGATAGCGAGTTATGATAACAAATTGTAATAACAAATTATCATAATAAATCAGCCATTGTCATTTGGAGGTCGTCCATTAAGGGCCTCACATCCAGTTACGATGTGTGCCTTCACAGAAATCCGATTCTACTTAGCCAGACTTAGCCCCAGGGGCTTAGCGAGGGGGGGGGGGGGGCAGGGGGTTCGGACCGCACCTGGTGACACCATTTAGGGGGGTGACACCAAGGCAAAAAATAGCAAAATATATAGAGAAAAACTTGAGGGGGGGGGGGTGCAAATCGAAAGTTTGAGGGGGGTGCAAATCGAAAATTTGAGGGGGGGTGCAAATCGAAAATTTGAAAGTTTGTTCCCGGGAAAGGTCGTTACGCCTCTGGGGGGGGGGGTGTGAAACCATTAAGTGCCGCACCGGGTGACACCCGACCTCGCTACGCCACTGCTTAGCCATCCCCCCCACTTCCTCATGTGTGAAAAGTTTTTTGTGGACTACGCCGTTAAATTTAAGACTATCTGACTGAGAGCTAGATTTATGCCGGCTACAGGACATTACCCCCCTGGATATTTCCCCCCGGACATTCCCCCCCCCCCGTATTTACCCCCCCGGAGCAATTACCCCGCTGTCAATTACCCCCTGTCAATTACCCCCCCCCCCGGGGGGAACTACCCCCCCCTCTCTAAATAGAATTGTATACCTATATACTACTTTAATCCAAACCGTAAGAAAAAGACCAAAACCTAAGCATCCACCTTAGCCTAAAACTTCACACAAAACCAAAACCAAAGCTAGACGAAACCCTAACCCTAACACTAGCTCTAACCCTAGCCCTAGCCCTAATCCTAATCCTAATTATAACCTTAACTCTAACCCTAGCCCTAATCCTAATCCTAATCCTAACCCTAACCCTAGCCCTAACCCTAACCCTAAACCTAGCCCTAACCCTAACCCTAGCCCTAACCCTAACCCTAACCCTAACCCTAACCCTAACCCTAACCCTAACCCTAACCCTAACCCTAACCCTAACCCTAACCCTAACCCTAACCCTAACCCTAGCCCTAGCCCTAGCCCTAGCCCTAAACCTAACCCTCAACCTAGCCCTAACCCTAACTCTAACCCTGTCCGGGGGGGGGGGGGGTAATGTCCTACTGGGCGGGGGGTAATTGACAGGGGGGGGGGTAATTACTCTGGGGGGTAATTTCGGGGGGGGGGGGGAATATCCGGGGGGTAATTGACAGGGGGGGAAATGCCCTGTTCCCGTTTATGCCAAGGGGTTGTCATTCAGCAATATAATTTTTTTTAAATAAAAGAAAAACAATTCTTTTGACTACAACAGACATTTTAAGTAAAGGTTTGGAGACCAATTTAGGCATGGTATGATTAGGCCATTGTCGTTTTAGCAGTCTAAAATTAAATTACACGTTTCCCACCAGCGGACTATGCAACAACTCTACTCAAATACATCGACGCTGAAGAGTTACCGGCCTTTTTGGGTGGCAAAAAAACGGATCCAGACGGTAACCCAAGATGCGCAACTCTTGTAAGTCACTCTCGAACAAGATTTAGGACAGGCGTTTAATTAGATTGTTTCTTGTGGGGCTGTTGTCGTTTTTTAATAAAATAAATAACGCACTATAGAGACTATAGAAAACACCAAGCTGTAAGCGCGCTCCCTACCACCCCCACCCCTACATGGTCTGGTGAGCTGTGGTTCACGCTAAATGTTTACAATCGTAGAGCCGGGTTAGTGACGACTATTAGGGGCAGATAATTTAGTTTGAAACTATTTTAAACTTAGGGGCGGTAACTAAGAGGAGTTTACCTTCGGGGGGGGGGGGGTGGTTAGGGGGTTGGGGAAAAGAGTGGGGGTAATCTTCCTTAACAAGCTAATGATAGTGTTTTAAAGCAAATATTTTCAGTGGCAGCGTTGGGACTGTCGAATTCACAAATTATGAATTACTGAAAAGTAGAGGATAAAATAACTAAATAGCGGCGTATAAAACGCCGCGGGTCGGCTCGTATTCTTTATTTCACCAAGGTTTGCTGATTACGTAATTTTTTATGCTAATTTTAATATCTAAATTGGATGTGTAGATTGAACTGATTTTTTTTTGTATGTGTAATTTGGGAATATTTGTACAGGTAAACGTTAGATATTGCCATTGTTATATTATAGTACACATTTTACAAAAATTGTTTGTGTATGTGTTTTATTTTCTGATGTTGCTATGCCAACCCCCCCCCCCCCCCTCATCCAAATGAGATCTCAACTGTGTTGTGTTCCCCACCTCTCGCCCTCTCCCAGTAACAGAGTTTCTTCCATGCATCTGTTCATATCTCCCCCCCCCCCCCCCCCCCCGAAAAAAAGTCTACTGCCCCCCCCCCCCCCCCTCGAACGAAATGGAATTTATATAGAAAACATATACTTTTACCAGTGTCCGCCCCCGGAAAATATCGTCCGTCCACCCCCCCTCCCGAAAATATCAAGTCCCTCCCCCCTCCCGGAGAAAAAAATCTGGAAGAAACACTGCCCTGTAGAGATATACCACTGATTATTTTATTGGTTTCACTAGATATGCCAAGGGGGACAAGTCCCAGAAGAATTTTACCTCAAGGAGACGGAGAGCTCCGAGCAGATGGAGAACGTCACAGTGGCCAGGGGAGAGAAGTTCACCGTTGATATGGAGGTCACCAAGCCAGGAAGTGTTTTAAGGTGGGGATCGCTATCAAACAGTGTAGATCGGTCTCCAATCCGCCCTCGTGTCAGTCGCTAGATCACATTATAGTTTCTGCCTTCTATCTTCAGATGGGAATTCACATAATATGTTTTTGACTTCTATTTTTAGAGGGGACTTCACATAATCTGTTTCTGCCTTCTATGCTTTAGATGGGAATTCACACAATCTGTTTCTGCTGTCTATCGTCTAGCTCACACCATCTGTTTCTGTTGTCTATCGGCAAGTAGCTCACACCATCTGTTCCTGCCTTCTGTCGTCTGCTGAGAGTTAATATAATCTACTTCTGCCTTCTGTCGTCTGCTGAGAGTTAACATAATCTACTTCTGCCTTCTGTCGTCTGCTGAGAGTTAATATAATCTACTTCTGTCGTCTGCTGAGAGTTAACATAATCTACTTCTGTCTTCTGTCGTCTGCTTAGAGTTAACATAATCTACTTCTGTCGGCTGCTGAGGGTTAATATAATCTACTTCTGCCTTCTGTCGTCTGCTGAGAGTTCACATAATCTACTTCTGCCTTATGTCGTCTGCTGAGAGTTAATATAATCTACTTCTGCCTTCTGTCGTCTGCTGAGAGTTCACATAATCTACTTCTGCCTTATGTCGTCTGCTGAGAGTTAACATAATCTACTTCTGTCGTCTGCTGAGAGTTCACATAATCTACTTCTGCCTTCTGTCGTCTGCTGAGAGCTCACATAATCTACTTCTGCTCTCTGTCGTCTGCTGAGAGTTCACACAATCTACTTCTGCCCTCTGTCGTCAGATGGGAGTTCAAGACGGACGGCTACGACATCGGCTTCGGCGTGTTCCGTCAGGACGGGGACGAGAAGGTGGCGGTGGTGCCTGTTGAGAGGGTCAACAGTCACATGGTTCCCGAGGACGGCAGCTACAGCTGTGACGTCACCGGAACATGTATGCCCTTTTTTTTGTCTTCGACTTTTTATTTTATAAAAACCTCTGCTGTAAACATAACATTTAAATCAATCATGATTTTTTTTTTTGCTTTAGCTTAATTGCTGGAATAAATTAAATTAAGTGTTGTTTTTTTTTTCTCTGCATTGTGCAACTAATCAGACTAACATTAACATGCGAATTTTTTAATGCAACGTTTGAGTTTGAACTGGGCTCACAGAAAGCCTTTGACACTCATAGATGAATACATTGTTATTGACGTCTATGAAACAACCTTTTGTTGTCATTTAGCCTGTACACACAGATAATTCCTACGTCCTTTGTTTATAATGCCGTTATGTTTTGATTATTTTGAAATTTATATTTTAAATAATCACAATTATCTGCATAATTTTAAAATCAAATTTAGGGTCTTAGATTTTACGTGTTATTTCCGTGTATAATAATGTAAGGCGGCGTCCATTAATGATGTCGAGCTTTTTCAACATCCACATTTTTATCTCATGGTGTCACATTATAAGTTAGCATAATGAAAACAAATTAATCTATTCATTAAGGTATACATTATTTTGTTAATTTTTACATGTTTAAAAATGAAAATAATAGACATACCATACTTAATGTATTTCATACTTTTGTTAGTTTTCGGTTTTTAGACGAGCTAAAAAATGTAACCAATACAAATGTTTCTATTTACGTAGTATTCAAATGCAAATATTTGCTGTGATAGTTTTTTTTTTTTTTAAAACATAGTCCCATTTACTAAATTCACAGACGTTTACAAACCACATTACACTTTACGACCCCAAATATACCTCATTCATGGAAGCCGCTAAATAATTTAAAACATTTTGGGTGTTTCGGTTTAGAAATAAATAAAAAAACCTATCCAGTGGTGCCTACATATCAGTATCACCCCTCTGCACCCCGCCTGGTGACGCCATATTTAACTGAACCAACTTGAACCCCGAAATCCTGTCTAAAAATATCTTTTGTTATCGGCTACCAGATACGGTACTGTTCGACAACTCCTTCAGCAAAATTCGAGACAAACGATTGGCTTACTTCGTTGACGTCATGTCCGCTGATGAGTCGTATGCAGACGAGATGTTTTCTGGCGAGGGCAGGCCGGCGAAACGGGGAAAACAAAAACATTAACGACGAGCTTTTTGGCCAGGAGAAATGAGCGAAACAAATAAAAACTTGACGATAGTAAGCTGATAATATTAAAGTTGCTTCTAGGAATATTCGGTTCTAGTATGTTCTCGGGTAGGGCTGTTCAACTCTTGTTTTTCCCAATGGTATTGCTAACAGTGGGGTTGATGTACTTGACCAGAGGAGGGCAGGTCAGAGTTTCTTCCAGGCATTTCTTCGGGGGGGGGGGGGGAGGGGGGGGGAAGGGGGGAGGGGAGGGGGGTCCGCCTGTTCGAAGAGAGTCTACCGCCCCCCCCCCCCGAATGAAATGGAATTTATATAGAAAATACATAATTTTAACAGTGTCCGACCCCCCCCCCCCCCTCCGGAAATTTTAGACCCCCCCCCCCCCCGGAGAAAAAAAGTCTGGAAGAATCACTTATCCAGGTTCGAATCCTGATCAAACACCGCATAGTTATACAGCCAGTGGCGTAGCTACACATCTCGGCGCCTGGGAGTGGGGAGGGGTGGGTGGGGTTGATCAATATTTCTAGAGTTTTAGAGCAAGGCGGCTTCCGTAAATGTGGTCATGTTTTACCACAAACTGACATCACGCCTTTTACTGTAACAACACAGAGCTTCACAACTAACTGGAAAACAATAACACATGTAACTTTTAACCCTTACCATAACACTAACCCCTTAACCATAACACTAACTCCCTAACCATAACCCCTTAACCATAACACTAACCCCTAACCATAACCCCTAACCATAACTAAATCTCTTAGATAAAATACTGCTGTCATTAGCTATACATAAATACGTGATCATATACAGCCATATTGGTATAGTATTTTACCTTACTAATTCGCTAATTTTGAAGCGATTCTGTGATCATTTGATTTCGTAAAACAAAGACAATGTCACATTTCCAGCAGCCGCACAACCGTTACTGCTTTCCATATGCTATACGCCCCACGCAACTTTTTTTAATATTAATATTTAAGCAGAGTTTCTTTCAGACAAATCTTTTATTTTTGGTGGTGGTGTGGGAGGGGGGGGGGTAGGGGGGGGGGGCATTGATTGCCCTCGGGGCGAATTAAAAAATATATAATTTATACAGAAAAAATTACTTTGACCAGTGTCCGATCCCCCCCAACTCACCCCCGTAAATTTAAATGTGCCCCCCCCCCCCCCTGAAGGTTTTATAGTATCCTTCCCCTTCCCTCTTTACCGGAGAAAGATGTCTAAAAAAACACTATATTAATAATATATAAGGGTCGATAAAACCTATGCGAACTCGGTCTTAAAGAGTCCTCCCATGGTTCATGGTTCTGGAAAGAGTAGATACGCCACTGGCTAACAATAACGTTATCTTAAAATGGAATATTTGCTAATGTGTATTTTAAAATTAAATATTTCCTAACGTTATCTTAAAATTTAATATTTCCTAACGTTAATTTTAAAATTGGATATTTCCTAGTTATCTTAAAATTGACTATTTCTAACGTGCGTCTTAAAATTAAATGATTCCTAACTTTATCTTAAAATTTAATATTTCATAACGTGTATCATACAATAGAAATTCCCCTGTAGTTTAAATTTAATATTTGCTAACGTTATCTCAGAGGCGTAGCGAGGGGGGGGGGGGGGGCGTGCGGACCGCACCGGGTGACACAAATTAGGGGGGGGGGGGTGACACCAAGGCAAAAAATAGTAAAAATAGAGACAAATTTGAGGGGGGTGCAAATCGAAAGTTTGAGGGGGCGGGGGTGCAAATCGGAAATTGAAAGTTTGTCCCCAAGAAGAGTCGCTACGCCCCTGGGGGGGTGACACCATTAAGTGCCGCAACGGGTGACACCCGACCTCGCTACGCCACTGCGTTATCTTGAAACGTTCTATTTCCTTTAATTATTTTTTTTGTTTCCTTTAAATGCAATTGAATTAACCCATGATCAATCTTTAAAGATAAAATCAGTTGACATGTGTTATTTCCCTGTTCTCTAGATACTGTAGTGTTTGACAACAGCTTCAGCTGGGCACGCGACAAGACCGTGCAGTACGTCCTTGAGATCATCCAACCAATCGACAACAGCGTAGAGTCGGAGCTGAAGAACATGGTGGACAACATGGGCACGTGGGAGGACATTCAGAAGGGAAGCAACGAGGAGAGCGTCCTCTCGACCAAGATGTAACCATGGCAACGGATGCAAATTTTAGTCTTGTGTTTGACTTTAATTTTAAGTTAAATAATTTATAGAATTTTTGTTTTGATATCAATTCATATATGGGGTCGTCCTTAAATGACGTTTAACTCCTTGTTAAGGAAGGTTGTGTGATTTTGGACTTCTGTAAAGATATGTGACTACGAAATCGGGTTTAAAAAGTGTGACGCTGCACTTATTTTATAATTTAAGGGAAAAAAAATCAGCGTTTATGGACGATCCCTTACTGTTTTGGTAATATTGAATATTGTTTCTTTAGTGTACCTAAAGTATAATAGACTTTAGTTGTTGTTTTTACTTTCTCGTATATACGTAGTATAGAGAAAGTATTGTAATCGTGCAAAAAAAAAAAATCGAGATTTTTACAAATCTCGACGTTTTACACCTCACTGATACGGAAAAACATAATTTTGCAATCTTGTCCGTATGTCTGTGTGTGTGTGTGTCTGTCTGTCTGTCTGTCTGTCCGTGTGTAAACACGATAACTTAAGTACCGTTACAGCTAGGTTGATGAAATTTCATATATAAGTATTTTATCAAAATCGTAGATCCGTATCAACTTTTGAGCGATTTCCGATAACCGGAAGTGGTACTTTTCCTACTTTGAATTTTTTAAAAGCCTATAACTTGAGTACTATTTCAGATAGATAAATGAAATTTCACATGTAAGTAAAAGATCTAATTCTCTACCTTCTGTTAAATTTTGAGTAATTTCCGTTGACTGGAAGTAGTAATTTACGCTACTTCCGATTTCTCAAAAAACTAATGTAAATTTTTAAAGTACTAATAATATTGCGCACTATTATACGCGTTTTTATTCGGCGTTTGCTTGGTGCGCAATGTTTTTTTTATGAGATTCTATTCTATTTTTAAAAGTTTAAGTATTTAAAATGGATTAAAAATCATAACTATATCCCCAGTTACCATCCCCTGTTGTTTTATATAAGAATATTCGAGAAAGTTTAGGGGAGATCACTACCGGTTTATTTTAAATTAATTTTTATTAAAACTAAAAGTGTAAAAATCAAGATTTTGAAAATGAACTTTGAAGTTATAATTTGAAGCTACCGTTCGACAAGAAGATTGTGGAATAAATTAAGGTTTAATGGACGATCCCTTACTGTTTTGGTATTATTAAGTATTGTTTCTTTAGTGTACCTAAAGTATAATAGACTTTTGTTGTGATTTTTTAAAATTAATTTTTATTAAAACTAAAAATGTAAAAATCAAGATTTTGAAAATGAACTTTAAAGTTATAATTTGAATCTACTTTTCGACAAGACCACTCTAGTAACAGATATACAGAAACTATTTTGTCATTTTGTTAATATAACACTAATTGTACTTGTCAATTAATATAAGGTATACAGTGGTGTAAACTCTGAAATCTGCCATGCAAAATATATTATTCATTTTGCTGGGAAAAGTCTGTTAGAGAAAGTCTGCTATAAGAAAGTCTGTCATGCGATGACTATGATAGGAAGTCTTTTCTAAAAATAAATAATAAATCTGTTGTAAAAGTTTTGTCGTCTGAAGTCTTATGGGAAGTCTGTTTTGTGACGTATACCGTGTAGTGTGTAATGGGAACTCTGCTATTGAAAGTCTGTTATAGGAAATCAGCATTGGGAAGAATACTGTTTTGTATGCAATGAAAAGTCTGCCAAAGAGTCTGCTATGTAGTATGCCATGAGTAGTCTCCCTATTTCCTGTTGAACTTGTATGATGTCTCTAACAACAAGAGTCGATAAAATGTTATTATATTGTCGACCAAATGATATTATATTGTCGACCAAATGATATTATATTGTCGACCAAATGATATTATATTGTCGACCAAATTATATTATATTGTCGACCAAATGATAGTATATTGTCTACCAAATTATATTGTCGACCAAATGATATTATATTGTCGACCAAATATTATATTGTCGACTAAATATTATCTTATCGACCAAATGATATGTTGTGTTTATCTACGCACCTATCTTAAGCTTTGTCTTAACTACAGTGTAATCTCAATTTAATTAATATCATTTGAACTAACTTTTATCAATAAAACTTAATGAATTCTTCAAGATTTTGAGGGTTAATGTTCTATTGTATATAGACACACACACACACGTTTATATATATATATATATTTATTTATTTATAATTGTGTGCCGATATATATATATACATATATATATATATATATATATCTATATATATATCTATATCTATATATATATATATATATATATATATATATATATATATATATATATATATATATATATATATATATATATATATATATATATATCGACACACAATTATTTTTTGTTAATTTCTACAACGTGCTGTATCGAACAATAAGAAATGTTTTTTATAACTGATCATAAGACAACAAACTGCTTTGACAAAAATTATTTCAGTTTTTTTATAACATACCCTACAATAAGTATAAGCGTGAGTTAAATAGAACTTAAGGCAATGGCTAATCCTATTCTGTTGGGAAAAGTTTAAATCTATTTCTTCCCAACTTGAACTTTTTGTCTAATACTAAACCATTCAATGCCCAACTACCAGCAACAAGTAATTCTACTTGCAGGATCCTTCCCTCTTCGGGAACAGTATTTCTTCCAGACTTTTTTCTCCGGGGGGGGGGGGGGCGGTCACTGGTAAAATTATGTTTTCTATATAAATCCAACTTGTTCGGGGGGGGGGGGCGGTACACTCGAAGAAACTCTGTTCGGTAACTGCGTGGAAATAATGGCGTCTAGTGTTATAGGAATGAGCGGAGGAATAACTTTGAATAAGTGCCCCCTCCCTCGCCTGTGTCTGCATACCTCCAGCGTTTCTTCCAGACTTTTTTCTCTGGGGGGGGGGGGGGGGGCGGACTAAAATTCCCGAGGGGGCGGACATTGTTAAAAGAATACATTTTCTATATAAATACCATTTCGTTCGGGGGAAGGGGGGGGTGGTAGACTTTCTTCGGGGCGGCTGCGCCCCACCACCCCCCCCCCCTCCACCCCGAAGAAACTCTGCATACCTCCCCGTCTGGTATGGCCACTAGCTTTAGTTTACCCCGTTGTTAAGCAAGGCCCCTCTCGGGTGATAACCAGACTATATATACTACACCGTGATATTTATTCCACTAACTTTATAAACAATGAAGATTAAAAAGGCATTTTATTTTGAAATTTAAAACAGAAAAATATGTTTTATATACATTTAATTTTTCTATAACTATAAATGCAAAAAAAAAATGACCCCGAATTATTTATTTTCAAGCTATGAATAGATTTTGATGATAGCAGGAGTTGCATGTCGGGTACAAAGAAAGGACTGTGTGAGGGTTTAGCAGATATGATTAGAGAATTATTATCTTGTAACTTAATCAGTAGGAACGTTATAAGATGGCGGTGATGGTGATATACAGATGTCTGTTCTTCTTTGACTGAAAAACTCCCAGTTTTACTTTTTGGAATAACAACAACGCCTATATCATTGGCCGAACTGCTTCCTTTTTGAGGACGAAGGTAGTTAGCATGAGGCTCCAATTGAAGCCGGCCCCGTACACACTGAAGCCGGTCCAGTACACATTGAAGCCGGTCCAGTACACATTTAAGCCGCTCCAGTACACACTGAAGCCGGTCCAGTACACATTTAAGCCGGTCCAGTACACATTGAAAGCGGTCCCGTATACACTGAAGCCGGTCCAGTACACATTTAAGCCGGTCCCGTATACACTGAAGCCGGTCCAGTACACATTTAAGCCGGTCCTGTATACACTGAAACCAGTCCAGTACACACTGAAGCCGAGTGTCACTAAGTAATTTCATTACTAGGTTTAGTAAGTTGGAACTTTCTGAATTCAGTACCAGGTTTAGTAGGTTGGAACTTTCTGAATTCAGTACCAGGTTTAGTAGGTTGGAACTTTCTGAATTCAGTACCAGGTTTAGTAGGTTGGCATCTTGTGCTTCCATTACCCAGTTCAGCAGCAACTGAAGGTTTAGAACCTGCTTTAGAGGTTTCATTTCTTCTGGAATGTTCGGAGATATTGGTGGCCCGGCTACATTCAAGCCATTCTGAGAGAGAAAAGAGGATGTGTATACGTCACAGCACACACAAAGAGTATAGAAAGTTCTCTTTCGAACCTGACGGTCCGTGGGGGGGGGGGGGGGCGGGCGCAGGTGAAGTAGAGTTCACCTGATTATGTGTCCTTCGCATAAGCCCAGCCGCCTTTACTCTCCCTAATGTGAGCCAGGTACCCATTAGAGCTGGGTGTACTCAGGCAACTTCTACCCGAGATTTTTGGGTTTAGCTTTCATTTGGTCTACAATTCGACCATGCCCAAATGTACATGAACTTTCTGTAGTGCCCAAATGTACATGGACTTTCTGTAGTGCCCAAATGTACATGGACTTTCTGTAGTGCCCAAATGTACATGGACTTTCTGTAGTGCCCAAATGTACATGGACTTTCTGTAGTGCCCAAATGTACATGAACTTTTTGTAGTGCCCAAATGTACATGAACTTTTTGTAGTGCCCGAATGTACATGAACTTTTTGTAGTGCCCAAATGTACATGAACTTTTTGTAGTGCCCAAATGTACATGAACTTTTTGTAGTGCCCAAATGTACATGAACTTTTTGTAGTGCCCAAATGTACATGAACTTTTTGTAGTGCCCAAATGTACATGAACTTTTTGTAGTGCCCAAATGTACATGAACTTTTTGTAGTGCCCAAATGTACATGAACTTTTTGTAGTGCCCAAATGTACATGAACTTTTTGTAGTGCCCAAATGTACATGAACTTTTTGTAGTGCCCAAATGTACATGGACTTTTTGTAGTGCCCAAATGCACATGAACTTTTTGTAGTGCCCAAATGTACATGAACTTTTTGTAGTGCCCAAATGTACATGAACTTTTTGCCCAAAGTACCCACATTTTATCGACCTAACCATAGTGCTCACCATCTTATAGTCACCCTTCGATAGGGTCAAACTCAACTTAGCTATTCCAATAATGGCGCCACGCTTTTGAATCTTTCGCTTTAGTTGGCCAAAAGTCGAAAATCACTTTCAAAATTACTCATGTGTGAAATAGACGACCCTTGGGTCATCTTTATGAGAAAAAAATATTAATTAGCTAATGAGTATTTAATTTTCAAATTTCCACTAGTACAAGACTGGTCTCATAAGACAAAAAAAAAAGCACCAAAAGAAAACAAATGAAATGGTAGGTTTTTTTTTATACCACAACCTTTGTATTAAAAATATGACATAGAAATGTACCAAAATAAAATGGGTGAGACTGAATGGCTCCAAGAAGAAAATTATATGATTAGGTGAATGTTTTTAGTGTGAACATTTTAAAATCTTATCAGGGAAATCAACTGAAAATATTCACCTCTTTACTAATTAATATATTAATTAATTTTAAAATAAACAAATTAACAAATTTACTTTAGCACAAAATGTGAGGATTAATTGATTTTAATAAACTATTCAATGTTATTAGGTAATAATTACAAGTAAAACAATTTCCAATCAAAATAAACGAAGTGCATATTTTATTGCAAACTACTGCATATGACTATGTATAGATTAAGAAAAAATATAAATTAATGTATACATACAGTGTAAAGGGATGAACTAATATGATTAGAGTAAAACAAAAAAAAATAGATATTCATTCAAGTAAGCACTTTTTGCTAAAATAATCACTAAGCAAGCAGTGTTTCTTCCAGACTTTTTTCTCGGGGGAGGGGGGGCATTGATATTTTCAGAGGGGGGGGGGGCGTTAGATGCCTGGAAGAAACTCTGTAAGCAATGCAGCAAGTAGCTTTCACTATTACAAAGATTTTAACACAAATGTTGAAAACACAAAATTAAACTTTTAAAAAACCAATATGCCCTCTGAAGCTATGTGTTTATTTTTTGTGGCTTTTTAATGTTAACCTTTTTTTTTCTCTTCATTCTTAATATCCAAAATCTTTTAACGATATTCACGTATATTTGAAAAACATTGATTTAAAAGAAAACATAGCAGTTTTCTTGATTGCTAGTTAATCCCCAAAACAGAAAAGCCTATGCAATAATTTGAAAATATCTTATATTATTCTTTCAAAAAAACTAAATTGATTAATGCAACAAATCCTGCTTCTCTTATTCAATGTTTATTTACACTATACAAGACCATGAGATCATACCAGTATGTTATTTGACATAATGCTTAGTCCTGAAGGAGGGATCTTTGTGCTTTTCTTTTAATAAAACTACCTCAAAAAATAAATTGTGTATACTCAAAATCAAATTGTAATAAAATGTTAAAATAAAAATCATTGTATCAAACTCATGGTTCCCATGGGGGTTGGGGGGTGTGCATTCAAACTGATGAAAGTAACTAGTTAGATTCTAAAAAAAAAAAATGTTTATTACTCCTATTAGATAATAGCACCTTTAAACATTGATTCAATTTTGATATTGTGAATGTGTTCAAGAGCAAGCCTAGTCAGCATAATAATAGAATTTTTTTTTTTATAAAAATGAAAGGACTAACACCAAACATATGCACAAGCTACTTGTAATAAACATTTGTTCTGGCACACCCAATGTGGCTTTGTATTTAAAAATAGACGCATGGTTAAGCACAGCGATGTGACAAAAGCATTCAACAATAAGGAAACTTTACATTTTATTTTGCATCCATTTTTATCATCGTTTTAAAACTGGACTATCAGAAAACTTTTACAGACTAAAACAATTTTGAGTTCTGAACTTTCCTGAAAGTGAAATTTCATTTTAATTAAAATTCCCTCTTATTTCCCATTTACCAAACTTTGTGGGAACATGGTTTTAGCTAATGATTTGTTCTTACAAGTGTAGTAATTTGTTGATATAATGATTTTTTTTAATTAAAAAAAAAATTATATATACAATAAATCATCTGAATTTGACTACAAAAAAAAAAAAGATTTAATGAAGAACCTTGTAATGCAAGCTATGCAGTGAACTAGTCAGCACATGCATTGATTAAGGTTGTTGACCTCAATGAACATTAAAAAACATGGGCAATTAATCCAACAAAACAAAGCAGGTTAAATCATTTCAATTTTACATAAAGTTTAAAGAATTTCAACTGTACATGTGATATATTTATAACTCCTGAGGTATTAAAGATTTCTTCTGCAAAAGTGAGAAAATTATATGAGATTGTCTTGTAGATTTGCAAGTCTTGTAATCAATAAACAAATTTTTTTTTTAATTACAGAAGATAAATTTTAGATAATTGTCTCCAGAAATCAAGAGTCATCGCATCAGCCTAATTTAAATGCTGATGATCCCTTGAGCATGTGCTCGAAGAATGCGGTGTTTGTAGTTTCTAGAAAACCTGATGCAGTCCTCCTGTGTGATGGCTGGGATGTCCGTCAAAGCCAGATAGCTCAGCTCCCTGCACATGGCCAGAGAGTCCAGGCAGCGTTCAGTTAACTGTACACACTTGACCAATCGAATTTCCCGCAGATGACAAGGGCCGCCCAGCTGCACTAGAGCACGGATGCCGCGGTCTGTGACTCGCATGCAGCAGGTAAGATCCAGCGCCATCAGCTTAGGCAGGTGAGTGGCGATGACTTCAAGGCTTTGATCGTTGATGTCCGTGCCGGTAAGGCTGAGTCTCTCAAGACGAGAGAGGCGAGAGATGTTGCGCTGGCCAGGCTTGAGGTTGACTGGCGGCGAGGCCAGTTCCCTGAAGCACAGGTCCCTGATGCCTGTAGCCCAGCTCAGGTTGAGCGACCGAAGCAGCGGGCAGTCGGACGAGCACAGGGCACAGATTGAAGCCCACGAAAGGTTGGACAGGTCAAGGTGACGCAAACCAGGCAACCTGGCAATGAGCCAGGACAACTGCGCGTACGAAATAACAGATGAGGCCAGCTTGAGGGAACGAGGTTGCCGAAGCATTGTACCTTTGAGATGTACTTGTTTAATACTTTTGCGGGAAAGGTTGATTTGGTACCATAGAGATGGATCCAGTGCCCAGCAGTCAAAAGTCCTGCAGACAGCAGACAAAGTGACTAGATCTGACTGGGGAAGGTAGCGGAATATCAGGGTCCAGAGTGTGTGTGAGAGGGGATGAGGGCTGCCGTCTGACATGGGCACAAATTCTGGAATATTCGATGGAGGGGCGGGGCGAACAACATAGTTTTTTAAAGGAACTTTAGGGGCGTAATCCGTCCCCCAGCGCAGTTTATCAGGGCACGGGCCAGGCGTTGGACTTCCGTTGTTTTCAAGAGTGCTGCAGATTTGTTTTCCTTCCTCTTTAACGACAGGTGTGGGGTCACTTGTCTGGGGTGTGTTGGCTGAAGATGCACCCCCAGTTAGAGAAGGGGATGAGGATGCTACAAGGGCCATAACACCAGGAGGAAATGATGTCTGTGATGAGGTAGGAGATGAAAATGGAAGTGAAAATGACGAGGCAGCGCTTTCTAAACTGAATGGACCAGATTCACCTTCAGCCTGGTTGTGGCTAAACTTGACCTTTGGTTTCTTGGACACAGGGGTGCTGTGAAGGTCATCCAGAGCTTTATGCTGGTTGTCTCTCGCTGGGTTGCCCATGGGCCCATCACCCGCCACACACAAAGGACCCTGGGAAGGGAGGTAAAAACTGGTTCCAGGACTAAGATCAATTGAAAACAGAAGAGAGAGAACTAGATCTAAATTACGCCTTCTTAATTTCTTTAACTCAGTTTTGTTCTATTTATTCTCCAAAACACTTGAAGGTTAAACTAAATTATGCTTTCAATAACATTAAGATCCAAAACAAATGTATAGCAAATAAAATATTTTACTTGAAATCTTTATAAAATTGGAATGATTTATCTATCAGTTTTAAATAAAAATGAGTAAACCTGATCAGAAAAGAGCCATAAAATGGAAGTTTATACCAACGGCTCATTTCAACCCTTACAGTTTCTTCAATAAAATGTAGTTTACTAAAGACTATGATGTAAAAATCTAATACAATAATTATAAATAGGAATTAAATAGTGTTGTAATGTCAGCAGAGAAAATGTTTTAAATCTAAGAAGTAAATATTGAATACACGCTACAATTCAAGTTAATTTGTCGTTGACAACCTGAAACAATGAATGAAAGAAAGAAACTAATGCAGGCCCAAGAGCCAGTTATAGTGAAATATTTTTCTTTAATTAGCATAATGTTACGATTTATTGCTTTCTGGTAATTTTTCTAGGCTATGAAAAAAACAAGTAGATGAAGTTGCTAGCATTAGGAGATTTACCTGGACAAGCAAAAATAAAAGTGGCACTGGAAAAATATGCGAATAATTAGAATAATTAACCTAAATTTATCATTTACAGTCAAAATAACACTAGAACTCTTGCTAACAAACAAAAGAGTCAAATACAATCCTTAAAATCTTCTGATTTTCTAACTCAAAAGTTATTAAAATTAGTTTTTAAAAAAAAATTAAAATGTGTTAATTGAAATTTCAAGTAACATTTCACAAACAACAAAGAAATTATTACAAAAACAGCATGCACTGAACATTTGAGGATTCTTTTATTTTTGAGGTTTTTTTATTCAAATCTAAACAAAAACAATCTAAAGAAACTGGTTACATGCAAGCCCATAAGCAAATTCCATTAATGGGTAAATGTGGAACATAGGGTTATTTTAAAATAAAAACACTATTAGTTGTAACTAAAATACTGTTGAACAACTGTAAATTGTGGCTTACTTAGCCTTAAGTACTACCATACTTTTTATTTAAAATTACTTAAATGTGAGAATAAAAACAATTTTATTTTTCAAAATTAAATTTTAATTTAGTGTATTTTTACTTTAACTTGAAACATTTTTTTTAGAAAGCTAGGTCATATATATAAAAGAATGAAGAAAGACAAAGAAGTACAAATATTTACATATGTGTTTATATATACATCTATAACTATCAACCCGTGAAGATGTAACAAGAACAGAGACAAAGAATCATATTTAAGAATATTTTAATCTCTTTTAATAAAGAGTACATTTTTGCTAGAAATGATCAACTTAGTGTTTTGTGCCCTAGACAAATGGGGCTAAACTAGAAATGATACTATTTTAAAACTTTACTCAGACCCACATTTTGATAAGAATAACTTTTAAATATATTTTTTTATATCAATCAAGCAGGACTTAAAGTATATTTTAAAATGTTTTTATTAAAAATAACTTTGAGCTTACTCTTAAACCAGCAGGAGATTAGACAAAAATGAATTTGTAGTAAATTCACAGAATGAAATAACATTAGATAAATGTTGGAAGAGAAAAGGTGTATTACATACTCTCAAGGCTAAGCCCTTTTATTAGGTTTGCATCTGTTCCCCTAGGAGGCAGAAATAAGTAAGGGCATCATCAAGTGAAATGGAGCAGTTTAAAATCTCTCTACACCACTACTCAAAAACAAATTTTAATATTACTATTTCAACATGTAGATAGAAAATAAAAATTAATATCTAGTATCATGGTTATAAAGGATATGAATAATTATACTGTTTCTAAGTCGTTAATAAAGAAATTAATAAGTAAAGAAGTAATTAACAGTGAGAAAAATTTTTTTTAAACAAGAAACTTTATTTATAAATCATTTATATATAGTTGTACATATACCCTAACATTTAAGATAACAATGCAGTTAGTTTTGTGTCCTAATAAATTTGCAGCTACTGTTTTGTCTAGTAGTTAATATAATTTTATTTTTCTTGGTAAGGGTGAACCTGAATGTAAATAGTCTAAGAAAATAAACTGTAGCTGTACATCAACTATCAACACATATCTTTAATTTGATCAACCAACAGATGTGAAACACATGTTGCGTTGATGAACCATCTGTTAGCAACCAATGTACCCCCCACCTTAAGAAAAATGTGAACAATGATATGCTCTAATTTACAGTGAAATGTATGTACATATTTACACAGCCGTTAACTAAATGTAAATGTCAGATGAGATGAACTTACTGGCCCAATCAGCAAACAATTTTTTACTGCAAATATTTTTTTATATGTTTTAACTATCAGTAATGCTAATTATATGTTTAAAAATGAAATCTAGAATAAAAATTAGAAACAAACTATGTTCTTATGCTCTGTGAGTGTGTGTGTGTGTGTGTATATATATATATATAAATATATTCACACACACACACACACACACATATGTTAAACTAATGGTAAGTCCTGTGAATTGACTTCTTACTACTGCTAAGGAAGATTGTATGTATATATACATTAAGATAATGCCATAACTGTTTTATGAATTTATAAATGCCTCAAATGAATTATGCTTCATGATGAGGAAAGGAAGTGAAACATGGTTAATGCAATACATTAATGGACATTTTAAAGTTGTTTTTTTTTTATTATGAGATCATTGTGAATAAATTTGCTGCATGTGAGGAAAAAGCAAAACACTTTTTAAAATAATTTTACCCATGTGGAATAAGTTAACCTACTTTTGAGCACAGAATGCTATAGGATTGATTTGACACTTGTATGAATTCAAGTGTACAAAGTTTTAAATAAAATTACAAAAAAAACCAATTTAATATTTAAAAAGAGTAGTTAAATTTAATTTCTTAAGACAAAAATGCCAAGAATAAGGTATTGAAATTTCTGCAAGAAAAAAATTAATTTTATCTTAGAGTATGTAACTCATTAAATGAGTTTGTCTTATTTAACTGCATACATATATTATATAAATGATTAAGTAATGTATATGGGTGTTACTCGATTAACCTGATTAGATTAAGAAAACTGTCGATATCTGACAATGATGAAGTTAAATGTGTCTTTAATTTTGTATTAACATTTTGCTGACATATGCTAATAAAGGTTTAAAACCATTTCATACAAATGCATAGCCTCAGAAGGGTAAAAAAAATTATTTACAGAATTTGAGACATTACTTTAAATTTGGATGGATTTGTGAAAAAGTCACTTAGAATAACAAGCAAGTACGCAGGAAAAAACATAATAAATGACAAAAATTCTGATGTGGGAAACTTGACACTGAAGAAAGTGACTTTATAAAACTATACTCCTGGGTTTCTACACAAATCTCTTTTACCTTTGTTTGAGACTATAGTAAAATAGCTAGTTAAAATATTTTAGATTAATATTTACATTTACAAAAAGAAGGAGAAAAACGATAAAAGCGAAAAAAAAAAATCTATACTTTTGCATGCATTTTGTAAAAAAATGGAATAAAGAGGTAGACGTTTACTTTTTAATAGTATAAATTATTGGGGAGTAACAACATTTACAATACATAAACACCATGGCATCAAGTTCAATGCAACAGTGCAGGGTCAAACTGAAGAAATTATAAATAGAAATAAAACTCTGGTGGTAAGGGATAAAATTAACCTCTTGGTATTTAGAGTAACAGTATAGAAATATCTTATTTATAAACGTAATTCTATATTACAAAATACATACATCTTGTTTCTTAATTTCTTTTTTTTTTTTACAAAATACATTACATTTTTGTATTATTTTGTTTTAGTTTTCAAACCATCTGTATGCTGCCTGTGAAATTTTGTGTGGGGGTTTTTATTAAAGATTTCTTTCCTGGCTCAGACAACTTTAAAATACTAGCAGTATTTTACAGAAATATGTCAATGGAGTCAATCTAAAAATCTTCGAGGAACAACTACCTCTCGTTTGGGCCTCTTGCCTCCTGCATCTGAATTCTTGTCTCCGCTGCTGCCTGGAGTTGTGACACGTTTCCGTGAATGTTTAGTTCCACCCTCCTGATTTGATGGTGAATCTGGAGATGTTATCTGGAAAAAAAAAAAAAAAACTTTAAAATATCTGTTTTTAAATTGATTTAAATGTTATCTACTTGAGAAAGTTTGTGTACTTGCCTTTTCTTTTTTTATCAGCCTCTTTTGATCTTTTTGTACATTAGGTTTTTTCTTCTGGCTGTCTTCCCTTGCAAGTGGGGACAGCACTGTGGATTGGGGTGATGGTGCACCATCCTCTACTTTTATTTTAACGTCCGAAAATACTTTCTTTGGAGGTGAGGGCCATTTTGGAGCTCCTGGCTCAGTTTTAACGAATGGTACCTCACCACTGAGCCAGTTTTTTGGACCTCCCCCTTCTTTAGAAACTACTCTCTTCCCCTCCACGGGACTGATAGGGGAAATGGGCTCTTCCTCTGGCGTTCCATCACTGTCTGCTGAAAATCTGTGCTCCTCTAGTTTAATTTTCTTGGCTGAAATCCCAGGTCTCACACGAGGCTGTGAGAGGATAATAGAGTGCTGTTAGTATTGTTACATATAAGTATTAGATTTATAGTAGTGTCCCTTTTGTTTACATGTTTTCATTACCCTTCAAACTATAGTCTATTTTAGTTATATTGAGATTAAAGAATGTAAATAAATAGTACACACAATTCTGTAGCACAGGAACGCAACACATTAGTAATAATATCAAAAGATGAAAATAAGACTGTTTTTTCTTAAACACAAAGACTCTACTAAAGGTAAAAATAGTCACATTTAAAGGATGCAATAAACAAGACAGTTAAGGGTATATGTTACAGAAATTTTCAGACAGGAATAACGCAACATGAAAGAAAATCATAGCTCAAGTACCACATAAAATCAGATGATGTGTCAATTAAAAATGGCTGAGAACTTGAAAAAATGCAAACAAAAATTTGCAAAATAAAGGTTAAATGTTGCTCCGATTTGGTAATGAAGTTGTTGAGTCTGCTGTAGGTAGTGACAAGTGAAGAAAGAGAAAGGCTCTTCTAAACACCATCAGCGTGGTCTAAAGCATCTACTAATTGATGCACAGACAAGAAGTTTAATCACAGATTATCTTGTTCATTCAATCAGTCGAGTAAAAGAAACCATGATATAAACAATGAACATGCAAGTTATAAAATCTACATCTGATACATAAGGGCATCCTTTTTTTTTCTAAATACACACAGAATCCAATATTAGATAATTGTTAAAACTACCTTCAGCTGTCCTTGCTTGCCTTCATTGCAACATTTTGAACACTCCCAACTATTGGGTAAATCTTCATTCACTACACCTTCATTGTCCAAGTTTTCATACCTGATAAATAAGATAAGTGTGTATAGACTAATAATAATTAAGGACTAATACTCTCATTAACAGTATTTTTTGTATCACTATGACAGTCAAAATATAGAAATTCCATTGAAATTTAGACAAATTACATTTCTTCAAATAGAAGAAACTAAAGAAATAGTTCATTGCCAAAAATCAGGTATTTAATTTAAAATTTTGTCCAAGAAATAAAGTATATATGACGATGAACAAAGCACTTACTTTTTCTGCAGACAAGATGGATGGACAATCTCCCAACAAATACCACACTCCATAAGGGCATAAGAAATGTCATCAAGATCATCAGGATTAGCTTTCCCTTCTTGGTTGCAAATCATACACACAGAAGAACTGGGCAGTATGGGCTGTGGTAAAATTAAAATTTAATACAAGAGAATTTTTTTTTTTTTTAATTTCTACATAACATGAAGAATTACGCATCTTTTATATTAATTTGTTCATTTTAAAAAAAATTTATACAAATGTAATAGTTTTAAGAAATGTGTATTTTTGTTCTGGCTATACATCAAAATAAAGTAGCAGTACTTACAGCCATACACTGTCGACTGATACATGTCTGCTTCATACGGCCAGGCCCTCCAAATTTTTTCATGTCCTTACAGAAAGTACATTCGCCACACTCTTCCCTAGTACAGGCCTCACACTTCTTACACCTAGTCCTACGTCTCCTGATTGAAGAGGAGCTAGAAGATCCCTTTGCCGTTTTGGCTGTCTTAAATGTTTTATACCCAAGTTTCAATTTCTGTTGCTTTTTCTGTAAGTGTGAAAAAAAAATTCTTGTTAATTTCTGTTGTTTTTCATATTAATATAAGAAAATTTTCAGTGAAGAAAATATGTATAAAAATACCATAGGAGAAAATCTAATTCAAAGCCCTTACCAATAGTAAAAAAAAAAATAACTAAACATTTCTCTGTTATTATTTTTAAAAAACTAATGGGTACAATGTTTGTTGTTTTTCTTTCTAAAACAGAACAATTAGCTTCGTAGTCTAAAGGTTTTATATTTGTATATCAAAAACTGCAATCACAACACTGATATAACAAGAAAATATTCAGAAAACAAGAATTCTTAGTAATCTGGGGACACATATATATCTAGGATTCATGCACTTTTGAGACTACAGATAACTCATTTTTAATAAATCAAAAACATTAACATATTTCAATTTTTTACCTTTGCTGATTCTGGCCACCCAATGACAGGCTCTCCAGTGATTGCCAACTCTTGATCATCATTCTTGTGCTCTTCCAGAACTTGCTATATATGAGAATAAAAGATTAATAATGTGCTTTACATTCACGAAGCCAAAATATACCACCTTAAATTAAATTTTAGGTGCATTTAAAAATATATTCAATCAAATCTTGGTTAATTTAAATACAAATTCTGTACATAACAAGTTAAGTTCAGCTGGTATATAGTAAGCTTACTCTAATCTCCCGCAAGACAGCTTCAGGGTCCAACATCTCTCTAGGCACACCCCGTTTGTTTGGAGGCAGGTTCATCAACCCAGACAAATAATCCACCAACTGCTTCAGGCCTTTCAACTCTGTGCTTGTCAGATGAATCCACTTCCTGTTTCCTCCACCACCTTCCCAAGAGCTGTTGGAATCAGACACTGCCTTGCGAGCCCTGGGTTTGGTGGATGGTGGCTGGTTCTCATCTTCACTTTGAGAACGTCTCAGCGCCTGATCTATCCTTGTCAACTCTATGGTGACGCTTTTAGACAACTTGGGCGTGTCCTCTCCGCTCTCTGATTTTATCTGCTAAAATTTTGAATTTTATTTGAATTTCTATGAATTTTTTCAGATTTCACTATGTGATATTTTATGATCTATTTCAGCTTTAGACAGATAATTTTATAATTTTCATGTTTTAACTACAATTTGTCTGTCCATATTTATTAATATTCACTAAGTGTGTTTTCAAATGTAAAAATAACTGAAACTGTTTTAATCCACTAAATTCTCAGAAGAAATAAAAAAAAGTCTGAGCAATTTTCTTTCTCTTACTTTGGTGTCCATGCTATCGTCCATCGCTCGAGATGGTGGCCTAGAATCAGGATTTCGGGAGGGTGGTCTGGAGTCATCATCCACCTGAATCAGTCCTTGGTCATCTTCATCAAATTCTTCTTTCTCAGAGGATGAAAGGTAGGTGCGACCTGTGAGGCAGCTCAGATATCTATCCACAACATACCACATAATCTCAGAAAAAAATGGATATCTGAACTTGGGAGGAACCTGCAAAAACAAAACAATGTTGGGGGATCCTTAAGACTCATGCTACAGGTTTACAAAAGCAACTAGATATAAAAGCAAAGATTCTAGCAATCCATTGGGTAGATGATGAAGAGTTCATGTTTCTTGACAGCAGCATATAAAGGGATAATGTGGTCAGCACTATGCCCAGCCGCATTTACTTTACCTAACATGAATCAGGTACCTATGAAAGCTGGGTGGACTCAGGGACGTACTACAGACTTGAACCCGGATTTGAAATTGATACTTCAGGGTTAGAAGCATAAGGGTCTACTGCCAAGCCACACCGTCCCACAACTAGATATAAAAGATCCAGCAGTAAAAATTAACTTACATGAGTCTTGTCTTCTACATGTGATACCAGAAGCTGGTTCTCAATATTGAAGCTGTGTAAAAAGTTCCCACCAAATACTAATGAATCTTTTGGTGTGTACACAGCATGAATCCATCCTGCAAAGTAAAAATTATTACACTGTAGAACGATCTTAAGTTCAAAATTCACTGGCTTTTTAATTTGTTTAATATCCTATTTACTGTCAGATTACCAAACCTTTTTCAGAGAATTTTCTTGCCTCTTCTAATAAATACTGTATTTAAAAAAATATTTTACAAACGTAAGAAATTTTCTGCACCAACCTGAAGGTATAATAAAGGTGTTTCCAGCGCGAAGTTGGATTCTCTGACACTGCTCCAACGAATCACCTAAAAATGAATCGCCTTGTTTAGCTGACAGAGTCCACTCCGTGTATTTGTCAATATTTTTCTGGGATGGTGGAGCCAGCCAAAATATCTAGAGAGTCACAGTTTCAATAGGCTATTACCAGCAGTATAATAAATTAGTATAATAAATTAGTCTATAGTTAAGTTCGTAATATTATATTAAATATTTAAGAACCAAAATTTTGTTTAAATGAAGCAAACCTTTTCTCCATGTAGAATGTGATACCAGACAGATGTCCCTCCAAAGTCTATGTGGAAGTCAGTATAGCATCCAGCAACACTCATAAGGCAGTATCTAGTGGACATAAATTGTTTTTAAATAAACACAGATTTAAACTTTATAATGCCATTAATGAAAATCGATCACCATAATAAAGTGTTTAGAAGATAAAGAATAAGTTTTAATAGCAATCTAAAAAATTATACAGTGTATCGATGTGTAAAATGTATAACAATTTAACTTACTTTTGCACTTTGGGATATTTCATTTTTTCAATTACATTTGTAGATTCTGTTTGACATTCTTTTAAATGCCTAGGCCATGCCCTATCCACCCAATCAACTTGTCGAACCTGGCATATTTGATTTATGCATTAAATAGTATGAAATATATATATATATAAATATTAAAATGACGATCTATGATTGGATATGCTATACAAGTTGACTTACTAAAGTTGGTGAATCAACATAATTCTCCAGGCGTGTGTGACAAAACTCTAAACTGATGACATTCAGCAAACGGTCCCTTTCCGCGCACTCATAGTACTTTACCCAGTCTTTCATGGACATTTCTAAAGCCTTCTGGGTATTCACATCCATCACATCCAAAATGCGTCGACTGCCTGTGTTTGATAACAGAAGGAAACATGTGAAACTAATAAAACCTTGTATAACAAATGTATAATTGTGCACATTAAAAAAGTTACCAATTGAAAAAATATAAATACAAGAAAAATTAACTAACAATAGTTTAAAGATTCTTTAATTAGTCAACAATAAAACAACATTTAAACTTACCAACACATCGCTTAACGTCACTGACTTTAAAATTTTCACTTGGCACTCTATAAAGTTTTTAAAAAATTGATTAAATACTTTTACTAAAGCCAAAGAATTATTTCTTTACCAGCAGAAGTAAGGTTTTTAGCAAGACTAGAATATCTGTATATGTTAATAATTGTTTTTTTCTGTTTCAGGCTTAAATGCTAAATATCTTCACTTAGCAATATTGTTTAATGAAAATCAGATTAAAATCTACAAAGTTTTTAAACAAAGCTCAATCAATAAACAAAAAACAATAATGTCCATTCTGCTTACCTCAAGCCTAAACCTGTCTTATCTAAGAAAACAATTGGACGTACGAGGCCATTCTTTTGCAGCCATTCCATTGTGAACTCTGTGGGTAAAATTGTACTCAGTAAATACAAAACTAGTATGTGGGTTACCTTCAGAAGTATTATTTTACTTAAACCAACTCAGCGGCGCAGGGGCTATTTATTTTATGTATGAACTTACCTGGACCTTTGAGCTCATGAACCATGTCTGCATTGAAACTTTCACAGGTGAGTTTTTCCTCAACACTGTACATCCTCCTGCCATCAATGTCATCTTCATCAATTTCCTGGTCACTGTACTTTTTACGCTCTTTAGCTCGCTGTTTAATCAAAAGGACACACTTAATAATTTTATAGAGTAAGAATAAATATGGACTTTTCATTCATTTGCATTCAAAGATGCTCTTGTTGACCACATTTTAAATGTTTTATTTTGCCTCATAAACTATTACCCTTGTTTTCATATTAGGCCTACAGTCAAATAAATAAACTTCTTTGTTCTTAATTGTAATATTGAGGGAGAATTAGCTCAATTAAGTAGCCTAATTAAGTATTGACTGTCAATTTGTTATGTACTAGCTAGTAGACTCTAGCTTCACAGGGTTGGGGTTAGGGACATTGACATTAGCCAGCCATGTGTGTGTATTTTGTTAACTACCAGTAACCTATCACCCCTTTTTTAAAGAAGATTCCATTATCAGACACCCGGGTATAAACATTCTCCCAGAAAATCTATTATGAATGATTATCTTATGATTATGTAACCACGCAATTCACAAAGCATCCATTAGTTACTCTCAATGTTGTGCAGCATATCAGAGACCACACAATAAAAACATTCAAAGTATTTACATTTCGGTTTTCATGATTTTATATCTCATGAAATTTAATTTTAAGCTTTACTGACTCTACTTGACAATAGTCACGTAGTCGTTCTGGTATGTTTTTTTTTTCCTTTTTCACGAGTTTGGTAGTGCATGGACAGTTTGAATTTGGACAGGCGTGCTGAGAAATAGAGCCGATAGCTTAAATAAAAATCTATTTGAATACAATTATTACCAGCTTTCTTCCAGTTTCTGAATCTTCCGCCATGGTACGAATATACTGTTAGAATGACATTAAACTTAAAACAAAACAGATAAATAGGCTGCAGCTAGGCTAACAATGAATTTTCTCCCATGTACACATTAAAATGTGACGTCATAAATATGGCAGAGGTCAGGGCACAATGCAGAAAATATGAAAACCTGGTTAAGCATACTTATTTGATCAAACTTATATTAATTTATTATTTTTAATAATATTTTTTCCGAATATTCTTTTTAATTTTAAAACTTATTTTTAAAAATAATATTTTACTGTAAATAAAACAAACTAAAATTTTTTTATAGGACTAGATTCTAGATTTATTTAGAGAGCGGAACCGGAAGTAAGAAAACAACAGTATTTTTGTTTTCGTTGGTGACTTAATAGAAGGTTTCTAAGAGTTTCTGATTAATAATAGAGCATTATTATCATAGAAAAGATGCATTTTATTAAACACTCTTTTGAATTTTAAAATTTGTATTTTTGTTGTTTAAACCTGATGCAAAGTAACAGACCTGAGTCCTATCAAGAGTGGTTACTCAAGTCCTACATTAATCAAATGTCCCAAACTCACTCCAACACCGCTCTCTCCTGGCGGCGTCTTTACCTGAGCAGAGCGAAATTAAAAGCAAGTAGTAGAACGTCTGCATTGCTGTCTGGTTTCGCAATGGTAATATAACACTTAAACATATATAGCATAAATGCCTTAAACTTTTAGTAGTAGTAGGCTGTTCGGTTCAACGCCTCCGGGTTTGTCATCTCACGGCTCATGCGCTTACTAAAAAATCCCTCTACCGTTTAGCGAAAGCGAAACTGGTCGCCATTTTTAGTAAGCGCATGAGCTGTGAGATGCCACGAAAATGACAAACCCGGAAGCGTTGAACCGAACGGTCTACTACTACTATCTATAGAATCTCTATACTCTATAGTATAGTCAGTATGAGTATGTATAGTTTAGTACTATAATATAGTAACTAAGAAATTAAAATAACTAGGTAGATCTAGATGTAGCAGTAATTGCAGTAGATGTCAAACAGAGCTAGGCTTTATTAGGCTTGTTGGTATCAGCAGTGTTCACTGTGTAAGGGTGTAAAAACATGACCCAAAACCCCCATTACTTTTCTGATACTGGGGACACAAGATTTGGTTTTGCATACTAAGAAGTTTTTAATTTGTGGTAAATTAAAATAATTAAATAGTTTAAAAGGTCATTTCCTAATGTTAATTAAAAAGAAGGATGGTTTTCCCTTTGTTTTGATAGTTTTGCGATCTGATTTGGTCTTCCCCCTGTATCAAGGTTAGTTTCAAATATGTTAAAAACTTGATTCTTTGAAAGTTTCCTCTTAGAGAAAGTAAGTTTCCATTGCAGATATATCTGATGTAAATAGAAATGATATTGTTTATTTTTTTATATTTTGACTTTGACGTTAGTAAATACTCATTTTGAATGTAGTCACTGAATGTAGGTCGCGTTGCCACCATTATTATATTTTTTCATCCCGATCTGCTGTCTTTTAGTTTTGATACACTGACAACAGCATTCTTATGTAATGTGCAAACAAATCTCCTAATTGTTGTTTTAAAAATAATTTAATATACCTATCTTTCATTTTTTTTCAGCTCTAGATCTAGTTTTGTTTGAAGTACAATTTTTGTCAAATGTTTTTCCTAAAATTTAATTTTGTCAGACTAGACAAGAATCTGGCCTAGGTTACCTGTTTGTTGCTATACACTAGCTAAGGGCTAAGTGTAATTTTAAGTTTTCAAGCTCTATTTACACTTATTTATAGTTATATGCTGAAAATTAGAATTCATACACACATACAGCATTGGTCTGATAACTTCAGTTCACTTATAACAAAATGGCGTAAAGATGGACTCTACTTCATCTGCCCAAAATAATCATACAGTTATATGCAGATTAACTGTCTTCAACTGTTAATTAGGTTTAGATTTCTGACTATGTAGTTCTTTCATTCAATGTATTTATATAAAACTACAATCCTTTAGAAACAACATTTTTTTATTTGCGTTGCAATCAGCTTTTTGGGGGTAGCAGAGGAAGAAAAGAAAATCTCTTCTGTTTTGTTTTCTCCTTATGGAGATCTTTAAGAACAATAATTTTGTTATTTTTATATGATATTTGTTTTTTTTTTACCAAAATCCCTAGCTTTATTTTACTCACACTGCAAAAATCTAAAGCCTGTTAAAACTATATAACTATAACAGTATGCTCATCAAATTCAATGGTATTTTTTTTCAGGTTGCTATGGTTGAAATTTCCATAGGTGATAATGATGGTAAATCTTCCATTCCAGAGGAACTGCTTTTAGTATTTGGTATTTGCACAACACTTTTAGTTGTTGTTCATCTGATGGCATTGATGATAAGTACGTGTATCCTGCCAAATATAGAAGCAGTCAGCAATGTTCACAGTGTTCAGGCAGTCAATGAATCTCCTCATGACGAGATGCGAGTATGCGTTGAAATGGCTTGGGTATTCTCCACTGGCCTTGGTATTTTGCTCTTCCTTACAGAGATTGCTATTCTTTGCTGGGTCAAATTTTATAGCTTCAGTCGTAACACGGCCATAGCTTCTACTGTTATTGTCATTCCTGCAGGAATATCCTTTATTGCATTTTCATTATTGTTTTACAAACGGCTAATGGCTCACAAATATCAAAGACATTCTGAAGGATTAAAAGAACTTGATGAAATGGCCAGAGAGTTGCAGACCAGTAGAGATGGAGTTAACATAATTTAAAATGAATTTTTTTTAATTCTATGTTTTAATTTTGAGAAAGTATTTTTGTATCACTAAATGTTGTTCAAGTGTCCTTTTAATTATTAGAAATGTAATATACAACCTTTTGTATAAATAAAATTTTACTTTTTTGCAAATGTTACAATTTTGCCTTGTGTAACTTTATTGAAAATGATGTTGACATCTGGTAATTTAATCCTCTAAGCTTCCTTGCATTAGTACAATTAGTTTGTGCATGTCTTCATGTGTACATTTAACAGATCTAATTACCATTTTCTGTGTTTGTAACCAATTGTGCTAAATTATTTTAACTGTGTTTTTAAGCCTGTTCCTGGTTGAAAGTAAACATGGCTAAAATTTCTTTTCTTAAAATTTTACGAAAATGCTTTAAAAAACTCAATAACTTTGAAATGTGTGACTACTTTTTCAGTTAAATGGATATTTTTAAAAACTTAACATATTAAAAACATAATCTTTTTATTTATCTGCCTGTCATTTATTTGGAAAGCTGCATATCTGCACCTTTTAATATAAACAGAAAAGATTTTCTTCTTAAATTTTAATTTAAGTGTTGAATTTTTTAAAAATAGCTTTTAATCTCCCAGAAATTAAATATTTATTGATTAAAATTTAAAATAATTTTCTTTTTAAATAATGATTTTTCCTTTATTCCAAGGCATGACCGATTGAAACTTGATTTTCTGGAAAAAAACATGTAACTTTAAGATTTTAACATATGACTTTCTTTATATTTAGATAGCAGCAGCAGCTTATATCTTTGTAAGGTATGAGTTCAGTGAGAAACATTACTCACAAATTTCCAATTACATAAGGGCATTTTTGTTTTATGATATTACTGACATATTTTTTTTAAAAACTCTACAATTTTGTTTTTTTTTTAATCTATAAACCCAATTTTAAACAAATTATATACCGTTTTAAAAAGTGATCTGTAATGATCAAAGTTTCAATGAGAAACGAGTTACTTTTCATTTTTTTATATTTTTAAAAATGTCATTATCCTTAATTTTTGAATGACAATGTCTCTGCATTGTAATTTTATATGATGTTTGATTAGTTGATGCTAAATTTAATTGTTTATATAAAGCTACCTTGAAATGCATATTCAGAACTATGAACTAAAGTTGTACAGATGTGTTCTATCAATAATTCAGAGCTGCAAACAATTTTTTCAATACATATGTATCTTCTTATTTTTGTATGTAATAGTGTTATTTTTCTATTGTAATTATCTCACCTTTTTTTTTTCATTTGAAAATGTAGTGCTATTTACGCTTGTTTTTTTTTCTTTAGCATCATTGTTCAAAATTATTTATACACTTTAAACTGTAACAAAGACTGTTGTCTCCTGACTAAAGGGATTTTTTGCTTCATCGTAAATGAAAGCTGCTTTTAGTTTGAATTTGGCCATAAAATATATTTTAATATATTATTGAACTATTACAGATAATTCTCAATTGCATAGTAAAAATACAAATACTTCTTAGATATATTTTTGGTACTATCATAGAAAAAAGAAAGCTCTATCAGTTTTCATTTTGTAACTTGATTGTTAACACATATTATTTAATTAGAAATATATCCTTAAATACTTCAAACCAGTCAACCTTTAAAAGGTAGACCAGTTTATACATATTTGTCAATTCTTTTATAACAGTTCATTCTGTTCATATTGCAAAATGCATTTTAAATTGTGATATTTTTATCAACACTTATTTGCACCCATTTTATTTTTTTATGGAGTAACTTTACTATGTAGGCTGATTAATGTTTAAGGTAAAATCTTGTATTCTGTAATCAAATAATAACATTTTACTTTTTATTCTCGAGGTCTTGAATAATTCTGTGGTCTCATTGTAAATGTTATATTTAAATTTTTTTATTGTCAATGTTTTTCAAAGATTTGTAATTTGAAAATTTTGTTTTATTATAGTTTCTCAAGCTTAACTAGTCATTGATAGTGAATTTTTTTTTTATCAGATTTTAGTTTATCTATAATATTTATCTATAATATCATAATTATTTTCCATCTCTCTTATTGGGTATTGGATGCCAACTAAAGATGTTGAGAGTTCTGTTACATTTTTGTAGTGTTTGTTTTACACTGGTTACTAAACATGTCTCTCTGCTTTCCTATTAGGTGGAGTTTTGTTTTAATCTTAAAGTCATAGCATTATTGTAAAATACAATTTTGTAACAGGATATGATTGTTTTTGGCATAATATAAATTTTAATCTTAATGTTAATTAATTAATTAATATTGATGGGTGTTTTTTTTGTCTTAACCACACACTTTGTTTTGCATTCCATTTATTTTCATGTTTGCTCTGCCTTTATTACAATATCCACTTTTTGTAAAAACTATTTTTTTTTACAATGTAACACTTTTTTTTAATGTCATACTGTCATTTCTTCAAGTGTATACAAAATCTTTTTGACTTGCATATCTTATAACAGAAGTTTATGATTTTCTTAGAAATTTAATAAATCAGATTATTTTTACTCTATATTAACCAGTTTTATTTAGCATGAATACACCGAAACCCTTGGCCCAAATTTTTCCTCACCAGTGCAAAGCCTTTTCTAGATTTTTTACTGTGTTTGAAAATATAGACCTATTACTTTAGTTACGAACTCTGTTAATAAAAATAATTCTGTCCTAAAACGTGTATACAAAATTATTTTCCTCAATATGTCAAGTATGTTGTTCTTTGTTGCGATGTATTATAATTACTCCAAAGACTGCTTATAATGTTTTGAAACTATTGTGTATTTGTGATCACTTTATGCACCCCTGCAAGCTATAGAGCATCTCTTGTCCAGTCTAAAGTAAAACCAAAAAAAAAGAAGAAAGAATCCTACCATCACTTAAACTTAAGTAAATTCACAATAACTTGAAATGGATTTAAAAGTGTTTAATCTTTGTCTGACAAACATCTATGTTTTAAGAAAAAGCTGTTTTAAAAGTTGAGGATATGTATCTAATAATAAATTTATGACATATTTATTCATCTCTTAAGGTTTTGGTACTTTCGCATGACAATTGTAAAATATTTAATAATCTGTTTATCTTATAAAAATAAAGCTAAATTAAAGCTATGGTTGAATTTAACAAGACTTTGAGATTGTTTTTATACATACATTTTTTGTGAGTATGTAATGTTTGTCTTGGCTATAGGACATTACCCCCCCTGTCAATTCCCCCCCCCTTGTATTTACTCCCCCCCCCTAGCAATTACCCCCTGTCAATAACCCCCCCCCCCCTGGGTATTACCCCCCCCCCCCACCCCCTCAAGTTAGAATCCTAACTGAAACTCTATACCTATATATTACCTTAATCCTAACCTTTAAAAAATACCAAAACCTAAGCATTCACCTCAGCCTAAAACTTAACAAAAAACCATAACCAACTGTAGACATTGGTTTAAGCCTAACCTTGATCATAACACTAATCCAAGCCCTGACCCTACCCATAAACCTGACCATAACACTAACCATAATCCTAACCCTAAATCTAGCCATAGCCCTAACCCTAGCTGTACCTTAAGCTATGTCGGGGGGGGGGGGGGATGTCCTACCGGGAGGGGGGGGGGGGTAATGCCCTGTTCCCGTTTATCTTGAGTGAGCTGGAAGAAAATAGTTGAAATGAAATAACTAGCAATAACTTGTCACAGTAACCGATGAATATTGCTTCCTCCATTATATTGATCCTCTAGTGCACCATGAAAACGGCCCCGTCAATATGACCTCGTCAAATCAACCCCCGACAAAACAACCCAGTCAAAATAGCCCCGTCAAAAGGGTCCCGAGGTATTGGCTCCCGTCATATTGACTCGCGGCAAATAGGCTCCCGACAAGTAGGCTCAGGACATATAGGCTCCAGAAAAATGGGCTCCCAGCGTATAGGCTCCCGACGTATTGGCAGGGTTTCTTCCAGGCATCTCTTCGGGGAGGCACCGCCCCCCCCCCCCCCCTCCCCGAACGAAATGGAATTTCTATAGAAAATATATACTTTTGACAGTGTCCCCCCTTCCCCCGGAAATTGTTGTCCCCCCGTCCCCCCCCCCCCCGAAAATTTCAAGTGCACCCCCGGAGAATAAAGTCTGAAAGAAATACTGCATATTGGCTCCCGAGTAAATGGCTCCCGACATATTGTCTCCAGACACTATTGGCATAACAGTAACCATTTTGTCCTACCTCCACTACCACTATAACCTCTTTTAAATGCCTGAATGAAAAATTGTTTCATGAACCAACAGACAGCAATTTTTCAAACAAATCGAGCCCCTTAACTGCTTAATGGGATCACCCATAAATGACGTCACGCTTTTTTAACGATTATTACCTCCCCTACTCCCCTCCACCACACGTCGTCACAAAAAGCAAGACCCCCCCCCCCTAAAATGACGTCACACCTCAACCTACAACCCCCCTCAAAATTGCAGTTGAATTTTTTTTAAAACATCGATATTTTTCTAAAATCTTGTCTGAACTCTGTCTAAATAGAGTATTTTAATCAATTCCTATTACAATTTATTAAAACCGTTTTCTAAAACGCGAAATAACGTCTAAAATTCGTTTTCTAACATTGCTTTTTTATAGTGCAAAAGTGTGACGTCGCACCATCTGAACCCCCCCCCCCCCTCATCACACACCGTCACAAAATTACGGACCCCTCCTCCCCGCTACGAGTGTGACGTCATTTATGGACGACCCCCAATTCCACCAATTCTAAAATTTTGATAATGTGTAATTCACAGAAGTAAAGATCTGTTGCTTAAAAGCGAGCACAAAAGCTTAAATGTATGATATACATGATATTTGTAGACCTCTCTCCCCCACACACTGAGTTGGATCAACCGACTCATTTATGGAAGTCATAGCCTTAAATTTAAAACATACTATTTCTTATACTAGATTAAACAAAATATAAAAATAAGACCAACTCTAAAGAGTATGGATGGCGGGGTCCCACTAGCAGGTGTCATATTCAATGAGGACGTTTCGCCGGGGAGACTTTGTTTCTACAGAAACGGTATTGACAGGGGCCCTTTTTGTCGGGAGCCAAAATGAATTGAGCCTATTTGTCGGGAGTCGTAATGGCGGGAGCCGTTTTGTCGTAATGACGGGAGCTATTCTGTCGTGAGACAAATTGACTGGAGCCTATATGTCAGGAGACTAAATGACGGGAGCCTATTTGCCGGGAGCCTTATTGACTGGAGCCCTTTTGTCGGGAGTCTATACGACGACAACCTATTTGTTGGGAGCCTATTTGTCTGTTCATTTGTCTCTGGTCTTTTTGACGGTGCTCTTATGTCAGGGTCATTTTGACGGGGCCGTTTTGTCATTGGCCGTTTTGACGCCGCACGTGATAATCTTTTTGTAATCCATCCATCATTACACAATTTTTAAAACAGTATCAAAGCGAGTTGACTCAACAATAGGCCTACTGTATCAAGCCAGCGTCCACGAAAGCTAGAATCTAGGTGGTCTGACTGAAGCCAAGGACCAGTGGCGAAGCGAGGTCGGGTGTCACCCGGTGCGGCACTTAATGGTGTCACCCCCCCAGAGGCGTAGCGACCCTTCCCGGGGACAAACTGTCAAATTTTCGATTTGCACCCCCCCCCTCAAACTTTCGATTTGCACCCCCCCGTCAAGTTTTTCTCTATATATTTTGCTATTTTTTGCCTTGGTGTCACCCTCCTAAATGGTGTCACCCGGTGCGGTCCGCACCCCCGCCCCCCCCCCCCTCGCTACGCCCATGCCAAGGACCATTACAGTTTTTTGGGGACCCACCGTTTCTAACCAGTGTTTCTTCCAGACTCTTTTCGCCGAAATTTTTTTACCGCCCCCCCCCCCGAACGAAATGAAATTTATATCATTTATATAGAAAATATATACTTTTAACAGTGTCCGCCCCCCACCCGAAGAAAGTTTACCGCCCCCCCCACCCCCCGAAGATTTCAAGTGTCCCCCCCCCCCCCCCCCAGAGAAAAAAGTCTGGAAGAAACACTGTATAAATTCCATCTCGTTCGAAGATATGCCTGGAAGAAACTCTGTTTCTAACCAAAGTTCAGCAAAGCTTGGCGGTGTCAACAGAGGCAAAGGGGCTTATTCTGGCGCCCAGGGCTAACTTTAAAGTTTAAATGGCCCCCTCCCCCGGTGTAGCCTATAAATTGATTAAAAATAAAGCATTTCTAATTTAACATAGGCCAAGGCCTCGGTTTATGCCCTTTGAGTTTTGATATGCCAGTAAGAGTAGTAAAACGTTTACTAATATTAAATTTTTTGTAGTAATTATGCTTTCTATTCTTAATACCCAAGTTTAGTTTTATACTTCCTTAGAAAATCATAACTTGGTGGATCACTCAATATTCTTTGTTTTGATAGAAATATAAATTCTTACTTAATCGTAATCTAGATTTGTTGAAAATCTATATATTTTTACACGACAAGTATCTGGCATAATACATAAAATGGCGTCCCCGTCAACACCGAGTACACCATGTACACCTGGTAGCAGTAACAAAACTTATGGCGAAAAGCCGAAATCTTTCAGAATTGAAGAAGATGGGGAATCCTATTACATTGGCTCTGAGGTGAGTTATATCAACCAGCAGTAAATATTGCAAAGTTGATATTATTTGTAGGGCCTAGATTCTATAGCCCAAACAATCATTCTTTGTTTGTCCAGTCCACTAGAATCCAGACTCTAGTGAACTCTAGTCAAACTCTAGTGCAAACTCTAGGCAAGTGCTGCTCAGGCGGCTAGTCGCTAGTGTTGTCGCAGTTTTCAAGTTTTGCTTTCAGGTTACTTTCAGCTTTGCCTTTTGTTTGATATTTGAAGTTTTGACTTTTGAGTCAGATTGATCAAAACATCGCTGTGAAGGCAAGTCGTAGTTTCTCTCCATTGCGCATACGTATCTTTTTCCGGAGTATCGAAGTGACTAACTCGGAAAAAGATTTTTCTCCCCAACGTCTCCACTTAGTCGGCAAAAGATAGGGTATATAGTTCTGCGCATGCGCAGTGAGCTAGGGTTCTGCGGTTGTAAACACTTGCATGCACAGTACCATCGAAAACATCGCCACGATGGCAAGTCGTAGTTTCTCTCCATTGCGCATGCGTATCTGTTTCCGGCTAGCATCGGCCAAATTCAAATTGTTAGATTCTAGTCTAGTTTTCTAGAATCTAGATCTAGATCTCTAACTCAACTCTAGATTCTAGATCTACTTAACTAGTTCTGTTGGTGTATCTATTAGGGCCTAATTTAAATTATTAGGCTAATTAATTTTATTTCACAATTTTCTTATCATTTGTAAAATTAAAAAGTTAAGACCTAGATTCTAGATTAATTAGAATCTAGACTCTAGACTTTAATCTAGATCTATTCTAGTCATAGATCTACTTTATAGATTTTTACAAGACCAAATGCAACTTAGCAAGCCAAGGCTATTCCATATCGACTGGGTAAATAAATGTGGTGAAGTTTATAAGACTTTCTAATGATAATCAAATGAATTACAAATAAAGGCAGAAGTGACACAAGTTAACACTTTAGTTCTGATAACTTTTTTAACATCTGATCTTTATCCTTAGGTGGGGAATTACCTTCGGATGTTTCGAGGGTCATTGTATAAGAGGTATCCTTCTATGTGGAGGCGTTTGATTACAATTGAAGAAAGAAAAAGACTTGCAAATATGGGTAAAAATATTTTTAGCCATAACTTTAACTTCACTTGTGTTATTTTTGGCGCTTATGCATATCTTATACTTAGTTTGTTGTTTACATAATGCTTAAAAAAGGTTTCTATTTTACTAGTGGAATTACTTTTCACAAAACTTAAAATAGTAGGAATATTTCTCAAAATAGCTTCTTAAATGACAATTACATACAATTTATACCGTATAAAAGTTATAATCAGTTATAATATCTCAAATAATGACATAATAAATTTTTTTTAACAGGTTTTGGACACCATTCTCTTGCAACCAATATAACTCTACTAAAAGCCAGTGAAGTTGATGAAATCATTAATGGGTTTGATGAGAAATACAAAGCTGTTTCTCTTACTTCAGAAGCTTCATTTTTGACGTAAGTTTTTAAAAGAAGTTGCTATCAATTTCATTTTATGATCGTTGTTCAAAATAACTAAAATTTATTACCAAAGAAAATTTTTTTATCTTTTAAAAGATTATAATTATCGATTTTTTATAGACAAACTGCCAAGAGCAAACGAGGCAACAACTGGGTTCCCACAATTCCTAGCAGTTCACATCACTTGGATGCAGTTCCCTGCTCAACACACATAAATAGAAATCGTTTGGCCAAGACAAAAATCAGAACTTTTCCATTATGGTAATTGATCAATGTGTTACAAATAATATAAAAAAAAAGTGTCTGTATCTTTGCTACTTTGAACACTTTTTTTTTTTCAATATTTTTACTGAACATAGTTGTGGTTAGCATTAAAAAGTTCTATCAAGTGTTTTTTTAAAGCCTCAATTTAAATAGAACATGTTAATAAAACATGTTTTATTTCTGAATCTTGACTCATTACATTTTAACAAGAATTAATATTGCTATATTTTAGCTTTGATGATACAGACCCTGCAGTTGTTCATGAAAATGCAAACCAGAAAGAAGATTTGGTCCCCATAAGATTGGATATGGAAATTGAAGGGCAGAAACTTAGAGATTGTTTTACTTGGAATAAAAATGGTAAAATAACTTTTGTTTTTACAGACAGCTGATTTTTAACTAGTGTATTACATATTGTAAAGTAATTAAAGTTAGTTGACTTTTGGGTTAGCTCTACCACCTGCCCACGTTGTCTCATAATATATATATATATATATATATATATATATATATATATATATATATATATATATATATATATATATATATATATATATATATATATATATATATATATATATATATATATATATATATATATATATATATATATATATATATATATATATATATATATATATATATATATATATATATATATATATATAAATGTTGAGGTACTTAAAATAAGAAATTTCCATCATATTTCACATATTTTGTGACTGTGTTATGCTAAAGCTTTCTTCTCAATGAATTTCAGATTGACACCTAAATTTAAACAATATTTCAATGGTTTTTAAATTTTAAAAATCAGAGCTAGTTTGACTACTTATCTTTTAAATGTAGGCTGTTGTCACATAACATTTGATTTCTTATATTAATCATACTGCAAATTGATTTTCAGAAACACTGATTACCCCAGAACAATTTGCAGAGATTTTGTGCGATGACCTTGATTTGAATCCCATCAATTTTATTCCTGCCATTGCTGGTGCTGTGAGACAACAAATAGACAACACCACTGTGGCTGAAGGGGCGGAGGAGCAGAGTGATCAAAGAGTTATTATCAAGGTTAGACCAGAAACTATAGAAATTAACCACTCACAGTTTATTAGTTTAGTAATTAAAAAAGTAAAGTTCCCTTTTCAAACCTGACGGTCTATGGGGCAAGTGAAGTAGAGTTCACTTGTTTCTGTGACCTCGGCATATGAAGAGATAGTGTGGTCAGCACTATGCTCAGCTGCCTTTACTTTCCCTAACGTGAGTTAGGTACCCATTGAAGTTGGGTGGACTCAGGGACTGCCTACTGACTTGAACCCGGATTTGAACTCGAGACTTTCGGGTTAGTAGTCCAGCTCTCTACCGCTAGACCACTCCGTCCCATTTAGTAATTAGTAACCAAAATATTTTGGTTCCACTTTTATTCACTTCTATAACATTATGTAAAAATAATCATATACATTTTAATAGCAACATTTAGTCAGTAATTTTGTCTGTTTCATTTTACCTGATAAACTACTTTATATACAAGTGTACATTTCTAGTAGTTGCAGGTTTTATAAAACTATGTTTTTTTTACAGCTCAATATACATGTCGGAAATATTTCACTTGTGGACCAGTTTGAATGGGATATGTCAGAACCTCAGAATAGTCCTGAAGAATTTGCTACTAAATTATGCGCAGAATTAGGTCAGCTTATAATATATGTACTTGGTATTTGTTTGTCCAATTTTTTAACCTAAAAAAAATATCAATCATTCGTAGCATTTTACATTGCTTTTACAATTTTTGACAATTGCTTAGACAAGCTTAACATCCATGGGGAAAAAAAAAACTACTTCAAAGGTACATTGAAATCAAATTACAGGGCATATTTTAACACTACTGTAGGGGATTTTTCTAAGCATTAATTCGGGAATTTAATTAGGTATGGGTACATGGCTAAACAGACTTCATAAAATGATTTACACTGTGTTACAAGTAAGAACAAAGACATTATCTACAACAGAAATGAGCGTTATGTGTATTGCTATATTTTTGTTGTATCACATGGAGAAGTAATATTCATTGCCAGATAGATTGTTGAATTAGAAGTACAAAATTAAATTAAATAGACTGATATAAAATAGATGCATGATAAATCTTTATTAAGAACTGGTCGTAATATTTACCATAAGAAGTCATGCATCTCATATACAGTCATGAATGTATTTGCTCAATGCATCTTGTTATTGTATACTCTTTTTTAAAATGATTTTCATAATTGTGATACTTCAGGTCTTGGTGGCGAGTTTGTCACTGCTATAGCCTACAGTATAAGAGGGCAACTGAGCTGGCACCAACGCACTTATGCATTTAGGTGGGTTTTCGATATACTTTTAAAAATTACGGTACGGCATGATAAAAAACATTTTTTTAAATGAAAGATTGTATTTCAATTTTTGCTAACCTAAGCATTTGTTTGCTAATTGTTCAGTGAGGCCCCATTGCCGGTTGTGGAAGTGGCTTTTAGAAATCAAAATGAAGCTGATCAGTGGTGTCCGTTCTTAGAAACTTTAACAGATGCAGAGATGGAAAAGAAAATTCGAGACCAAGATAGAAACACAAGGTATAGTTGTTTTTTTTTTTAGTATCAAGTGTTTCTGCTAATGATTTTTTTTTTTAGTATGTAGTGTTATTGCTAATAAACATGTATTGAAATTTTCACTTGATGAATGAGTAGCTATTTCTTTCTTGGTAAATGAAATAATTGACATAAATTTTGAAAAAAAAACCTATCTAAATTATTTAATTACTGCAACAGTAAATATATTTTACTAACCATTAAAGTTTCATGTTCTACCAGAATTACATATATGCTTATTTTGTAAATCAAAATTTTAAAGCTTTAACATTTAAAAAGAGCTTTGGTAGTCTAGGAAATTATGGTTTGTAAGCTCATCTTTTTAATTTTGTATCAGGCATAGATGCTGAATCAAATACAGGTTGAAATTGTAAAAATTACCATTTTCCTTTTTTTTCAGGCGGATGAGACGTCTTGCAAATACAGCACCAACATGGTGATTCAATGATCCGTCCAGTTCCAAGATATTTGTAAAAAATTTTAGGGGGGGGGGGGGGAAAATTCAATACATTTCAGAGGCTTCTATGATTAATGTTGCAACATTTGCAATGATTTAAAATGGTTTGTTTTTGGGTGTATTCTGAAAATAATCTTAGATGTTTGTCATGTATATTTATCATTACTTCTTGTAAATATCTTATGTCGTTGCTGTAATCATATAGTGTCAATAAAAAATGTGAGATTTCTTTTTTAGCTGTCTACTTTGTATACTCCAGAAACTTTGACTTATCTAGTAAATCCAGTAAGATGAAAATATAGACTACAGACTTCAAGAATCCAATATTTTGAAACATACATGGTCAACAAATGATTTTATTTCTCAAATATATTTATAAATGAAACATGTTACATACAAGAGCATGGTTAAATTTAGAAACAGTAAATTTTTATGGAATACATCTGGCTACGGCCAGATCTAGAGGTCAAAAATCTACTTTTTTGAAACTGTCTCAACAGTCAATGGGCCATACAAGACACTAAACCACAGAAGTCAAAACACTGACTAGTGACCATAAGAAATTTCACAGAAAAGTCTCCAATGAATTCAAGAAAATAAGTTACAACAGTAAAAAAAAAAATTACTTTGATTACTTATTCCATTTTAAATGTCATAGCTTGCACCTTACACCAAAAGTAAGAAAGTTTTAAAAATAGGAAGAAAATCTTCCAATAAAACACAGCCACTCACACAATCAAATCATTCTCAAATTCATAAATTACACATACATCTCATCAAGATATATGTAATATATTAAATGTAACAACTGTAAAAATCTAGGTGCCAACAGAAATGTATACAGTGCTGCTTAAATTTTTTAGCATAAGCTACAAACTAATACATGAATATGTGGTAACATAACTGAACTTTCTGATGGTTTGTCAGCAGTTATTTTCTTAAGTGTGAGGTACAGATGCAAACACTTACATTGAAAACCTCATGCAATATAGAAATTAAACAGCAAAGCAAGAAAAAAATTATGAGGTGGGACAAACAAAACTAATACTTTAAAGATAACTATACAGGTTGTAAACAAAAAGACTGCAAAAATTAGGTGAAGCAATGCTACCCTATACTTGTCCAGAACAATGTAGGTTGGTACTAAACAGCTGTTCAACAAAATATAATCACATTCCTAGGCAGTTTTTAAAGAAACAAAAGTTTTAAAATTGATACATCACTAGTAAAAGAGTTAATCATACATCTGTTCTACTTATTCAAGTAATACATACTGCAGTGTAAAGTAGCACTTAAGCATTTTGATAAATGTACTGAGTTGGTTACCCAGAAAATAAAATGTTTATATGATGCACAGGCACACGCAATCTTCATCATGCATACTTAAAAAATACAGTTGGAGTTATTCTCGATGAGTCAACACAAAGATTCCCAAAAATGCCAAAATTGCGTACTGAAAATAATAGAAGAAAAAAGTTAATGAAACATGGTTCATAATAATATTTAAAATTTAGTGACTAGATCTAGTTCTGTTGGACAGTATTTGTGCCCAAAACAGTTGTAATATATTTTTGTTCAACTGTTTTGACAATTATGAATCAGAGATACTGAAATAAGTATATAAACTGATGTTACTTAAATGAAGCATTAGATAATAGTATATTTACAGAACAATTGATTCAGATATTTTAATTCACCAACATACTTAATAATTACTGTTAGAAAACATCAAATTATATTTTCCTCAACATTGCCTCATCGACTTAATAAGAAAAATTATATAAAATTTGGAAGGTTAAAACAGAAAATTATTTTTGAACAAGTTGTTAGCTAAAAATAACAAGAATTAATCACAATAAATACCTTAAACTTAGGATAATCATTCATAAGGATGGTCACAATTCCAGCATACGGCAAAAACCTGCAAAAATAGGAAATGAAACATACAGACATAGACCTCACAATTAAAAAAAAATGTGTACAAGTGTGACAAATTTAAAAACCAATAAATTACACTATGATTACACAGTATTACACATTGATGCTCAGAACTTACGCTTTAGCTCTACCAACAACATCTTTTTTCTCCAGCCACAATTGACCTTTGGCATATAAACCTCTGTCATCAACAGAGTTATTATCTCCCTTGGTCAGGAACCTGACTGTTCCATCCTCCCTTATTAGAAAAAAAAAAATATTTTACCATTTCATGTGTAACACTTAAATCCTTAACTACATCATACAGCTTGTAAATTACTGTTACATGAATGCATGAAAAATGTAACAAGTCAGCGGAAGCACTTGTATATTCCCCCAACCCCTTTTTATCATAAGCCTGTGTTTTTAAAATCAAATTTTTAATAGAAAATGTAAAACTGTTTACTTTTCATGAACTTTCAAGACTCTGTGTACAATTGGAATATCCCTTCCTTCAATTTTGAACACCACTATTTCACCAACTCGGATTGGCTCCTCTCTGTGGTTGGTAAGCAGCAATAGATCACCACGGTGGAATGCAGGCTCCATGCTACCACTGAGTAAATAGAGTACAGGAAAATTGTCAACATGGTTAAAAAAATGAGCCCTTTAATTAATTTCTTTTAAAAAATCAAAGTTAGATAATAGTAAAAATCAGTAAAGAAAAAAAATGGAAGAGGAAAATTAGGCCAAATCAACAAAAAAAAACCTACCTAAGCACTACAACAATGGGACTTTCACTTCCAGTTACAACCATCAGACCTTTCCATATCATCAGCGCGGATGAGACAATCATACCAAAGTTCAGAACTTGATAGTAGAGCTAAAATATTATTAAATTCAACAGATGAATTAAACATAACCCAAACCTCAAATATTTTAAACTAAATACAACAAGGGCATAAAATTTCAGATGGTAGTGAAGATGACATCTGAAAATAGAGATCATTAGCTAAGCATAACTTGGATTTTCTTGTCATATATTTACATTATTTGTTGTTTTTGTTAGGCTACCTTTGGATAAAGAATATGGTCTTAAAGTAATTGCAGTTGATAGGCCTCGCCTAGAAGTGATTGATGTTGCCTAATCAGTACTCTCTGTAACTAAAAAAGCCAGTAAATGACACCAAAAAAGAGAACAAAACACATAAAAAGTATAAGATATAACTTATTGTATGGAATTGAAACTACACCTCTTATCAAACCTCCCTGCCCCAAAGCACAACTGCTCAACCACAGATTTCAGATGTATATACCAATATAAGACATTATTAGGGGTTCAGAGTCTATTGTCATGCCAAGTTTACATTAGTATTCTATGCATATGCGACTGAATAAGGTCAGTCCACATAGGGTAAAGCAAGGCACTAAGAGTCATGTAGCATTAGGACCCAGTCAGCACCCCACCTCCACAAAACCCCTAAATAAAACTGCTATTCTACTTTTGAGGTAACAGCCGTTGCTGACAACAGAGATGCAGAGGATCCTTCTTATGTAAGGGAGAATATTAAACAGGAATTAATCCCACCGCTATTGCCTAGTTGCTACTCTAGCTGTGTCAACAAAGTGAAGCAAATGAAGTGAATACGCAGATCGTTGAGCATTCAGAGTATTTTAATTCCGTATGACGCATTCTAAAAATTGGTATTTAATTGGTATAGAGAAAATTATTCAATACCCTATACATATATAACTAATAAACTCTGATATACAAATTTAGGTCCAGTAATAGATTATCTACTACTTAAAAGTTAATAGGCTATATTATGTTTGGAATTATGATATATTTTGACCTGCGGTGAAAAAATGATGCAGTAGTTTATTTCCTTTGGGATTTGCCATCTTCTGATTGAAAACGCTTAATATTTAATTTGCTAACACATTGGGTGTGGTAGAGTCAATAGTGCGACAGCTAACGTTCATCGCCCTGGAATTCCAAGTTCATATCCAGGGTTAGCATGACCGGAAATCAGTGCCTTTTAAAATGTTCTTTTTTTACATTGAATACATCACGTGTAATTTTCTAAATACATCCTTTAAACATTACTCGTGACTTACGTTTTCTAGTCCGTGGACGAAAAATCCAACCACAGTGGTCACTGTGAGTTCAGCAGGCTTATAGCATATGTCATAGAATGAACACACGTTCTATTTGAGGTCATTGGTGTCATCACTTCTCTTCCCCCATTCAAGCAAATCGAAAAGCATATCTATTTCTGGCCATAGGCTTCACATAGGCTTATAGACTTAATTCTACTACCACGCATTCTAGATAGATCTAGCTGTAAAAACTATCTACTAAATAACAGTTTGATAGAAGCCAAGCCGGGGGGGGGGGGGGGGGGGGGAAGAAACGACCCAACCAGGATTCAAAGGGTCGATTCTTAATTATCATCCATTCTTTTTTTAACCTGCGCCTAACCTTAGGTGTCAAAATAAAAACACTTTAAGGTAAAACTCCATTTTAGAGTATTTTATTCACCACTTCACGTTCACCTCCGGTTGAGCATATTTTATTATAAACACAACCGAAACACACAAAATGTTAAGAAAACACTAGGATTAGAAACATTAGATAATAGATAGACTATAGATCTAATTAATTTTTTATGGATGTGTTTTAATTAGAAAAGGTAAAAAAATATTATAAATAAGCATTTAAGTTCCAATCAAATTGCGTGTGATCGTCGGCAGAAAAAAATCACAGTGAGTTCAAATTGACTTCAATTATCAACATATGTCATAGCTTAGGGTCATTATGAGTTCATGTAAGTTAATTTATAGTATCATGCCTTGCAATTATGCGGTTCTACTTTAACCATTGCTAGAAAATCTTAACTGACACGAACATATTTTCAAGAAAAAAAAAGTTTAATCTAGATCTAAATAAATAGTAGCCTACACATTTTCAAATTTGGATTTTTCTCAAGTATTGACAAAATTTAAAAAAACTAAACCAGAATTTCAAAAAGAAATAGGCCAAGTGATTTCCTAATGTTTTTGTGTGTTTCGGTTGTGTTTAGGCCTATAATAAAATACACTCAACTCGAGGTGAACGTGAAGCGGGGAATAAAATACGTTAAAATGGAGTTTTACCACACTTTAACTTTATCTTTATATTAAAATCTTTATTTTGATATAATATAAATTAATTAGGCCTAGGCCTATTAATTCAAAATTTTTATTTCCAAAAAAAGAAAAAAAATCGGGCAGTCCTGATTTCTATTTTTAGATTGCGTTCAACCCAGAGAAAAGATTTAGCCCACTGACTGCAGAGCGATCCACACAAATGCGTCCTAATAATAATTTAGATTAGAATGAAGGCTATGACTAGAAGATCTCTAGATCTAAATGTACTCCTAATTTAGATTTTAGATTCTAGATCTAGACTAGATCTACAGACTAGAAATCTAGATCTAGAATTTAGTACACTACAACGGTTCTGTTAACTACTTACTAGATCTAGATCTAGATTCTAATTATCTAGATTCTAGATCTACTTACAAGACTACATACATATTATTAAACATAACACACTCATAACAGACAAGTCTAGTCAATCAGATTCTGTTTGTGTGTGAGTACACTCAGTACAGTGCAGACAAGTCAAAAGCAAAAGTTACGTCTATTCAATATTTGAATGTTACAATATATATTTAATTCAATATGTGATCTAGATTCTATTACCTGTCGAGCATTCATGCGTCGCACATCGTCAAGAAAATCAAAGGCACCCATATTGTAATATTGATGACAACACAGCCGGTGGTTTATGTTTCGTTTCAGTTCCTGTACGATTTTCACGCTGACGCGTACTCTCGATGTATCTCGTTGAAGCAACTAAATACCGTAACAGTTGGGTCATGTAGAACGTTGAGAAAAAAACATATTATGAGAACCAAAGTATTAGAAATTAATAGAAAGGCTTTATTTTTTTATCACTCAAGCCCATACTAAACATTAGTCGAGTAATTATATTTTATTCGTTCTTTGAATCTTATTTAAGCGCAGCCGGGTTCTGGGCCTGGCGTAATACAAAAGTCTCGAGTTCGGATCAGTGTTTCTTTCAGACTTTTTTCTCCGAGGGGTGGGGGGCACTTTAAATTTTAGGGGAAGCGGACACTGTTAAAAGTATATATTTTCTATATAAATTTCATTTACTAGTGTCCGCCCCCCGGAAAATGTAGACCGTTCCCCCAAAAATATAAAGTGCCCCCCTCCCCCCGGGAGAAAATAAGTCTGGAAGAAACACTGTCTATAGTACTGACCACACTAACCCATCTTATGGCAAAGTCATTGCAACAGATGAATACTATTTTAATTGCCCCATACATCATGGGCAAGAAAATGAAAATATCATGTGATAAGATTTTTAAATCCCCCAAACAATAGACCTACGTAATTATCGTTAATTGACTTAAATCAATCGCATCATTACTCGCCTCATAGAGTTGATAAATTACATTTTCCAGAATGCTAAACAAGGTCGAATGTAGATTAAATGAACCCAGTTACCCATAGACATTAGGCTCTTATTCCCGAAAACACGATGATCATCCATGATCACATAAATCGGCATTGTTTATATAAACTATCAATGATTTCTTCACAAACTTTGTTTTACGAAATTATTGAGATATTGTTATGCGAAAAACGGGTATCACACTTATTTAAAATAATTTTTTTTCAAACTGAATTTTAACACACACACACACATAGGCCTAAATATTTTTATTTATTTATATTATTTTTTCTAAATTATTATTCTCAATCATTTAATTGGAGAAAAAAAAAATAAAGTTACACAATCTTGACACAGCACAAATAATGTTAACCCCCCCCCCCCCCCCCCCCAAAAAAAAAACAACAACAACAACAACAAACAATCAAATTGAAATCGGGGAGGAGTGAATAGGCTGAACAGTATGTGCTTGTACGTATATATGTATACTACGTATATGTGTAGCTCTGTATTCTATTAAATTTAATAAATGAAATATTGATCTTTTAATATTTTTTTTTCAAGCTGAAGAACAAGGCATTGGTTTAAGAACAACAGTTTAATAGTTTAACAACAAAAAATAAATTACTTTTGACCTGACCCCTTTCCTAACACGATCTTTATTTTCGTTCAACTTTGCCTTAAGTTTAAAAAAAAAAAACCAGCTGGCTTATTTATCGTGACTTTATACGCTGGTCCATCTAAAACAAAACAGAAAGCACTTTCAAAACTGCAGCGCGAAAAAAACACAGCAATCTACTGCTAAATACGTTCATACTTCTTTATTTTAAGTCTGTTGAAAAAATACTACCATGTTTATGTTTATTATGTATCTGTTGAAATAGCAGTTGGTTTGACAGTAAGGGTAAATAATACAAAGTGCTGTAAGATTGTGCTTGCTTAAGTTAGTTAACCTAATGGAATAAGTTTTACTTCGATCAATCTATGACGCAAATTTAGTTCAGGTAAACAAGAAAAGCTGTTTGGGTAACCAGTATATGCAGCTGTAAACAGTTTTTTTTATATGTGCGTGTAACCAGCGTATGCACGTGTAACCAGTAGCCTATATGTATATGTAAGGGGTCGTCCATAAATGACGTCACACTCGTCGGGGGGAGGGGGGGGGTCCGTAATTTTGTGACGGTGTGTGATGAGGGGGAGGGGGGGGGGGGGGGTCTGATGGTGGGACGTCACACTTTTACATTTTAAAACAGCGATGTTAGAAAACGAATTTTAGCCGTTATTTCGCGTTTTAGAAAACTGTTTTAGTAAATTGTAATAGGAATTGATTAAAATACTCTTTGTTGAGAGAGTTCAGACGAGATTTTGGAAAAAATATCGGTGTTTTAAGAAAAATTGAAACGCAATTTTGAGGGGGGGGGGGGGTGTAGACTGAGGTGTGACGTCATTTTAAGGGGGCTCTGGCTTTTTGTGACGATGTGTGGGGGGGGGGGGGAAGGTGGGGGGGGGGAGGTAAAAATCGTCAAAAAAAGCGTGACGTCGTTTATGGATGACCCCCTAACCGGTGAACGTGTAACCAGTATATGTATATGTAACCAGTATATGTATGTGCAACTAGTATATGTATATGTAACCAGTATATATATATATATATATATGTAACCAGTGTATATATGTGTAACAAGTATATGTATGTGTAACCAGTATATGTATTTTTAACATCTACTTTAAATCTTTAAAGATTTAAAGTATAAGTACAGTAAAGCTCATCTTTAGACATAGCGATCCTTGGGCAGATGAAGTAGAATTTAGGAGTTTCTTGACTTCGGCATATGAAGGGATATGTTGCAGCACTAAGCCCAGAATTAACAATTATTTATAGTTATCGGAAGAATATTCATAATAATATACATAGCAATTTATGGTGGCAATAAAATAAGCCAATAAATTAAGTTTATATGTCCTTATTTTCCGTGCATTTAACAGCTACAAAATTCCGAACAATGAGAACATCTAGGTAGCCTTTCGAATGTTTATAAATACGTAGACGTAAAGTTTGTTTTTCTTAAAATTACATACATCTACATACATTTTTGAAATTCTAAAATCTCCACAAAAACCACACCCTCTCCACATCAATACCCAAAAATAACCAGCCCTATATTAAATTATTAACTAATGTGAGCGGCTGGAGTGTATTTTTATTATTTGTAACTTAGAAGGCGAATGAATCGTTTCGTTTCATGTCGTAAATTGTTCGTATTTTTTTAGTCGTGTAGTCCCGTATTATGGCGCCGCTGTCTCACTGTTTATGTCCCTGGTTATAGCTAGTTTATATATATTTCGTTTATATTGTTGTCATTGTTTATAGTAAGTGTCTTTTTATAATATTCTGTGCATGTTCCGTCGTGTTTGGTTTGTTATCCGTGAATTAGGGACTATTTGTTTACGTGTAGCGTGTGAGGTGTGTGGAAGTCGGTTTCGGCTTGTTCAACTCTGCCTTTTGTGTGGAAAGCTGCGGTGAAGGGAGCAGGCAGTCTCTCTGGTCATCGGGTGAAAAGAATAGCAAATTCGCACCATCCAGCCATATTTATTTTGTGTTTGTGTTCGTCGTAGTCCTGGACGTAGTCCGAAATTGGGTGTTTTGTTTGATGTAAAAAGTTTGTTTCGTTTGGTTCTGTTTTGTGTCAGTTTTTTATCTATTCTTTTTTTTTTCTTTTGGTTCCATATCTTGGTAAATAAATTTTATTAACTGTAAAAGTTTTTGTTTTATTTTAGTAGCTTATTATTTAGACTAAGGTTAGGGTTTAACCACTGTGGGTTCTACCACGGTTGCACTGACCGGACAGATTAGTTAGTTAAGCCTAGAAGGGTAGATTTTAAGGTATCCCCCCCTAGCAGGGCTTACAAATTGGTAGCACGAGTGGGGTCAGTGCTTTAGTCTAGTTAAATTTTTGTTTTTTTGCTAGGGCTAGGTGTAGCATAGTTAAATTTTGTTGTTTTGATAGGCCCTTGTTGGAACCATCTGTGTTTAGTTTTTGTTTAGCGTAGGAATTGTTTGTAGTCTTAACACCCAATTCGGACGAGATGGCGGAGGTGGCACAAACCATCAGCATCGTTCCACCCAGGGAGATCCTCATCCGGAAGTTTCATGGGGACAGCCACGGCTATGAGGTGGAACGATTCATTGACGAGGTCCAGTCTCTCTGGAGGGCCAGAAGAGACGTCTCAGTGGAAGAGAGGAAGGACCTTCTCTGGCAGTACCTGGGGGAAGCTGTGAGAGAAGAACTGAGCTGCAGGGGAGATGACCTGCAACGTGACCCAGAGGCCTCCATCAGGCTCCTCCGAGAAGTCTATGGGGAGAAGAGGAGCGTCTCCCAGCTAATGGCGCAACTCCAAATGGTTGTGCAGGGCCAACACGAGTCGGTGAGGGCCTACTCGCACCGCCTGCACAGGGCCTTCAAGGCCCTTGTTGCCAGACAGGGCACCCTGCAGGTCCCTCAGACGAATGCTGAGTTCCTAAGGGACCAGTTTATGGAAAAGCTGAGCCAGTCCTCAGTCAGACGTCAGTTGCAAGAACTAGTTTTCAGGGACCCTAAGATCCCCTTCCTGGCCATACGGGATGCGGCCATTCGATGGTCTGGAGACGAGGATCCAGGGACAGAACCTGCCTATGTGGCAGCTCTACATGCCCGCCCCAAGGAAGAACCCACCCTGCCCAGGTCTAAGCTGGAAGACAGGGTGGACAAGCTCGCAGAGCAGCTATCGGCTCTGTTGACTCAGTTGGCACAGAACCCTCAAGTGTCATCTAGCCGAAGGGTACCCCGCCGACGTCCAGAGGCGGAAACAAGAATGTGTTACAATTGTAACCAGCAAGGTCACCTCGCCCGCAATTGTCGAAACTCAAAGAAGCAGGAGGCCGCAGTGATTCAGAGTCTTACTACTGCTGGTGGGCAGAGCCCAAGCTCCACCATTCACAAGCTGGCTGGACAGTGCCCCACCCTGACTGTGTATTTACAAGGTGTACCGGTGACGGCCGTTATAGACAGTGGTTCACAAGTCAGCACGGTCACTGAAACATTTTGTAACAGGAGCCTCAAGAACATTATCCTAAGAACAGATACACCCCTGTCCTTGAGGGCAGCAAATGGGTTGGCCATCCCATACAATGGCTATTTTATTACTGACCTGGTGATCAACAAGGAAGAAATACGCGACAAGGGGTTCCTTGTGATAAAGGATCCAGTGGGTGGCTCATCAGCTCCACCCTGTTTGTTGGGCATGAACGTTCTCCAGGACCTGACCACATTGGCCCACCTGATCAAGCCCCCAGGGGTGACACCGAAGGTATGGCGAGGGGGCAAGGTCCTCCGCCCCCGCGAAAGGACTCTGGTGTCTGCCAAGAGTGTACCAACCATTCAGGCGACGAAAGGAGACCCCGGAATGAAGGACGACAGGGTGGTACAGCCATTAGACCAACCATTTCACTCAGATCCGTCAGTGGTATCAGGCCCAACATCCTGCCTACGCGCCAGCATAACCAGTATAAAGGTGGACCAATCTGAGGAACTAGAGGCAATGGTTCCACCTAACCCATCCTTAATTAAGGCACCGGGTGGTGGTGCTGGGGGATGCCCCCAGACAGAGTCGAGCAAGAAGGACAAGCAGGTCAAAAAGGCACCTGTAGCTGAACTGGCCATAGGCGATCTGGTCCTTCTGAGACAACCCCCACTAGGCAGACGCAAAATGGCAGACCTGGACGACCCGACAGTTTACGTCGTGGTCGAAGTACCTCCGATCACCGGCGGGTGTTACGCCATTAAAAAGAAAGATGGCCCTTCTGGCACCCGCCGGGTGGCCAGCACCCAGATCAGGAGATATGTGCCTCCCCGGGCTCAACCACCCTCCCCAAGGCCGGTCAAAGTGATACCGCCGGCTACTCCAGGCTGCAGCCACATAATTTATAAGGTCCAATTGCCGGGGACCAGAGCAGCCGGTAACCCCACAGTACCTGACATACCTCTGCGTAGGTCGGTCAGGGAGCGCAGAGTCCCTAGTAGGCTAGACTTGTGATTGTGCCCTGTGGGCTGATTTTTTTTGACAATGTTTTTTTGTAAAATTTATGATTGTGCCCTGTGGGCTGATTTTTTTGACAATGTTTTTTTGTAAAATTTATGATTGTGCCCGGTGGGCTGATTTTTTTTGCAAGTTCTTCCTGCAAAGTTTTTTGTAACATTTATGATTATGCCCTGTGGGCTGTTTTTTTCAAGTTTGTTAGCTTGCGGTGACCGCAAGCTTTAGGGGGCGTGTATGTGAGCGGCTGGAGTGTATTTTTATTATTTGTAACTTAGAAGGCGAATGTATCGTTTCGTTTCATGTCGTAAATTGTTCGTATTTTTTTAGTCGTGTAGTCCCGTATTATGGCGCCGCTGTCTCACTGTTTATGTCCCTGGTTATAGCTAGTTTATATATATTTCGTTTATATTGTTGTCATTGTTTATAGTAAGTGTCTTTTTATAATATTCTGTGCATGTTCCGTCGTGTTTGGTTTGTTATCCGTGAATTAGGGACTATTTGTTTACGTGTAGCGTGTGAGGTGTGTGGAAGTCGGTTTCCGGCTTGTTCAACTCTGCCTTTTGTGTGGAAAGCTGCGGTGAAGGGAGCAGGCAGTCTCTCTGGTCATCGGGTGAAAAGAATAGCAAATTCGCACCATCCAGCCATATTTATTTTGTGTTTGTGTTCGTCGTAGTCCTGGACGTAGTCCGAAATTGGGTGTTTTGTTTGATGTAAAAAGTTTGTTTCGTTTGGTTCTGTTTTGTGTCAGTTTTTTATCTATTCTTTTTTTTTTTTCTTTTGGTTCCATATCTTGGTAAATAAATTTTATTAACTGTAAAAGTTTTTGTTTTATTTTAGTAGCTTATTATTTAGACTAAGGTTAGGGTTTAACCACTGTGGGTTCTACCACGGTTGCACTGACCGGACAGATTAGTTAGTTAAGCCTAGAAGGGTAGATTTTAAGGTATCCCCCCCTAGCAGGGCTTACACTAAGCTACATATATCACAGGGTTAAAAAGTTAATGAAGGTAAAGATCTTAGAATCTTTTAGAGAAAGTGTTATAATATAATGACAATATGCCGATTTTAGGGTAGAGAGCTAGACTGCTAACCCGAAAGTCTCGCGTTCGAATCTGGATTCAAGTCAGTAGCAGAGTTTCTTCCAGGCATCTCTTCGGGGGGGGGGGGGGGGGGGGGGGTTGTCCGCCCCCCCCGAAGAAAGTCTACCGCCCCCCCCCCCCCCGAAAATTTCAAGTGGCCCCCCCCCGGAGAAAAAAGTCTGGAAGAAACACTGGTCAGTAGAATGTCACTTTGTCTACTCAGCTCTGATGGGTACGTTACTCACGTTAGGGAAAACAATGGCGGCTGACCACATTATCCATTATGCCGTGATCGCTGAAACAAATGAACTCTACTTCATCTGCCCTTTGTGTCTTGGGCAAGAACGGGAAAATATGAGATGATACCGACTCTTCTAACAGGCAGTTTTATTGATTAAAATTAAAAGTAAAGTTCCATTTTCAAACCTTACAGTCTATAAGGCAAGCGAAGTAGAGTTCACTTGTTTCTGTGATCTCGGCATATGAAGAGATCGTGTGGTCAGCACCATGCCCAGCCGCCTTTACTTTCCCTAACGCGAGTAAGTACCCATCAGAGTTGGGTGGACGGTCTACTGAATTGAACCCGGATTCGAACTCGAGACTTGCAAGTTAACAGTCCAACCAGTGTTTCTTCCAGACTTTTTTCTCCGGGGGGGGGGGGGGGGGCACTTGAAATTTTCGGGGTGGGGGGGGGTGGGGGGCGTTAGACTTTCTTCGGAGGGGCGTACACTGTTAAATGTATATATTTTCTATATAAATTCCATTTCGTTCTGGGGGGGTGGGAGGGGGGGAGGGGGTGGGAGGGGGGGTAGATATTTTTAGGGGGGGGGGGCTGAGCCCCCCCCGAAGAGATGCCTGGAAGACACTCTGAGTCCAACTTTCTACAGCTAGACCACTCCGTCCCATGTTTTATTGATTACTTTGGTAAAACAAAAATAATTTAAAAAATTTCTCTTCAGGTTTCATCTCAAGTTTTATTTCAAGCTACCTAACCGGAGAATTTTCCTTGGAACAAAATTATCCCGGACTGTTTATCCTTGAGGAAATAGAGGAACGGATGATCCGCTTCGAATTTCACATCTGCCGGAATTCTCTTTGATCGAAAATCGATTTTCAAAACAGTAGCTCCAGCTGCTGTTACCCCTGTTTCACAGATCTCTATTCTTGCCTTGTGAATCACTTCACTGATGAAGATGTTCCCTCCTGAGTAAAAGATAGATCTACATAACAGTGTGACTTTTACAACAACATATACTCTCAAACACAACCGGTTTCGTGACAAAATATTAGAGAATAAAATATTCTAGCCTAAGAGAAAAGATTTCATTTAACCCATATTATCCCAAGGTCTCAAATTTTTATAATTTTTTGATATGGTTTAGCTTTTGGGCACTGAATGAAGGAATGACTATGGATTTTTTTTAAAAATCAATACTTTTTAAATATTGATTTTTAAAAAAAAAACGTCCCATAAGTGGGACGCTAGCAACGAATGGCCCCATGTACATTTATTGAAAAATAAAATAAAATATGGCTAATCACGCGAAAATTAAGCTGTATACTGATTTTGTATTGTTAGACCAATGATTATATTGTTTAGGACAGCTAAAAATACTGATAATGATCAATTGGGTTAGCGATACCATGGTTTAAATGCAGAAATTATGTTCAAAAGTCTAGTTTTCTTTCAATCTAGCATCCATCAAAGTAAACAACACTTGGAAATAAGTAAAGCTGTGACTGGTACATCTAATTATACACACATGATTACGAATATTGTTATTATTCATCGAAACTGTAATATAATTAAATATAAATAATTGATTTGGGGGGGGGGGGGGGCGTTCTTGAAATTTTCAGGGGTGGGGACTTAAATTTCAGGGGAAGGGTGGACATTGGTAAAAGTATGTTTTGTATATAAATTCCATTTTTTTTCTGGGGGCAGAGCCCCCCCCCCCCCCCTCCTCCGAAATGATGCCTGAAAGAAACTATGCCCTCAGTGAATTTGCAAAAGATGATCCTGTCCAGTCCCAGATGTCATCCAGCCATCTTCTCATTTGTTACCCTCGCTATCCCCCCCCCCTCTCCACCCTCACAGGGGTACATTAGGACATCAGACATCTTATTTCTAGGGCACGGATCCATCTCTGGGGGCTTGTATTGAGTGTTCATGGCTCTCATCCATGTATGCACCTCACTATGCGAACAGCTCCCAATCTAACACCAGGAATCTCCTTAAAAAGTTAACAAAGTAAAACTGGTATCGGGAACCTTTGGAGGGGAATATTATGGGGGCATGACAACTGTACACAGCTAATTCACATTTCTGCTATATGTAGCTTAAGCTCTCTTATGTGAAGAGAGCTAACCAACCCCCATGACTGAATCATTTCACCTAAATAGTGGCCATTGTTATTATTCTGGTTTGTTATAATTTTAATATCACGCGCTAGTAAATTTACAGCAATACTAAATTAGTTTGTATTCAATGGTATTAAATACTTTAGTAAGTGTAATTCTGAAAACTTAAAAATAAAATGTAAGTTTTTCAATATTTGCAATTTTTTAATACAATAATATATAAGAAAATATAGCTCAAGGTCATAATTAAATATATATAAATACTACTTAACACCCCAAAGTCAACTGTTAACAATGTCAACAATTGTTTCACCATAAATAACCATTTAACATAAATATTTGCATCTGTGTTTCTCGCTAGTGTCCAATAAATGTGACGTTTGTGTAACAATCTGCATAAATATAGGTCAAGGTCATAATTAAATATTTATAAATACTACTTAACACCCCAAAGTCAACAGTTAACAAAGTCAACAATTGTTTCACCATAAATAACCATTTAACATAAACATTTGCATCTATGTTTCTCGCTAGTGTCCAATAAATGTGACGTTTGTGTAACAATCCACATGGGGCCATTCGTTGCTAGCGTCCCACTTATGGGACGCTTGTTGTACACTTGATATAACGAATTAGTAAAAAAAAATTGTTATTCTTAATTTTTTATCAGATAGAAATATGGTACTGCTACAAGTTTCAAATGTATTTTGCACTTAAAATGTTAATATTTTAGAAGATATATATTTTCCTGTACGCATGTTTTCTTTTTTCCGCCATTTTGACAAGTCCTGCAAATCCGGCACTGTAACGTTTTTCTAAATTAATTTTTTTCACAAAACACACACAAATTCAATAGTCTAGCCATTTTCAAATACAATGAAACATAATTTGTGTTTTAACTAGTTTTTAATAAATTTTAGCAATTTTTTTTACAAACGTCCCATAAGTAGGACGCTAGCAGCATATGGGTATAATATAGATCTACTAAGACAAAATATTTCAAAACAAAAAAATTCACAGGATAAAATATTCTAAGACATAATATTTCATGAAAAAATATTCCAAGACAAAATGTGTTAAAGACAAAATATTACATGATAAAAATTTCTTTGACAAAATTTTCAAGAAAAAATACTCTAAGAAAAAATATCTCAACGGCAAAATATCACAGGATAAAGTTTTCTAAAACAAAATTGTCTGATCGACAAAATATTTCAGAACAAAATTTTCTAAAACAAAGATATCTCAAAAATAAACTATCTCAGATTATTTATTTACAAAATCTCCAATATAATTTTTCTGCTAGGTAAAATGTAGTTGCTTGACTAATTTAAGGGCAGGTTAAACCCCCTCCCCCAAAATAGATATTTAAGTCAGAAATGTTGATTTTTCAAAATCTATTGTTTCTGAAACTATATTCAATTCTGAACATTTTTGTATAATTATTTTGCCAAATTACGAATTGCTAGTGTTTTTTTTATAATTTTTAAATTAATGATAGTAATGACTTAATTCACCTATATTAAGCAACATTTGGCAACATAAAAATTAAAAACTAACTAAAATAGAAAGGAGGCAACAAAAAAGCCTGATGGAATGGGAACCTGTATCTGATCGAATAATTAAAGCTAGATTTGAATCCAGGTTTCAAAAGACCTCCATTATCATGTGCTACGCTCCTACGAACAACGCAGACGAGGAAGAAAAAGACCGTTTCTACGAAGAGCTTCAGTCGGTGGTTGATAAGGTACCCAAGCGCGACATGCTGATCCTCATGGGTGATTTAAATGCCAAAGTAGGCAAAGACAACAGAGGCAGGGAAATGGAGATGGGAACCAATGGCCTGGGGGAAATGAATGAAAATGGTGAACTCTTCGCAGACTTTTGTGCCTCAAATTAGCTTACTATCGGCGGTACACTTTTCACCCACCGAAGGTGTCATAAAGCCACCTGGATATCACCAGATCATCATACCGAAAACCAGATTGATCATGTTGCGGTAAGGCGTCGTTGGAGGGCCTCACTGCAGGATGTGAGAGCGAAGCGAGGAGCTGACATAGGATCCGACCATCACCTGGTTGTTGCTAAACTGAAGATGAAGATAAAGGCGAAGAAGAGGCAACACGAAACTGATCCACGCGTAGGTCTGAAGATCAACAAAGAAAAGACGGAAATGATGAGAGTTAACAATAAACAAGAGGCTCCAGTGTCAATAGACGGAAGACAGGTAAATGATGTGCAAGAGTTTGTCTACCTTGGCAGCAAGATCAGCAAAACGGGAGGCACAGAGGAGGACATACGCGCTAGAGTTAATAGAGCCCACTGCGCTTTCACAGTCCTGCGACCCATATGGAAAAGTTCGGCCATCTCCATTACCACAAAAATTAGGATATTTAACTCTAATGTCAAGGCAGTTCTGCTGTATGGAGCAGAGACATGGAGAGTCTCCAAGGCAAGCACAGCAAAGATACAGACCTTCATGAATAGATGCCTTAGACAGATACTGAAACTGAGATGGCAGGACAAAGTGCCGAACTTGGAACTATGGAGGAAAGCTAGGCAGGAGCCTATAGGTGTGCAAATAAGAAGGAGGAAGTGGCGCTGGGTGGGTCACACACTGCAAAAGGCTCACACAAATGTTACACGCCAAGCGCTTGAGTGGAACCCCCAGGGAAAGCGGAAGAGAGGGCGCCCAAGACAGACCTGGAGGCGGAGTCTTCTTGAAGAACTGAAGCCAATAGGGATGTCTTGGGAGATGTCAAAATTAATAGCCGAGGATAGAAAGAAATGGAAGGAATTGGTGGAGGCCCTATGCTCCATAAGGAGCAAAGAGGACTAAGTGAAGTAAGTGAAGTGAACTAAAATAGAATAGATGTTCTTATTGCTGAGTAAGATGCTCTAGATGCAATTTATGTAACTGGGAGGTTTTAAAAATGACTTTTTTGTATAGTGTTCGCTTTTTCTCGTTTTTTTTTTTCAATTTAGTATAATTTTTACTATTTAGTCTTTTTCTCAAAATGTTACTTTTCAACAAAATTGTACCAGTTAAATCACTATAACTCAAAAACTACTTGGGATATGTACTTGAAATTTTGCACACTCGTTCACTAAACAATGTTTATGAAGTTGAACTAAAATAATTTCTATATCTTTAAAACGTCACATTTTATACAATAAAAAGCTGTCTATTTTTTTGACATTTTTTAGGTCTCACATTTAAAAAAAAAATTGGCGAAAATAATGTTTATTATTTCTAATTGTTTTAGTTCACCCTTTTTGTATTTTTGTATATTACGCTATGTTAAAGATTTGTGTTATTCCGACAAACAGAAGCCGTGTTATTGTTATTCCAATGAGAGCTAATTTTGTGCTATTTTACCCTTAAATGACATTTATTAGAAAATATTTTTACAAAACCATAACTTTTTAGTGCTGTTTTTGCGTTTTTTTCATATAGGTCTTTATATAGGCGTTTATTTAAACGCAATTTAATATCTTTATTTATTGCAAAATACTGTCAGAAAAAATTTTTTTATCTCATACTAAAATAATGTTTGACTCGTCGTTTAGAGACAAATTCTAGTTTTCAATGAGTTGTTGGTTACCTGAGGTCAAGCTACTAAAGTCAGCTCCGGGACCAAATGCCTCGACCATGCCAAGTTCAATGAGAGGTTGTTTCAAGTCAAGTGTCGTTTCAGTCGTGAACTTTGGAATTTTGACAAAAACAGTTTCCTCGCTGAGTCCAGTAAAAAGTTGATCTGTTTGATTTGGCACTGACAGAGATTGTTCTGTAAAAAATTTTTTAGACTTTATTCAAACGAATTAGAAGACAAATTATTTAATTTTCATTCCTATAACATTCTTTCTATTACTGAATTGATAGATAAGAAGAATTAAAAAAAACCTAAATTAAAAAAAAAACAACAAAAAAACATGAAGAATTTATGCATGTAATTATAAATAGTGGGAACTTAACAATGTGTTTAGGTAAAAAAGCCTTTTGTTTCAGAATATATTACGAATTTCTTTCTTTATAATATTTCATACAAATACGTGTTGGAGGCATGAATCAAAAACAAATATATATGTGATTGCACATTGTTTCAGAATATATCACAGCTTTCTTTATAATATTTTTGTATACAAATACACGATGGAGGGCTGTATATCTGTGATCGCATATTTCTATTTAGACGTTGACTTGAAAATATAAAACAATAAAATATGAGTGAATGTTTTAAATAGTTCGAAATCATTTATCGATTCCAGGTGGGTACGATACAGTATAAATTCCTTCATTATATATATATATATATATATATATATATATATATATATATATATATATATATATATATATATAATTGTGTACTATTTGATAATTACTTTTTTCTCTTCTTAATTTACATACTTGCAATATGTCGTAAGTATAAGCGAATTATTATTATTATTATTTTATTTTTGATTATGTATTACTTTCTCGTATACGAAGTATAGAGGAAGTATTGTGATCGTGCAAAAAACATAGTTTTGTAATTTTGTCCGTATGTCTGTGTGCGTGTATGTGTGTATGTTTGTATGTGTTTATGTCTGTTAACACGATAACTTGAGTCCCATTACAGCAAGGTTGATGAAATTTCTTATATAAGTATTATATCTCATTTGTAAACTTTCTCGAATATTCTTATATAACACTACGGGGATGGCAACTCGGGATATAGACAATAATTTTAATCCATTTTTAATTACTTAAACTTTTTATAATAGAAAAGAATCTCGTAGAAAAAAGAATTGCACACCAAGTGAATGCCAAACAAAATGTGCATAATAGTGCGGTATATTATACGTCCTTTATAAATTATTAGTACTTTATAAATTCATATGCGTTTTTTTGAGAAATCGGAAATAGAATAAATTACTACTTACGTTCAACAGAAATTACTCAAAATTTGATAGAAGGCAGAGAATTATATCTTTTACTTATATTTGAAATTTCATTTATATATCTGAAATAGTACTCAAGTTACAGGCTTTTAAAAAATTAAAAGTAGAAAAAGTACCACTTCCGTTTATCGGAAATAGCTGAAAATTTTATACGAAATTTGATATAATACTTATATATGAAATTTCATCAACATGGCTGTAACGGTACTCACGTTATCGTGTTTACAGACACACATACACACATACACACATACGGACAAGATTGCAAACTTATGTTTTTCCGACCCAGGGAGGTGTAAAACGTCGGGATTTGCAAAAATCTCGATGTTTTTTGCCACGATTACAATAATTTCTCTATACTCTGTATATACGAGAAAGTATAAATAGATTAAAAATGATGTCTATACCCCGTGTTGCGATCCCCCCCCCCCCCCCCCCGTAGTTTTATATAAGTATATTCGAGAACGTTTAGGGGAGATAACTCCCGATTTTTAAAAATACTTTTATTTTCAAATAAAAATAATTACAACATATAAAAATGTGGGTGTTCGTTAGTTTTTAACATAATTTTTTTTTTAAATATGTATTTTCATTTTGCTGTGACAACATACCAAGACTAGCAATACCGTCCACCTTCCGGGGCAGGGCTATGTACAAAGCAAACCTTTTTCCCTCGAATGGTAGTTCGGCCACATCAACTTCATTGGTTTTGTCGAACTTGTATTGGATGTCCATCGTTTCTACCATCATTGGAATCTGAAAGATTAGAAAAATAAAGAGAAAAAAAATTAAACCTGATGGCGCAGCTATTGAACGTGATGACGCGTGTGGTGTGGTTGGATAGACATGCCTACTAATTCGGTCCAAATTTTAATTAATTCATAAAAAATTAATTAGGCATCCAATTAAGTCAAATTTAATTTCAGATTGCATTGTCTTCATGTCTTGACCCACGTGTCAAATGTGAATCGTATCGGTCAAGAAGAAGTGTCCGAATTTTCACTCCTGCGTTTCGATCTAGACTGACGACAGACAGACTGTCGAGGAACTGAGTTAAATAAAAGCTTGTAAAAAAGTGCACCGTATTGTATATATATATATATATATATATATATATATATATATATATATATATATATATATATATATATATATATATATATATATATTCATGTCAGTGTTTTAAACTTAAGTTAAAGTTTACCTCCCCCTTTCGCTCTACACCGCGTTTACACTTGCGATATGTAAACTATACACATATAGTGACACTGGTTGGGGGGGGGGGGGGTCCGTAATTTTGTGACTGTGTGTGATAATGGGGATGGGGGTGTTCTGATGGTGTGACGTCATACCTATGCATTAGTGAAAAAAAGCAATGTTAGAAATCGAATTATGGCCGTTATTTCGCGTTTTTAAAAACTTTTTTGATAAATTGTAATAGAAATTGATTAAAATACTCTTTGTTGACAGAGTTCAGAAAAGAATTTGGGGGAATATGGACATTTTAATTAAAGTAAACATTCAACTGCAATTTTAAGAGGGGGGGGAGGGTGGTTGTAAGCTGTGGTGTGACGTCATTTTAGTAGGGATCTGGCTTTTTGTGACGATATGTGAGGGAGGGGAAGTCATTTATGGATGAACCCCTTATAGCGATTTTTCTTTTCTAGACGTGTATACACACTGTATAGTATACGAGTTGCAAATCTAAACGCGGTGTAATGGTTGCATTCTTTCAAGATGTCTTTCCACCCTTTACAACACCGTTTAACAAGTTTTACCATTTTTGCTGTCTTGCCATGTTCAAGGAACTTGCGGTTCTTTGCTTCTCGGATTTTATTCTCCCAGGTTCCGTTAAAGAAAATTGTATTGACTAAGAGCATAGAAGTGTCTGGACTGATAGTCCCTGAAAATTGAAAATACAATTATATTAGTATATTTGCCAATATATATATATATATATATATATATATATATATATATATATATATATATATATATATATATATATATATATATATATATATATATATATATATATATATATATATATATATATATATATATATATATATATATATATATATATATATATATATATATATCGCCATCAAACTTTGGGAAGTTGTTGAAAATATTCCTGGGGAGGTTTCTGCTAAAAAAAAAATTTCAAATTCGCAGGGGTGGCGCCCCGATAGGGCGCGATTTGTTTTTTTCTATATACGGTATATAAAAATAAAAGTTGATTTTGGTTTGGCATCGTTCATCCGATAGCCATGAGACTTTGGGGAGTTCATTATACCACTCTAGGGAAGGGTTCTGTAAAAAAATCATTTTTAATATCGCAAGGGCGGCGCCACGGGAGGGTGCGATTTTTCTCTATATACGGTATATAAAAATAATAAAAGTGAATTGCAGTGACATCGTTCACACGATCGCCATCAAACTTTGGGAATATGTTGAGAATGTTCCTGGGGAGGTTTCTGCTTAAAATACATTTTCAAATTTGCAGGGGTGGCGCTCCGGTAGGGCGCGATTTGTTTTCTCTCTATAAACGGTATATAAAAAATAAGAGTCGATTGCAGATTCACACTGTTCATCCAATCACCGTCAAGCTTTGGGGAGTTGATTAGAGCAATTCAGGGAAGGGTTCTGTAAAAAATCATTTTTAATATCGCAAGGGCGGCGCCACGGGAGGGTGCGATTTTTCTCTATATACGGTATATAAAAATAATAAAAGTGAATTGCAGTGACATCGTTCACACGATCGCCATCAAACTTTGGGAATATGTTGAGAATGTTCCTGGGGAAGTTTCTGCGAAAAAAAAAATTCAAATTCGCAGGGGTGGCGCCCCGACAGGGCGCGATTTGTTTTTTTCTATATACGGTATATAAAAATAAAAGTTGATTTTGGTTTGGCATCGTTCATCCGATAGCCATGAGACTTTGGGGAGTTCATTATACCACTCTAGGGAAGGGTTCTGTAAAAAATCATTTTTAATATCGCAAGGGCGGCGCCACGGGAGGGTGCGATTTTTCTCTATATACGGTATATAAAAATAATAAAAGTGAATTGCAGTGACATCGTTCACACGATCGCCATCAAACTTTGGGAATATGTTGAGAATGTTCCTGGGGAGGTTTCTGCTTAAAATACATTTTCAAATTTGCAGGGGTGGCGCTCCGGTAGGGCGCGATTTGTTTTCTCTCTATAAACGGTATATAAAAAATAAGAGTCGATTGCAGATTCACACTGTTCATCCAATCACCGTCAAACTTTGGTTAGTTTATTAGAGCATTTCAGGGAAGGGTTCTGTAAAAAAAATCCTTTTTAATTTCGCAAGGGCGGCGCCACGGGAGGTTGCGATTTTTCACCATATACGGTTTATAAAAATAAAACTCGAATGCGGTTCATCTGAGTGCCATAAAACTTTGGAAAGTAGATGAGAATACTCTCGAGAATATTTCTGTGAAAAAAACACCTAAAATTTCTTATGGGCGGCGCCATGGAGGGTACAATTTTTGTCAACAACGGTTTGGCGCCCAGAGTTTTAGAGCGACTATGTTGGCACTTGGCATCCGTTAATCGAGCGTCCTGCATAGCGAGTAAGGTGTACTACTATATTCAGCGGTAAAACTACAACAGGCTTCTAAAAATAACTTTGTAACGAGAAGGAAATCCTTCTGTCCGGTTTCGTCACCTTGCGAAAGATGAAAAAATAACTTTTTGAGAGCCTACTGTAGAGTTTCGTCACTTTGCGAATGATGCAATAAGCATCTACTATTAGACAATCCAGTCAGAAATTGAGATCGAGCATCTAATAATAGACCATTAGTAACGCTAGCATATTGCATCAGTCACACTGATGTTTAAAACGGTGCCCTGTCAAAACGGCCCGGAACAAATCGGCCCCGTCAAAACGGCCCCGTTAATACGACCCCGTCAAATCGACTCCCGACAAACCGACCCCGTCAAAATAGCCCCGTCAAAAGGGCCCCGACTTATTGGCTCCCGTCAAATGGGCTCCCGTCATATTGACTTGCGACATATAGGCTCCCGACAAATGGGCTCCCGATATTTAGGCTCCCGACAAATGGACTCCCGACATATTAACCCCTGACAAATAGGCTCAGGACATATTGGCTCCCGACAAAGCGGCTCCCGACATATTGGCTCCCGACATAAGGGCTAAAGACAAATGGGCTCCCGGCAAATGGGCTCACGACATTTTGGCTACCGACAAATGGGCTCCCGACATATTGGCTCCCGGCAATTGGGCTCCCGACATATAGGCTTTTGACAAAATGACTCCCGACATATTGGCTCCAGAAAAATGAATGATATGACCACTATTGGCATAAAAGTAACCATTGTGTCCTACCTCCAATACCACCATAACCTCTTTTTAATGCCCGAATGAAATTATTTTTCATGAACCAACATTAATTCACAAACAAATCGAGCCCTTAACAGCTAAATTCTACCAATTCTAAAGTTTTGATAATGTTTAATTTACAACAGAAAAGATCTGTTGCTTAAAAGCGAGCACAGAAGTGTAAATGTATGATATACATGATGTTAACATGATAACAGCATTTTGTTTTGATAACCTACAAGCACAGTGGCGTAGCGAGGTCGGGTGTCACCCGGTGCGGCACTAAATGATGTCACCCCCCCCCCCCCCCCAGAGGCGTTGCGACCCTTCCCGGGGACAAACTTTCAAGTTTTCGATTTGCACCCCCCCCCAAACTTTCGATTTGTACCCCTACCCCCTCAACGTTTTCTCTATATATTTTGCTATTTTTTGCCTTTGTGTCACCCCCCTAAATGGTGTTACCCGGTGCGGTCCGCCCCCCCCCCCCGCCCCCCCCCCCCCCCCTCGCTACGCCCCTGTACAAGCATATTGCAGTTAGGAAGGTACAGCGTGGACCCTTCTCCCCACACAATGAGTTGGAACAGCCTATAACCGATTATATAACCAATTATGGATGTCATAGATAGATGACCCTTAAATTAAAACATACTATATTTTATAATAGATAAACTAATATAAAAATAAGGCCTGCCGAACAAGAGATGCATACGTTGTATTACATAAGAGTGTTGGATAAGCTAACTCTGAAGAATATTTATGAAGGGGTCCCACTGGCAGATGTCATATTCAATGAGACCGCTTTGCCGGGAGACTTAGTCTCTACAGAAACGGTATTGTCAGTGCAGTGGCGTAGCTAGGATTTTTGGGCCCCTATGCAAAAAATTATCAGTGGGCCCCTTCGTCAGCCGTTAGGCCAGTGGCGTCGCTAGGTCGGGTCTCACCCGGTGCGGCACTTCGTATTGTCACCCCCTCCCAGGAAACAAAGCATATATATATATATATATATATATATATATATATATATATATATATATATATATATATATATATATATATGTATATATATATGTGTATATATATATATATATATGTGTGTGTGTGTGTGTGTGTGTGTGTGTGTCGGCCTACATAGGCCTAAAATTTATATATATGCCACATACTGGTACACGTACGTGTTTAAGCTTTAATCACTGCTGACTTAATAGTAACGATGTTTATCTACAGTCTGTTTATATAATACAGTTGGATGTAGCATTGTTTTCTTTATAGTTTACGTTTACGTCGTGGTGTCACATTCCCCCCCCCCCCCTCTTGATATAATTTTCGATTTGTACTTAGAAGACTATTTAACTTTAACTAATGGATCTGGAAAATGGCATTTCATTCTATAAATTTTACAATTTTTTGCCTTTGGTGTCACCCCCCCCCCCCCTAAATGGTGTCACCCGTTGCGGTCCGCACCCCCCGCCTCGCCTTCGCTACGCCTCTGCGTTAGGCTACAGAGGAGTTAAACGAAGAGATCAACTTCTACTTGCGATGGATATTTTTTAATATATAAATATTCTGAAGGCAACATTTTGTATTTTATATGTCCTGATTTTGTATTTATACTATATTATTATGCTTGCCTACTACTGCTAAAAAGTTTATTTATAGGCTGATTCTCTCAATGTATTGCACGACAAAGTGATATAGCCTGTAGTGTTATTATAACGATTGGGCTCTGTTTGACCCACAAACACTGAAGCCCACTGCCGAACCCCCCCCCCCCCCCCAGTGGGGGGGGGGGCTTTTTGGAACTTTTAACCTTTTTCTTTTTTAAAATTATTTATATGTAACAAATATTAAAATTCCATTGTAAAAGTTTTAATTTTTTATGAGGGAAAAGGGCCCCTATGTGCCTTGGGCCCCCATGCCTTGCTTACGCTAGCTTTACGGTAGCTACGCCACTGTGTCAGTGGTCCTTTTGTCTGGAGCCAAATTGACAGGAGCCTTTTTGTCGGGAGCCAAAATCACGCTAGCCTATTTGTCGGGAGTCGTAATGACGGGGGCCGTTTTGTGGAGAAACTAAATGGCGGGAGCCTATTTGTCGGTAGTCGTAATGACGGGGGCCGTTTTGTGGAAAAAACTAAATGACGGGAGACTATATGTCGGGAGCCAAAATGACGGGAGCCTATTTGTCAGGAGCCTTATTGACTGGAGCCCTTTTGTCGGGAGCCTATATAACGGGAGCCTATTTGTCGGTAGCCTAAATGACGGGAGCCTATTTGTCGGGAGCCTATATGACGGGGTCCATATGTCGCTGGCCCTTTTGACGGGGCCGATTTGACGGGGTCGTTTTGACGGGGTCGTTTTGTCGGGGTCGTTTTGACGGGGCCGTTTCGTCATTGGCCGAATTGACGCCGCACGGTTTAAAACACGTCAAATACTTTTTTACGTGTTAAAGAAAAAAAGCCTGTTCATTTGTGGCACTTTAGCGAATGATGAAATCTGCATCATTATTAACAGGATGCTATTTGGCACGATGGCGCCTATTACTTTCAAGGAGCCAGGGGTCGTACGCCGCGCCTATGCGGTAGTGTAATCGGGGGGAGGGGGGGGGGGGGTGGGGGCCCTGAGAACGCCCCTCTACGCTCTGACACAGAAGCGGTCACCGAAGTGTGTTACCAAATTATTTCGGTGAGTGATTAATGTACACTCAAGGTTTTCATGCCGTAGTGTAGGTAAACCCGTGTCCTGATATTTATGATCCAAGAACAGGCATTGTTTACATTTAAATAACTCATTTTTAGAAAAGAATGTCACGCGTCTAAGAACATATAATTATAATTGATAACGCGTTGGTGAAATCCTAATATATTTCGTCAAACTTTCTTCTATCCCCGCGGCAACGCGCGGGGGTCGGGTACGCTAGTATATATATATATATATATATATATATGATACTTTTAAACAAACAGTTTTGAAGAGTTTATATTTTTAGCAATTTTAAGTTTTCTTTATTTTAAATTGTTTCAAGCATGAACATAACATATTTTTAAAATATGAAGAAAAGAAAAAGAAAAAAAAATTCAACCTTGTGGCAAAGGGCTTTCAATGGTGTTTTTCGTGGCTTCAGCAATATAGTCGTTGATTGCTTTCTCGGGTCCTTCAGGGGCGGATAAGTCAAGATTCTTTATTAAGGCGCAAAAATTAGTCTCAGCTTTTTTAGTAAATTTTGGTATGATTTTTATTTCAGGCTTGACAAATATGGCGTTGAATGTGTTAAGGATTGCTTGTTCGATTGATTTATACTATTGAAGAAAAAATTAGGTTGACGTAATTACCCTGACGACTTATGGCGACTTTTCTTTGCTGCTTAATTTGACATAAATGAACATAATTTTAAAATCTTATGACCAATGAAGACAAAATTACATCTTGAAGTTAAATAATATTTTGAATTAGATAAAAGCACATTTTATTACAAATTTTAAAATTACTTTTTAAATAGGACTGGTTATGATTAAACGACACATTATAATAAGTAATAATTAAAACAAACCTCATTGAATAAACTCTTGTACAAAGTGTAAACTTTAGATTTGATTCCCAGTGTCTTCGATATTTCCTTATTAGTTTTGCCTTTTGCTCCAAGCGAAGCCAGGGTCAGAACTGAGTGGATGCTATATATATATATATATATATATATATATATATATATATATATATATATATATATATATATATATATATATATATATATATATATATATATATAAACTTCAATTCTGTATGCATATATGTAGCGGACAGCGGATTACAAAGATATATAAGAAAACAATAGACTTCAAAGTCGTAGTATTGTGCATCTAAAGTGCTTATCGTCTAAATTAATGATTTAAAAAATTAATATTGAAGGAGTTGTAAAATCTTCATATTCAAACTAAGAGTGATAATTGTCGACATGTCAATAAATTTTTTTTTTTAAATTATCACCTTTCACAAAAATTCTAATTGTGTCTGAAAATTATTTACATTTAGTTCTTTATTTCTTCATTGCATACCTAGATAAATCAGGAAACACAATTAATTTAAAAAAAACATTATCGGGGGAAAATTTACTTTTTATTACTTTTTTTGGTTTTGGTAAAAGAAATAATAACTTAATTAGCGTGGATCGATCAATTGCAATGTTGTAGGTATTTTAAATACTGCCTTTTATTTAATTTATACACTGAACGTACTGTTTACTAATTATTGTTTAAAATCAATAACAGTTAAGAAGCCAGCTCCCAAATGTCCTCTATGTTTACTCTTATCTTTCTATTTGGGGATAAGCTTGGGGTACTATAATTGCACACTAAATTGAATCAGGCGCTTCCGCCGGCGTTCCTGCGGGGTTTGATTTGGCGCCCCTGGCTATCATGTGAGCGCAACGGTGCATAAGTTCGTTTTAAACCGTGCGATAGACTATGGATTAGAAAGGTTATTACAGTCTTTAAATGAATCGAATACGTTCATCCTCCTGTGCCCCGACATGAGCTATTTGGCCCCCAAACCTTCCCCTGTTAGCTTTGGCGCCTATGTTTGTTTAAGTGAGTGAAAAAGACTATGAATATGTTGGGGTACTATAGATGTTTACTAAGTTAAATCAGGCGGTTCCGCCGGCGCCCCAGCATGGTGCGATTTGGCGCCCCGGGCTAGACTGTGAGCACTTTGTGTTTATGTTTGCGTTTGTGTTTTCTTTGTGTTTTAATTGGTTTGCGTTTGTGGTTGGGTTTGTGTTTGCATTTGCTTTGTTTTTGTTTGCTTTTTTGTTTGCTTTTTTGTTTGTGTTTACTTGGTGTTTGTGTTTGCGTTTGTGGTTGGGATTGTGTTTGCGTTTGTATTTGTGTTTTTGTTTGTATTGTGTTTGTGTTTGTGTTATGTTTGCGTATTTTTTGCGTGTTTTGGTTTTAGTTGGTTGTACTTAGGGTGGGCAATGCCGAGTATATGCTGATTACTAAACACACAAGTTATGTTCCTTACAGATAGGTGTTTCAAAGAGGCCAGTGTAAGGCCTGGCCGGTACGGCTAGTATGTATGTATGTATGTATGTATGTATGTATATATATATATATATATATATATATATATATATATATATATATATATATAATTGACTTAATTGGAGGACCAATTATTTTTTATGGATAAATTTCAATTTTCTGAAATTAGTGGGGAGTCTTTTACTTAATTCATAAAAAAAATAATTCGGCATCCAGTAAAGACCAAATTTATGTCATATTGCATTGTCTTTACGTTTTGACCCACGTGCCAAATTTGAAATGAAAGAGTATCGACAGACTAACGATATATAGAGGAAGAAAATTAAATAGAAAAAAAAAGATGCATAAAAACGTTTTAATAACATGTAATAACTAGCCACGTATAGCCTACTTGTTTTACGTGAATTATAGTAATACATATTTTTACAGTTATACTTATTTGGAACAAATCTCTCTCTCTCTCTCTCTCTCTCTCTCTCTCTCTCTCTCTCTCTCTCTCTCTCTCTCTCTCTCTATATATATATATATATATATATATATATATATATATATATATATATATATATATATATATATATATATGATTCTCTAATCAGTACCATGCAAAGTACGCACGCCGAAACGCCCCGCACTCGCTCCCCAGACATGCGCAACAGACCATATTTCTACCACATCCACCACAAGTTCTGCTTGATTTTTCCATTGTCTTCTGTAAACTGTCGTGACGGACTGCTGCTCATGGGGGCGTGGGGGGGGGGGGGAGGGAGGGAAGGGCGTGGATCGTCCTTCATGAGCTACTAACCGTTGAATCAAATAGTACCCATGACCCCAGTGTAGAATGCCTATTCAACGTATCCCAGGTGCTAGGATAACTATTGGTGTTCTCCGGGCGCCAAATCGTATACTGCAAGGTTGCCGCTCCTCAGACTTTTGAATATTAATTCCGCAGACATCTTTACAGAAGTATTCTCGTTAACTTCACGACGTTTTTTATCAATCAGATGAAAGGTTTGGTAATGTATAAAAGATAGACAACCTATAGACCCACACAGAGAGATAGAAGAAGAAGTGCAGGCTCCTGGCAAGACCTAGCATGAATTGAAGTGGCTCGCCCAAGACATAGTGGGATGGCGGAGATTTATTGCTGACCTATACCCCACAGGAAGTAAGTAAGACCCACAGACAGACATAGTTACATCTTTATATAAGGATTATATAAACTTCAATTCTGTATGCATGTATGTAGCGGACAGCGGATTACAAAGATATATAAGAAAACAATAGACTTCAAAGTCGTAGTATTGTGCATCTAAAGTGCTTATCGTCTAAATTAATGATTTAAAAAATTAATATTTAAGGAGTTGTAAAATCTAGATAAATTAAAAAACACAATTAGTTTTTAAAAAAAAAAACATTATCGGGGGAAAATTTACTTTTTATTACTTTTTTTTTGGTTTTGGTAAAAGAAATAATAACTTAATTAGCGTGGATCGTTTCATGACACTTCTTATTATATCATGCCGTAAAAGGAAATCACAACATTAATTCTAAACACATTGATAAAAATACAAATAAAATTGTAATTTTTATAGGAGAACTAGATGAACCATATTCTACCTGAATGGAGAGTAGACAATGTTCGATGTGTTGAGCGACACCTTCTGGTAAAGTCTCTGGAAGAATTCTGAAGTCAAAGCCGAGAGATCATTTTGTTGCTGGTTCTCGTTACCATTGACCAGCTTACCAGCAAGAGCCAGAATTATCAAAACAAAACCGACCATGTCGATCCTTGGGTTAGAGATGATCTGAAGTTTATTTTCAATACAGTGTAGATAAATAGCAAGTTCTGATCAGACAGATCAGCCTTTGTCATGAAATTAGACGAGTTAAGCTGTTATGTTGACGAATTACGAAACTCTGGCTAAAAGCAAACCGCCTGCATTAGCCATGTTTAAGCTGACAAGTAAATTAATTTTAAACTTTATCAACCAATTGTTCAAATACCCCACGTAGTCAACAACCACGTAGTAGGAGATCAAACAAGATTCGACCAAGCTTCTATTGAGAACTACTAATATATGTCGTCTAGATAAGTTGTGAGGTTAGTACAAGTGGCGGCCACGTTGATGTCTAGATAATACTGGTTAGACATATGTGCTGAACTGGCATTTAAAAACAAAAAATGTTTTGCTCTATTTGGTACATAAACGTGTATGCCGAAATGCAGTCTACGAATTCTGGTGAGCTTGTCGGCATTAGATAAAGCTATCCAGATGCAAAAAGGGCAGTGGCGGATTAAGGTGGAGGCTGAGAGGGCAGCAGCAAGGGCCTCCTATTTTTAGGGGCCACAAGTTTGTCTTTTCAAAAAATAGTAAATTTTATTTTCCTACGGACTTTTGTTTCTATAAGTTAAATGATTGTTCAAACAACCCTCCTCCCCCCTCAAATGTTAACAGTGACTGTCATTGTAATCTTTTGTCTATGAGGTCATTTGTCCTTGAGATCATTTGTTAAAAGAACGTTTGTCTAGAGGTCATTTGTACTTGAGTTTTTTTTGTCTGAATTATTTTGTCTGAAATCTTTTATCCTGAGATCATTTGTCATGAAACCATAAAGAAATATGTACTTTAAACAATTTCAGCCCCCTTCGGAGATTAAACAGCGCCCCTTGGAAATTTCAAGTGCTCTCCCCACCACGGCAGGAGAAAACGTCTGAAAGAAATTTATTTGAAAAGTAGGACTTTATGAGCGGCGTTTAAAATACAGATTCAATGTTCATACTCTTTTACTGTTTTTTTTAAAAAAAAGTCTGCAACCTATAATGTTTTGGTGATTGGATAGTCACAAAAGACGTTCAAGTTTTGGGATTTATCGCACAGCTCAATATTTTGTATTGAAGACGTGGTTAGCTAATTTTTCAACCTATGAATATATTTTAATTAGCTTTATATAATGAGCTTTTCTTCCAAGCTTTATTGTACCGTTGTTTAGGTAGTCATGTAGTTCAGGTTTCTTGAAACGAAAACATGCCTGCGTTGATGTATAAAAGTGTTGTGTGTATGAATACATTAAACCAGAAATATGAATGTTTTTTTTACCTAAATGATAACAAATGAAAAAAAAAATTAATTCAAATCATGTCAAGGTTTATTTAGATCTACTCAGCCGGAAAATTTTCCTTGGAACAAAATCTGCCCGGATTGGTTATCCCTGAGGAAGTAGAGAAATGGGTGATCCGCTTTGAAATTTATAGGTTCGGGTATGGGAGCTGATTCAGCACCAAATTCCACATAAGTAACTGCAGCCGCTGTAACAGAAATATGAATGGTTTTTTACTTTCTCGTATATACGAAGTATAGAGAAAGTCTTGTAATCGTGCAAAAAAAAAAATCGAGATTTTTACAAATCTCGACGTTTTACACCTCATTGATACGGAAAAACATAATTTTGCAATCTTGTCCGTATGTCTGTGTGTCGGTCTGTGTGTGTGTGTGTGTCTGTCTGTGTGTAAACACGATAACTTGTGTACCGTTACAGCTAGGTTGATGAATTTTATATATAAGTATTTTATCAAAATCGTAGATCCTGATCAACTTTTGAGCGATTTCCGATAACCGGAAGTGGTACTTTTTCTACTTTGAATTCTTCAAAAGCCTATAACTTGAGTACTCTTTTTAAGATAGATAAATGAAATTTCACATGTAAGTAAAAGATCTAATGTTCTACCTTCTGTTAAATTTTGAGTAATTTCCGTTGAACGGAAGTACTAATTTACGCTATTTCCGATTTCTCAAAAAACGCATGTAAATGTATAAAGTACTAAAAATATTATGCACATTTTGTTTTGGCGTTCTCTTAGTGCGCAATTCTTTTTTTTTCTATGAGATTCTATTCTATTTTTAAAAGTTTAAGTAATTAAAAATCTTGTCTATATTCCAAGTTATATAAGAATATTCGAGAAAGTATAGGGGAGATCATTCCCGGTTTATTTTTAAAAGATAACAAATGAAAAAATATTAATTCAAATCATGTCAAGGTTTATTTTGATCTACTCAGCCGGAAAATTTTCCTTGGAACAAAATTTGCCCGGATTGATTATCCCTGAGGAAGTAGAGAAATGGGTGATCCGCTTTGAAATTTATAGGTTTGGGTATGGGAGCTGAGGTAAGAATTAGTCCCACATAAGTAGCTGCAGCCGCTGTAACTCCTGTCTCCGTGACCTCGATTTTGGCCTTGTGAATCACTTGGCTGATGAAGATTTTTCCTGTAGAGGTGAATCATTCCAAAGGTGAGGGGGGAATGGACCAACAAAAAGGTACGCGCGAATAGACTAGGGCAAACACGCACACACGCATATATATATATATATATATATATATATATATATATATATATATATATATATATATATATATATATATATATATATATATATATATATATATATATATATATATATATATATATATTGATATATATATATATATTGATATATATATATATATATATATATATATATATATATATATATATATATATATATATATATATATATATATAGTGTCTTCTGACAGCAGAATTTATTAATTCCTAAATTTGATGTTGTATTTAAAATATTTGATTTGTGATGCAGATCTATAGCTTTCAGAGAATGGGAAATTAAAAATTGAAAATGCTATAATAAAAGCATTAGCTTTTTATAAGAGGAAACTAAAATCTTACTCGAGGTGGTGATGCGGCTAAAGTCAGCCCCAGAGTCAAATGCTTCGACCATACCAAGTTCACGCAGAGGCTCATTCAAGTCAAGTGTTGATTCTGTCGTGAACTTTGGAATTTGGACAAAAACAGTTTTCTTGCTGAGTCCAGTAAAAAGCTGATCAATCTCATTTTGACCTGATAGAGATTTCTCTGAAAAATATTTAGTTCAAGGACAGATTACGTTTATAATAAAACAAGTAAAAAATGCTTTGTAGTGAGTAGTTTTAATTTCACAAACAAAAAGAATATAATTAAACTTTCTTTAGATACGAAATGTAAAATTAAAAATTTCGCAAAATGATTTCTTCACATTATGCAAGCAACAAAGTTCAATATCAAATAATTGTTAAAATATAAATGTTGAGTCTTCAAAAAACTTTTTAATTAAAAGATATTTATAATCTTTTCATTTTCCATTTGTTAATATTAAGATATTGTTAATCTTGTTACTGTCTCTTATACAGAGTATAGAGGACGTATTGTAATCATGCACAAAATTAACATAAAATTTAGACAGTTTTCATTGTTTTACACTTAGTACTAAGTATAGGGGACTTATTTTAATCGGCCAAAAATAAATATCTAGATTTATCAAAATTTAGGCGTTTTATGCGTAATCGATTAAAAAAACCTGGGTTGGCAATTCTGTCCATATGTTTGTGTGTGTGTGTGTGTGTTCATGTGTGTCTGTGATCAAGATAACTTGAGTACCGTTAAAGCTATGTTGATGCAATTTCATATATAAGTATATGATCAAATTTGTATTTCTGTATCAGCGATTCCCGGTAACCGGAAGTGGGACTTATTCTACTTTCAATTTTTCAAAAGTCTATAACTTGAGTACTATTTCAGATAGATAAATGAAATTTCACGAGTAAGTAAAAGATCTAATTCTCTGCCTTCTTTCAAATGTTGAATAGTTTCCGTTGACCTGAAGTAATATTTTCGCTATTTCCGATTTTAAAAAAAACGCAGGTGAATTTATAAAGTACTAATAATATTCCGCACTATTATACACATATTGTTTGGCAGCACTTGGTGTACAATTATTTTTGCACGGGATTCTATTCTATTTTTAAAAGTTTAAGTAACTAAAAATTAATTGAAGATTGTAAAAAATCACATCTATATCCCGAGCTGCAATGCCCGTAGCGTTATATATAAGAATATTCGAGAAAGTTTAGGGGAGATCACTCCGGATTTATTTAATAACTGTGTAATGTTGTTGTCAACATACCAAGACTTGCGATACCATCCAACTTCTCGGGCAGGGCTATGTACAAAGCAAACCTTCCTCCCTGGAACGGCAGTTCGGCCACATCAACTTCATTGGTTTCATCTTTCTTGTGTTTGATGTCCATTTCTACGCTCATCGTGTTAATCTTAATGGTAAAACATAGAGATATATTTAAACCGAAGATACAACATTTAATGTTTGTTAACTTTGTATTTCAAGGATTTTATTTTATTTTTATTTTTAAAAAAAATATTTGTTTTTAAACACATTGAAGAAAAGTGTTACTTTTTTTGCTTTCTTGCCGCCATTTTTAAAAAACTTTTCTTTGTATGCTTTGCCAAATTTATATTCCCAGGTGCCGTTAAAGAAAATGGTGTTGACTAGCACCATGGCGGTGTCCGCTGTGATGGATCCTGGAAAATTGTAATGTAAATAGAGTTGTTTTAGTAGGTCTACAGATTTACTGAATTGTAAATACAGTTGTAAAGGCACAGATTTACAACACCATAAGCTATACGAGCTATTTGTGGTTAAAGCTGTGAAAAGATACTATAAAATTGTAAATACTGTTGTATAGATACAGATTTACAACTAGTACTATCAGCTATACTAGCTACAAGTGGTCAGTTCTGTGATAGATCCTACAAAATTCCAAATACTGTTGTATAGATACAGATTTACAACAAGCACCAAAACAAATGATAGCCACGTTTGGTTAATGACATGAGTAGAAACCACAAGGCACCTAAAATATTGGTTGTTTAGTATTTGAATAAACTCAAGCAGGGCTCCTTACGATAATGTTTCTCCTCTAGAGGGGTAGGGGCAGGCGGACAATTGAAACTTTCCGAAGGTTTGAGTATATATTTTCCACTTAAATACCATATAAACTAATTGTGAGGGTGGAGGTTGATACTTGAAAATTCCCGACGGTTTAAGTATATATATATATATATATATATATATATATATATATATATATATATATATACATATATATATATATATATATATATATATATATATATATATATATATCTAAAAAACGATATATATATATACATATATATATATATATATATATATATATATATATATATATATATATATATATATATATAGTTTTTTAGATATATATATATATATATATATATATATATATATATATATATATATATATATATATATATATATATATATATATATATATATATATATACTCTACATACAATTTTCTATAATTACATTAGTTTTAAACTTGATCTATGTCATAGGGACAGACCAAAATGAGATGAATTTAATTTAATTTTATCTTTTTAAAAAATATAGACATAGTAATTTTACTCTGGATTCATTATGGACGGAGAAAAAGTCTGAAAGAAACACTGCTTAAGAGGTTATTGCGTCTTCTGATTTTTCTGATATTGTTACAGCGATTAGATCCGAACACATAACTTCATAATTATATCATGAATATAAGAGCTACCTTCTGACACTATGTCTTTGATCAAGTTTTTCGTGGCTTCAGCAATATAGTCGTTGATTGCTTTCTCGGGTCCTCCAGGGGAGGATAAGTCAAAGTTCTTTGTTGTGGCGCTAAATTTGGTCTCAGCTTCTTTAGCAAATTTGGATTTGATTTTTACTTCAGGATTGACAAAAATGGCGTTGCCTATGTTTATAGTGACATCTTGGACTGAGTTTATCTTTCAGAGGAAAAATAGTTTGGTCCAGTGGCGTAGCCAGGATCGTCTCATGTGTTGGAGGGGGTTCAAAGTTTTTCCAGCAATATATATATATATATATATATATATATATATATATATATATATATATATATATATATATATATATATATATATATATATACTAGCTGTACTCCATTGCTTCGCTATGATGTAAAATAATTTAAAAGTAGTACTTTGAACAAATAAGAAAAAACACACGATGTAGGCCGACAAAGAAAACAATTAATCACTCTAAACAAAAAGCAAACAAAATTACACAATAAAACCAAAAGAAATGAACGCAACACAATCTGTTTTGTAATCCCTGTTAAAAAAACAATTTGACATAATGATTCCTAGAATATTATTTAAGACAAACGAACCAAGGGAAATGATCCATCTCTTAATATAAATATGTTAATTGTGAATGTCAAAACAGATCAATAATTACTTTAGTTTGTAATATAGTAGCTTAACTATATTCGTTTTTACAAAAATATGTTGCTACGATCAGAATTAAATATTTTGTCATCATGAATGCTAAAATATTACAGAACAATGAAAGTTTTCGAAATCAGAGTGGGTATAAAATCAAGCTTTTCCATCTTTTAGAAAAAACTAAAGCTAATATGTGGAACATACTGAATAATAGTCTAAATATAGGTCTAGAATATTAGTCTTACTGTTCAGATAAATCGTTTTTTAAATTAACTACTGTTTTTTATGTTCTTTAAAGATATTTTTTAACTTAATGATAACGTATGGTTTACATCCATGTACTGATCACACACCTGTTTACTGGCAATTGCGAAAACAATATTTACAGAGTTTTACCTGTTTCAAAACCTATGATTCTGGCGGCATGGTACTTTGGTACCTCATTACGCATTTCCCAAATGTACTTAACAGATCGCTCTACAATTTTTTACAGTCTGTCCCGTTTTAGGTGGTGAGGAGGGGGGGGAATATAACCAACTCAGAGAATATTGCGTCAGTTTTAAGATGACTGTTCAAACATTCATATACAATTATACATATATACTAATTCAGAAATAGATTTAAATAAGTAACAGTGGTATTATTACAGTAACATTTTTTTTACAGAGGGTCCATGGGGGGGGGGGGGGTTGTAACCCGTCTAACCGCCACCCCACCCCTGCCTACGCCACTGGTTTAGTCTTACAACGAAACCTAACTACACAAATTGTAGCATATGTCTTTTTCTAATTTTGACTTGAATCGACAGTATAAAAACATTATTTTTTTAATGCAAAATAATTTTATAAAACAAAATAAAAAATAATAATTTTGGTTTGAAAATAGGCCTACGTCATATAATTGACACATCACATTACTATATACTAATTATATTAAAAAAAAACATTAAAATTAACATTAAGTATAAATAAATCCTTCGTCATATAATTGACACTTCAAATTATTGTTTACTAGTTATATTTTTTAAAAAATTACTTATTAAAATTAATTAATAACAAATCTTACCTCGTTTGTAAAGTTCTCATACGCAGCAGACACTTTAGAACGAGATTTGACACCAAGTGTTTCTAACATTTCTTTCTCCGTATTCTCTTTTGCTCCAAGTGATGTCATAGTCAAAATTGCGTGGATGCTATATTAGCAAATAAAACACATAATCCTATATATATATATATATCAATGCAGACCGCACTGGGCGACACCATTTAGGGCGCGACACCAAGACAAAAATATAAGCAAAATGAATCGATGATTTTGTGATCAATAGGTGTGATTTTTGTGTGTCAGAAGCTAGAACCAATACACTACCTGTATGGAGAGTAGACGATGTTCGATTTGTCGAGCGCCACCTTCTGGTAAAGTCTCTGGGAGAATCCTAAAGTCGCGGCTGAGAGGGTATCGTCTTTCTGTTGCTTCTTCTGCTTCGGCTGCTTCACCTTAGCTCCATAGACCAGTTGGCCAGCAAGTACCAGGAGCATTAACTTGAAGCTCACCATGGCTCTCTGCTAGACATGATTTATTTAAATTAAATATATACGAGCCGACCCGCGGCGTATCATACGCCGCTATTTAGTTGTTGTTTTTTTTTCTACTTTTCAGTAATTTATAATTTGTGAATTCGACAGTACCTGTGCTGCCACTGAAAATATTTGCTTTAAAACACTAAGACCCTCCTTTCCCCCAACCCCTATCCCCCCCTCGTGAAAGCAGCCTCCTCTTAGTTACCTCCCCTAAGTTTAAAATCGTTTGAAACTAAATTATCTGCCCCTAAACCCGTCTCTACGATTGTAAACATTTAGCGTGAACCACAGCTCACCAGACCATGTGGAGATGGGGGTGGTAGCGATATGCCTAGAGAGGAAGAGAGGGGACTGCTAGGCGCGGTTACAGCTTGGTGTTTTCTAGCGTCTCTAAAATGAGAATTATATATAGACTAGCCAAATGTACCCGTTGAATGGGCAATTCTGGTGACTTTTAGCTCTCTTCTCTTTACAAATAGGCTACCCGGTTTTTCTTTTTGTCTAGGGAAGAATATATATCTACGGAAAGTGAGTAATGAAATGATTTGTAATTCAGCTTTTTAAAAAGTCATTATGTCAATGTTAATACTTGTTTAAAATAGCAAAGACTACCAATACCTATTAGAAAAATTAAAACCAAATTATATACAGTATTAGTCAACACAATACCATATAAAATGCACTCGCTGATTAAGAGACTTAAAATTAAGAGACTTAAAAGATTTCGTTAAAAACCCGGCTGTTCAATGGTAGTAATGTTGTTTTTATCTTTTAAAATTTTAAAGCAACAGCCAATTGAGAAAGATATCAAGACCTGTAAATGGGGATGGATCGGACACACGTTAAGAAAAGAAAAAGAAAACATCGCAAAACATGCATTGGACTGGAATCCCCAGGGGAAAAGAAGGGTGGGCCGGCCAAAGAAAACATGGAAGAGAACGGTTGAAGAAGAGGCAAAAACAGCTGGGCTCTCATGGGCACAGATTAGAGGAGCAGCCCAAAACCGAGTCCGTTGGAGATGTGTGGTTGCAGCCCTTTGCTCCCTAGGGGCCATAAAGGAATGATGATGATGATGATGATGATTTCGGCTGAGCATGGGTCCGACCACACTATCCTTTCACATGCTGAAAAGACAAAAACGGGTGAACTCTACTTTACCCGCCCCGTGTCCCACCAAGTCCCGATAGGCAACTTTATATATCACATATTAAAAAAAATTGAAAAAATATATTTAGGATTGACTTCATGAGTCTCGAACTCATACCACCCACATGGTATCAATTACTCTGTCATATGAGCTATATAGCCAACTAAGAAATCATTAAGAATAAAGGAGGTATTTAATAAACTTAACTTACTTAGCTTTATCCCAAAAATAGCCAATTCCAGAGCTAAACAAACAAAGATTTCTATAAAATAATTAAGGCGTGAAATAGGTTAGTATAGACGTTTATTAGTGGAATAGATTTTCGATCTAGATAGAATCTAGATCTCTGTCAATCTCTAGAGTCAAAGTCCTAATTCTAGTTTTTCCGTAGATCTAGATCTACAATCTCTAGATCTAGATCTAGACTCTCTAGATCTAGAATCCAAATAGATAAAGTAGGCTAAATTTTATAAGTTTAGTCCGAGAAAATTGTATTGTATACATTTCATAGTGTACGTAGATTTAAATCAAATTTGAATGAAACAGTTCCTTTCTTTATATTCTAAAATCGGAAGATGACGCCAGTAGTTTAGTGGTCTTTCTTTAGTATAAACATTAGTGACGTCCTTGTTTATCGCGTTCTTGTCACAACTATGAAATTTTGTTTATACATTTAAAACATCTACCATATTATTTTCAACTAAAGTCCATAACAAGTTCTCCATATATCGCTGAAGATACTGATATCATAGCCTGTGAAAATATTTTGCGGACACAGAGAGAGAGAGAGATAGAGAGAATTGCGCACATTGGCTTTTATATATTAGGATATATATATATATATATATATATATATATATATATATATATATATATATATATATATATATATATATATATATATATACAGGACCGGTGAAACCTATAAGGCGAACCGCCTAGGGCGCTATCCAAAGGGGTGCGCAAAAATGGGCAATCGACATATTAAACAGTGCCTAATAATTTACAAATTTGATTAAATTGTATAAACTATAGACAGGGTAATACACAAATGCGTAGCGATCTATTTCGGTGCCCAGTACCAACAATCAATTTTTTCGCCTCCGCCTCAAATTAGGCCTATTCGAGATGGTGAAAATGTGCCCCCTCCTCCCTTATTTGGACTATTTACGACTCATTTTGCTTTTTTATATTTCCGTTTGTTCACAATTGATGTAGAAAATAATTAAATGAACCTGTAATGCCAAGTGTTAGCTTCCTAAGCATATATCACCATTAGATATGCTTCTCTATATAGTACAACCAAAACTGAAAGATTGTATACCAAATGTTGTTGTTTCCTTGAGAATACTATTAACACTCCCAGTGTCCGTGGCTAGTGAAGAGCGCAGTCTTTAAAAATTGAGATTAATTACAGGGTCTGAACTACTATACCACCAAACCCCGCAACGCGGTCGAGGAAAGAGTGGGGGGGGGGGGGGGGGGGGCATTTAGAGGTATGGGAGAAAAATCCGACACCAAATTAAAAAAAAATTGCGAAATAAGTTTCGCCTAAATAACCTGGCGTCGGCACTGTATATATATATATATATATATATATATATATATATATATATATATATATATATATATATATAATATTATTATTATATAGATATATATATATATATCTTTATATATATATATATATATATATATATATATATATATATATATAATTATTTCAAAAAATATTTTTGTTGCATGTTTGGACACTGTGGACCAGCTGACCAGCTATGGCCATGTCCATCCAAATAAAACCGACTACGTCGATCTATGTGTAAGAACAACTATTCCGACTTTCATGTTTTATGAAGTAGGAATAAATTTAAAACATGTATTAACTACGATATCTTACTATTCAACTTTAAGATAAGCCTCGTACACTGCTATTAAATAGAATGGATACGTGACACAAACAATAATTAAATAATTTTTAAAGCAAGTTTTAAAGAATTTTAATCTTCTCTACTTTTATGTAAGTAAGTCTCGAGTTCGAATCCAGGTTCAAGTCAGTAGACCGTCCCTGATTCCACCCAACTCTGATGGGTACCTAACTCACGTTAGGGAAAGTAAAGGCGGCTGGGCATAGTGCTGACCACACTATCTCTTCACCGAAACAAGTGAACTTTTTTTTTACTTTACTTCTCCACTTTTAAGAGAACATAGTTATATTTTTTTTTTCCCTGAGGATAGCTACGATAACGACTCTACCGTCTGTTAAAAAAATGACAACTTTTTTCGCAAAATGTCTTTCATTTATAAAATTATTTCTTATCTAACAAGAATATTATATAAAGTTTACATTTATGTTAAACAAAAAAATATTTATTTTACTAAAGTAAAAATGTAGAACACTCACATTGTTCAGTAGTCGGATCTCTTGAGTAGAATGATCTAGTCACAAGGGCTGTCTTACCCACTTAAAGTTAAACTGACAGGTTTTAAATTAAAAGTTTAAATTTGATCACCTTTGTCTACTTCAAACCTGCCCTGCCACGTAGTCAACAGCCACGCAGTCAACAGCCACGTAGCTGGGCATCAAATGTTAAATGAGATTCGACAATTTGTATTGACGTATTCTGCTCGTTTTTTTTGGTATACTGGAACAGAATTTATCAAACAAGTGAACACGTTTTAAGAAAAAAGTAAATTTCGACAATATGGGACGATGTGGCCGCGTGGTAGATAGCTCGACGTCTAACCCAGAGGTCTCTAGTTTGGATCTCGGTCCGGGATTGAGATTGTAGAACGTCTTTGAGTCCATATAGCTCTGATGGGTACCCAACACAATTTAGAGAAAGTAATGGCGGCTAGTTATACCGGTCGAGAAACCAATGGAATATATTGCCTCTGCCCTGTGGATGGTTAGGACTTATACAGTAGCTTTCGAAGAAAATTTATGTAATAGAAAGAATGTCATTTTTCAACGATAATTTCCGTTGGACATATATTTGTGCAGACTTAGGGAATAATTTTATCAGGAAAACAAACTTTAAAAGAAATTTAAAGCAACATTTAATAAATGCAAATACATTGTAAAGCTTACAATCTCAACTACTACTATACTTTTAATTCTATTTTTTTAAAGCAACATAGCTATCTTAATTTGTAGTTATATTAAACAAGCCAAGGGCAATGATAGCTTTACTATTTACATGGGTAAATATGCCTTGCCGTATTGAAAACAAGTTATTAAAAAGTCTAGTGACAATTTAAGCGCAATTTCCTTATGTTATCCATAACAATTTTAAATCACGTGGAAAAAACGAGCGACGCGTAGCTCGCCTCTCTCTCTCTCTCTTGCCGCGCGCAGTGACGCGAACGATCCCACGTCAGATAGGCTAGCCTCCCGTTTCATTCGAAAGAAAATCCTTTCGAACCTCCGCTCATTCGCTATGGTAAAATCCTTTCGAACCTCAGCTTTGCGCTAAAAATCTACACGACGCTCAGTTTAAATGTTCTTAATTAATTTTTTTGTGACCGAACAAAAGGATATTTTTGAAAACTTTCTTCGGCAATATTGGTCTAAATTATGGCAGAAATCGATTAGTCAATGTTTCAAGTCGCTAAGTGGTCTGGTTGCCGAGATATGGAGCAAAAACTGCATTTTTTCGAGGTTTTTTTGGCTTTTCCGGGATACCCGGATAGGAATTTCGGCAATTTATTTGGCCCACAATCATCCTTGGAACTTGCTTAACATATTTGCTTTGGAACTAGTCCTCGATATTGCTTCGTTGAGGAGGAGATACGCCTTAAAGCTGCGGACATCCATTCATCCATCCAGAAATGACGGGTTAATAAACGCAATTCTCCAGAATGGAAATTGCGCTAAAAATGGGCAACCAGGTTGGATCCTTATTTAATAAGGTAGTATCATACCATATGGCTTATTGACAAAGCTATTATATTTCTCTTCTAATGAAATGCTGACTCGTATTTCGAATGACTTATTGTGCCCTAAGCCAATGTGGGCTGAAGTTATGCGTATAAACAGAGACAGGACAAATACCATTTTACCGTATATATTACTTATTTGAAGTGAGGAAACTTTAACACCGCGTTTATATCTTAAGTGCAATTGACTATCTCAAACCCTAAGACCAATCTTTACAGATAATTAAGATTCCAAGATTAGCGTAGCTACAAACAAACATACTTAGTAAACGTAATAAAACATAACAAGCAATTTAAAACATTGAGACCATCTGAGAGTTAAGCTACCAAATAAAAAAATAGAGGCCATTTTAAAACATAGGGCCATTGTAAAACATAGGGGCCATCGTTAAACATAGGGGCCATCGTGAAACTTAGGGCCATTTTAAACATAGGGCCATTGTAAAATATAGGGCCATTTTAAAACATAGGGCCATTTTAAAACATAGGGGCCATTTTTAAAACATCGGGGTCATTGTAAAACATAGGGGCCATCGTGTATGTCACAAACCGATCTTTGTCATTTTCCTAACCAGTTTTATTTTTTACAAGCCATAAATCTGGGTTGTTTTTAATGAGCTGTCGTATGGGCTTAGTTTACATTTTCAAAAAGCCAAGACAGACAACAATACAATATAGTTATTAAAAGTCTTGGATTTTATTTTATTTTTACCATTTTTTTTACCTCAGACATGTAATTTACTGAGTCAGCTTGCCTTGCATGTTAGTTTTAGTATTATAATTTTCATCATCGGCTTGTAAAGACTGGTACAGATTTATAATAGTAATACTCTTCTTTCTTACATTTAGTCTACTTTCATTCATTTAAGATGGTTTACTTATACATAGATCAAATACAGAACATCTAATTACAATTTTATTTTAAAATCTGAAACTGCAAATGTGTAATTAAATGATGATTCAATGGTTTTTTTTAACAGCGTGGTAGGTTGAGGGGATTTGGGCTTATAAGTAGAGCTCAAATAAATTTTTGATTAAACTTCCGATAGAGTAGGCCTACTCAAGATAAATGTTTTTTGTCAAGAGCTTTTTGACTTAAATTAAAAACCGATGAAAATAATCAATATGGGGTGCTGATAGCAGGTTTTTAAAATTTAAATATGTACTTACTTTAACCGTAAAATATAAATAGAAAATATAAACTGTAAGAAATGGTTTATAACAATAAACTTTTAGATGCAATAAATTATAAGAAAATAAATATAATTCCCCCCCCCCCCCCCCCAAAATCTAAAAAAAATGTTAGTAGCTCGAAAAATAGTTTGTTAATTCTGGCGACCAATGTCTTATTTTATTTTAAAAACATAATAAATAAACCTCAAACCCATAAAGAGGGAGGCGGGGCGTATCATACTGAGTTTGACCAAAGTTTCAGATACGCTTCCGTAGTAACGATATAGAGTCCTTGCAAACACTTGTCCCAAATCACGTGATACCTACGTCCGCCACAACAATCAGCTGTTGCGCAGCGGTGGGCGTAGTACAGGAAGGGACATTCTGTTGGGATGTCGAGCCCTGTGTGGTGAAGTGTTTTCTGTGTTGTATTTCTGTGGTGTTTGGTTAGTAGTCCGCTTGGGTGTTCAGTCTGTTTTGTTTTGTCGACTTTAGTTTTTACTTTTTCGCATACGAAGTATAGAGAAAGTATTGTGCAAAAAAAAAAAAAAATAAAATAAAATAAAAAAATAAAAAACCCACATATTTTTGCAAATCTCGACGTTTTACACCTCCCTGAGTCGGAAAAACATAATTTTGCAATCTTGTCCGAATGTCTGTTTGTGTGTATTTGTGTGTGTGTGTATGTGAACACGATAACTTTAGTACCGTTACAGATAGGTTGATGAAATTTCATATATAAGTATTATATCAAATTTGTAGTTCTGTACCAACTTTTCAGCGATTTCCGGTAACCAAAAGTGGCACTTATTCTACTTTCAATTTCTCAAAAGCCTATAACTTGAGTACTGTTTCAGATAGATAAATGAAATTTCACAAGTACTTAAAAGATCTCATTCTCTGTCTTCTGTTATATTTAGAGTGATTTCCGTTGACCGGAAGTTGTAATTTACGCTATTTCCGATTTCTTACATAAATAAAAAAAAACATTTTGCTCAGTTCATCTCAAGTTTTATTTCGAGCTTCCTAACCGGAAAATTTTCCCTGGAACAGAATTAGTCCGGTTCGTCTATCCCTGAGGAAATACAGGAATGGATGATTCGCCACAAAGATGGCCTGTGGTTGACGGCCCAGCATCCTAGTATTAGCTTGTAGGACCGTCGCTGCGGCCGCTGTAACGCCAATTTCCTTGACTTCAATTTTGGCTTTGTGGAGCACATCGCTGATACTGAGGCTCCCTGTATATGTGAATTATTTCAAGAGTAAAGAAATAGATCCACCCAGTGATGTGACCGTTACAAATACAGGATGATGAGAAGATATCTCAGAGAAAAAATATATTTTCAGACAAATGGTCCCAAGGATAAAATATTCTAAGACAAATAGTCTCTAAGACAAAGTATATCAGGACAAAATATCCTAAGGAAAATAGTCTCCAAGACAAAATATATCAAGACAAAATATTCTAAGGCAAATAGCCTCAAAGACTAAATATCTCAGGACAAAATATTCTAAGGCAAATAGCCTAAAAGACAAAAAATCTCAGGAAAAAGTATTCTAAGGCAAATAGCCTCAAAAAAATCTCAGGTTAAAAATATTCTAGGGCAAATAGCCTCAAAAACAAAATATCTCAGGACAAAATATTCTACAAAGACAAAATATCTCAGGACAAAATATTTTAAGGCAAATAGCCTCAAAGACTAAATATCTGAGGACTAGATTTTCTAAGACAAATGGTCATAAAAACAAAAACTTTAAGGACAATATTTTCTAAGACAAATGGCATCATGGAGAAAATAAATATTTCATGCCAGGATATCTAGATGACAAAATATCTAATTACATATATTATCTCTTACTTAGAGACATAATTAAAGTATCAAACGAGTTGTGGGTTACCCGAAGATATGTCCCTAAAGTCAGCTCCTGGACCAAACGCCTCGACCATGCCAAGCTCTATGAGAGGTTGCTTCAAGTCAAGTGTTGTCTCTGTCGTAAACTTGGGAATATCAACAAAGACTCTTTTTTTCTTGAGGCCTTTAAAAAGCTTCTCCATTTTAGTTGGATGCGATATCAGTTGTTCTGTAAAATAGGTTCAGACTGTATTGTCTAATGACGTCAAGCATGATGTCCGCGACCCATTAAGGTTTCACATTTTAATAATGAAAGAGAGTGACATTTTTAATTAGGTCATGAGTTTTTTAAATATGACACGGCAGATTTCGATTTTGATTTATTGTGTTTTATCAATCAAATTACCCCCCCCCTCTCTCTCATTAACTAACCAAGTATTCATACATGTATTGACAAAACTGTGAGTAGTAGTATATTAGGTCACTTTTGGAGCGAAGGCTCAGGCGCAGGTGGATGCGGATGCGCAGGCACAGCCTGGGACAACGAGATATAGTAAAACAGTAGCGTAGCGAGGGGGTGGGCACATATGTACCCGGGTGCCGACCTTAGGGGGCGCCAAAATGGGTTTGAAAAATAAATTGAAAGGTTGAGGGGGGCGCAAATCGAAAGTTTGAGGTGGGTGCAAATGGAAATCTCGAGGGGGGTGCAAATCAAAAGTTTGAGGGGGGGGGGGTGCAAATGGAAATCTCGAGGGGGGGGGTGCAAATCGAAAAGTTTGTGTTTGTGCCCGGGCGCCGGGAAGGGTCGCCACGCCTCTGTAGTAAAATACTCGGGATGGGGATGGGGAGCCTGGGACAACTAGATATAGTAAAATACTCCAGCCGCAGGCGCAGGGTGCAGGCGCAGCCTGGGACAACGTGATAGAGTAAAATACTCCACATCCTGGGATGGGGATGCGGATGGGGATGGGGAGGATGCGCAGGGGGATGGGGATGGGGAGTAGATCAGTAGGTCAGTAGGTCAGTAGGTCACCACCGGTGACCTTGTGACGTAATCACCGCAGGCGACCTAGTTACGTAATCACCAGCGGTGACCTAGTTACGTAATTTTAATGAGATTTTAATCCCCATCCCCATCCGCATCCCCATCCGCCAGTATGTGGAGTGTTTTACTATGTCACGTTGTCCCAGGCTGCGCCTGCGCCCTGCGCCTGCGCCTGCGGCTGGAGTATTTTAATATATCTCGTTGTCCCAGGCTGCGCCTGCGCATCCGCATCCGAGTATTTTACTATATATCCTTTGCGCCTGCGCATCCGCATCCCCCTGCGCCTTCGCTCCAAAAGTGACCTAATATACTATTACTGTGCTAAATCATCTAGTCAAAACAATTTTAAAACATACATTTTTTTATTGCAGAACAACCCGGTGTTTCTTCCAGACTTTTTTTCTACCCGGGGGTACACTTGAAATTTTCGGGGGGGGGGGGGGGAGTCTCAAATTTCCGTCGGAGGGGGGGGGGCGGACACTGTTAAAAGTATATGTTTTCTAAATAAATTCGATTTCGTTCGGGGGGGGGGGGGGTTGGTGGTAGTTTTTCTTTTTCTGCGGGGGGGGGGGGGGGGGCTCTGGCCCTCTACCCCCCGAAGAGATGCCTGGAAGAAACTCTGGAACAACCTATTGACAAAACGTCTATGATCAAGTAATACGAATTAGAATATTAGAAAGTATTTTATTTAGTTCGGTTTTCGGGGCTCGCATGTTTTGCTCTTGTGACCCACTGATAACCAACACAAATAAAATTAAAATAAATTTGAACTACTAAAGAATGTGAAAAGGACACATTACATGAGGAGCAGTGGCGTCGATAGGTCGGGTGTTACCCGGTGCGGCAATTCGTGGTGCCACCCCCCCCCCCCCACCCAAGAAACAATATATATATATATATATATATATATATATATATATATATATATATATATATATATATATATATATATATATATATATATATATATGTGTGTGTGTGTATGTGTGTATATGTATATATATATATATATATTTTTTGTCTAAGTGTGTTTATGTGTCGGACTATATTTTCAATATATGTCACATATGCTTACATGTATGTGTATAAGCATTAATCACTGCATACTTAATGGTAACGATGTTTATCTATAGTCTGTTAATAATACAGTTGGATGTTGCATTATTACTTCTAGTTAAAAGACTTTTAAACTTTAAGTTATCATTAATGGAACTGGAAAAAGAACATTTTTCTTCTGTAAATTTTGCAATTTTTTTGCCTTGGTGTCAACCCCCTAAATGGTGTCACCCGGTGCGGTCTGAATCCCCCGCCCCTCCCTCGCTACGCCTCTGATTAGGAGTACAACAATATGTTAAGACCAAATGCTGTTCCCATATTTTTTACAACATTCTTTCCTCACAGTAAATACTAGGTTATGTGTATTTTTGCACACACATTCGAATTTGGAGGGCTAATTCAGAAACGAACATATATCTTTAAATTTTTGTTGTTGTCAACATACCAAGACTTGCGATACCGCCCACTTTCAGTGGCAGGGCTATATACAAAGCAAACCTTCTTCCCTTGAATGGGATCTCGGCAACTTGAACGTGATTGGATGTATCTTTCTTGTGCTTGATCTCCATTTCTTTCGCCATCATTTCAATCTGAAATGGCAGACAAAACAAATTGTTACTATATTTAAACGCACTTGATTATGTGAGCTGTTTCCGTTCGTGTTCTTATGGGTTATTTGTTGCGTTTCTCTATCACTCACACTCTCTCACTCACACACACGCTCTCTCACTCACACACTCTCTCATTCACACACTCTTACTCACACACACTCTCTGACTCATACATACTCTCTTATTCTTTCACTCACCCATTCTTTCACACACTCTCTCACTCTCTTACTTACACACTCTCACTCACTCACTCGCTCTCACTCTCTCACTCTCACACTCTCAATCACACACTCTCTAACTCGCACAATCTCACTCGCACACTCACGCACAATCTCTCACTCTCTCACTCACTCTCTCACTCTCACACTCTCACTCACCCACCCACTCACACAATCTCCCTCACTCTCTCACTCACCCACCCACTCACACAATCTCCCTCACACTCTCACTCACTCACCCACACTCTCACACTCTCTATACATTTCTTACTTCATGATTTCATTCTTTCACTTAAGCTTGCATTTCCCGTTAACAAGAAACCTTACCGTTATATTCTTCTTCTCTGATTTTGAGAACGTTTGATTTCGGGCATCGTTGAAATTCTTAACCCAGGCTCCATTAAAGAAAATTGTGTTGACTAAAACCATAGCCGTGCTTGCCGTGATGGATCCTCAAAAAATTGTAAATACATTTATTTTAGTACATTTTAGTGTAAGCACCATTTGCAGTAATACATTAGTGTTGTTAACTATCTTGAACGGGAACAGGACATTACCCCCCCCCCTAGTTCAATTACCCCGGACATTACCCCCCGGTCATAGCTTAAGGTATAGTTAGGGCGAAGGATATGGATAGGTTTAGGGTTAGAATTAGATTAGGGTTAGATTAGGGTTAGGGTTAAGGTTAGATTAGGGTTAGGGTTAGATTAGGGTTAGGGTTAAGGTTAGATTAGGGTTAGGGTTAGGGTTAGGGTTAGGGTTAGGGTTAGGGTTAGGGTTAGGGTTAGGGTTAGGGTTAGGGTTAGGGTTAGGGTTAGGGTTAGGGTTAGGGTTAGGGTTAGGGTTATGATTAGGGTTAGGGTTAGGGTTAGGGTTAGGGTTAGGGTTAGATTAGGGTTAGGGTTTAGGGTTAGGGTTAGGGTTAGATTAGAATTTGATTAGGGTAAGGGTAAGGGTAAGGGTAAGGGTAAGGGTAAGGGTAAGGGTAAGGGTAAGGGTAAGGGTAAGGGTAAGGGTAAGGGTAAGGGTAAGGGTAAGGGTAATGGTCAGGGTAAGGGTAAGGGTAAGGGTAAGGGTAAGGGTAAGGGTAAGGGTTAGGGATAGGGCTGGTATTGGGGTTTTAGGAATAGGGATAGAGATAATATTTTATACATTAATAATGAAAGAGGGTGATATTCTTAACTTAGTCATGAGTTTATGAATGTGGCTGAGTTAACTTCAATTTTGATTTATTATGTTTCATCAATAAAATTATCCCCCCCCCCCTTTAACTAAGCAAGTATTCACACGTGTTTTCACGAAAATTTACTTAATCATCTAGTCAAAACAAATTTTAAAACATACAGATATGTTTTTTAAATTGCAGAACAACCTTTTGACAAAACTTTTTTAATCAAGTTTTTCGTGGCTTCAGCAATATAATCATTGATTGCTTTCTCGGGTCCTCCAGGGGCTGATAAGTCAAAGTTCGTTGTTGTGGCGCTAAATTTGGTCTCAGCTTCTTTAGCAAATCGCTTTTTGATTTGTGATTCAGGTTTGACAAAAATAGCGTTTCCTGTGCCGATGTCCACATTTTTATTGGAGTTCGTCTGTGAGAGATCAAGGTTTCTAGATATAATGTCACAATATAAGACGGCGTGGCCTAGCGGTGGAGCACTAGACTGCTAACTCGGTAGATTCGTGTTCGAAACCGAATTCACGTTACCGGAACGTCCCTGAGTCCGACCAACTCTTATTGGCACCTAACTCACATTAGGGGAAAGTAAAGGCGGAGGGGAAAGTAAAGACGGCTGGGCATAGTACTGACCACACAGAGGCGTAGCGACCATTCCGGGTCCCGGGAACAAACTTTCATTTTGGCGCCCCCCCCCCCCCCCCGAGACAAACTTTCAATTTGGCGCCCCCCATATATTTTTTTATATTTATAATGCAAAAATGGAGCTAAATTGAGCTTTCAATTTTTTTTCAATCCATTTTGGCGCCCCCTAGGGTCGGCACCCGGGGACATATGTACCCCCCCCCCCCCTCGCTACACCTCTGTGACCACATTATCCCTTTATGTGCCGAGGTCAATAAACATATGAACTCCACTTCATATACCCTATGGATCGTTAGCTCTAAAGAGGAATCTTTACTTTTCAACAATATGATAATCTATCAGGCACCGTACGGATCATGACAAAGTAGAAATGATGAAAAAATTATTTCTTTACAAATAACATTGTTAAGCAGACTAGTAATCCTAATATTCTAATTATTGAAGATAACGTCAAACCTGTTTGATAACTTCCTCATACTTTTTAGAGGCTCGAGAAATCGATGTGACACCAAGCGTCTTAAGCATTTCATCCTTTGTTTTTCCATATGCTCCCAGCGATGTCAGAGTCAAAATTGAGTGAATGCTACGTATATATATATATATATATATATATATATATATATATATATATATATATATATATATATATATATATATATAGAGAGAGAGAGAGAGAGAGAGAGAGAGAGAGAAACAGAGAGAAACAGAGAGATAGATAATTATATATAGAGGGAGATAGAGATAGAGAGTGACAGAGAGAGAGATAATTATATGTATATATATATAGAGAGAGAGACAGAGATGATTATATATATATATATATATATATATATATGTATAGAGAGAGAGAGAGAGAGAGAGAGAGAGGGAAAGAGAAAGGGGGAGAGACAGAGAGAAATAAATATATATAGGGAGAGATAGAGAGAGGCGGAGAGATAATTATAAATATATATGTACTAGCGTACCCGTCCTCGCGCGTTGTCGCGGGAATAGAAGAAAGTCCGACAAAATATATAAGAAGGGTTTCATCCATGCGTTACCAATCCTATATTCTTGGACGCGTGACCTTGTTTTCTTTAAGTTAGTTATTTAAATGTAAACGATGCCTACGCTTGGATCATAAATATCAGGACACGGGATTACCTACACTACCGCATAAAAACCTTGAGTGTAAATTAATCACTCACCGAAATAATGAGGTAGAACACACTTCGGTGCCCCCCCCATGTGTCAGGGAGGTAGAGGGGCGCGCTCATGAGCCCCCCTCCCCCCGATTACACTACCGCATAAGCGCAGCATACGGCCCCTGGCTCCTTAAAACTAACAGAGTGCCAAATAGCATCCTGTTAATAATGATGCAGATTTCGCCATTCGGTAAAGTGACACAAATGAAAAGGATTTTTTCTTTAACACGTAAAAAAAAAATTATTTCTCGTGTTTTAAACATCAGTGTGACTGATGAAATATGTTAGCGTTACTAATGGTCTATTATTAGATGCTCGATCTCAATTTCTGATTGATTTAGATGCTAATTGCATCAGAGGCGTAGCGACCCTTCCCGGCGCCCGGGGACATACTTTCAATTTGGCGCCCCCCTCGGGAGCAAATTTTCTATTTGCACCCCCCCCCCCTCGAAGTTTTCTTTCCCCCCCCCCCCCCCCCTCAAACTTTCGATTTGCACCCCCCTCGAAGTTTTCATTTGCACCCCCCCCCCCCCTCAAACTTTCGATTTGCACCCCCCCCTCAAACTTTCAATTTGGCGCCCCCCCCACCTAAGGTCGGCGCCTGGGGACATATGTCTCCCCCCCGCCCCCCCTCGCTACGCCTCTGAATTGCATCATTCGCAAAGTGACGAAACTGTTTGATTTTTTTACAGACGAAAAAAAACATCCCAGGTTAATAATCTAACCTTGATTAATTTTTCTGATTATTAAAATAAAACGTATTACATGGCCCTCAGCTTCCCTTGTGAGCCTTTGTGGGCAGAAACAGATTTTTTATTTGCAGCCAAATCGCACCCTACCAGGGCGCCGGAGGACACGTCTGATTCTAATAAGTGAGCGTTTGTAACGCCCTATCCTATCCATTGTCTATCACACTGTTTAGACCGAACATAGTCGCCATAGCGCTCACGCGAAAGACCATGTAAGTAAAAACATATATATATATATAAAGGTGACGTAATGTAATATACAGTAAAGTAAAAAAAAAAGTTACATTTATTTGAAGAAAAAAAAGCATTAGAATCTGTACCTTACATTTTGATGTAAACTATTTTATGTTACACTCTACGTGTAGACATGACTTTGTACCTGAATGGAGAAAAGACCATGCTGCCTTTGTCCAGCGCCACCTTTCGGTAAAGTCTCTGGGAGAACTCTGAAGTCACTTTTGAGAGGTCGTATGCTTTATTTTTTCTACCATTGGCCAGCTGGCCAGCAATGGCCAGAACCATTAACATGATTTTTATCATCTTCTGACAAATGCGAAAAATTTGGAAATAAGTTATTTTGTCGTTTTTATATATATATGTTACGGTCAAAGCCCGAAGTGCGGCCAAAGCGCGGATGGCCGGCCAATGCGCGGATTGGCCGGCTCTCTTGGCCAAAGCCCGGAAAACTTAGCACTAAGATCGTATTTCGTACATTGGCTGGCCAATGCGCGCACTGGCCGGGACGTACTGGCCAAAGTCCGAAGCGCTTAAACTTGACAGCATATTTTGTACATTGGCCGGCCAATGCGCGCACTGGCCGACTTCGGGCTTTGACCGTAACATATACATTTAGCATCTATACACACAAAAAAATGACTTCATTGATTATGGAATAAAAATTGAATTTAAAATGGAGTGTAGAAAATGATACACAAATGTAATAACGTCATTGATAACAGGAAAAACGAAATATTCTAGAAGTGTATGTAGATATACACAAAAATACCGGAAAAGTATATATATATATATATATATATATATATATATATATATATATATATATATATATATATATATATATATAGTAAGCGTTAGTATTAGGATTATGCTTAAAGTTATGCTGATTAGAGGTTTCATTTGAAACTGAATTTCCTGTTTAGGTTAAAATGCCGATTCCGAATATATTTCCGTTTCCAGTTAAATTCCGTACATATTAAGTGTCCGATTTCAGTTAATTTCAGGTTGCGGTTAAATTTCCGGTTGGGTCAAATTGTTGTCTTCGGATAAGGTTCCGTTTGCAGTTAAATTTCTTTATCTATTAAAATGTTCGTTTCAGGATATATTTACGTTCCCGTTTTTAATATCGTTCAAGATTACAAATTGTTTTCAGCTAAAATTTTATTGCAGGTTAAATTTAGTTAAATTTCGTAACTGATAAAGATCTAAATTTCCGTATAAATTTACGGATCCGGTAATAGTGCCGATTCCGAATAAGGTTCCGTTTTCAATGAAATTTCGTTTCCTGTTAAATTTCTCCTATTTCAGTCTGAATTTCCGTATCCGGCTGAATTTTCGGATCTGGTAAAAATGCCGAATTTGGATAAAAATCCGCTTTAAATAACATTTTTCATTTCCGTTTAAATTTGAGTTTTTTTTTTTGTTTCGCTTCAGAGAAAAAGACAACATTATCAACCTAGCGCCCGTTGTATTTCTCGCTTAACGGGCCACTTATCCAGTAAACATACATTTATACATCTGTAAATAAATTTTATAAGTATCAATAAATTATTATATAATGATTATTTAATATCAAACTGAGGATACGGTGCCTAAACTCTAAGTGCGCATGAATAGATAGATTTCACCTAGTCTTTAACACAACCATTGATTTTACCTGAACGTAAATAAATACTGAGTTTCTAAATAAATGTGCTTTTATTTCTTATCATACGAAAGTGAAAAACAATGAAGACTTACCTGAAGATATGAAGGGGGAACTAGAAATCTGTTATGTCAGTTTGAATTGTGAAACGAGTAAAATTGTAACTTCAGTTTGGTCCACGTCATGATAGGTATGTATCGAAATATTGAAACGCAATATTTATTTTTTCTAATTATGCTTAATTCGTAAATTGATACAAGGATATCGTCGCCACATGATCATATTAAATTAAAATAAGCAGCGGCGTAGTGTGTACTTTCTAATGGCAATACATTTTAAAATATCACAAATGCTGTATTTTTTATTTTAAATATATAAATTTAGATTGAAGATGATGAGGTTATATAAAATTGACTTGCTTTAACATGGGTTCGATTAGAAATATGATATAGACAACCAAAAATCTACGGCCAACAATTTGAAGTTCATGGTTATGTACTTTCTTAATTTAATATAATGTAATATTGATGACTCGTCGATCTTTTAACGAACGTAGTATACGCCTATGGAGACGGATGTTTATAAAAGCTTTGTTGTGTGTTTGAGTGTGTGTATTGTGAGAGTTGGATAGGGGTAAAAACAAATGTGAAAAAGCTAATATATAATAATTAAAACTTAAAAAATGTTATGTTATGTTATGTTATGTTATGTTATGTTATGTTATGTTATGTTATGTTATGTTATGTTATGTTATGTTATGTTATGTTATGTTATGTTATGTTATGTTATGTTATGTTATGTTATGTTATGTTATGTTATGTTATGTTATGTTATGTTATGTTATGTTATGTTATGTTATGTTATGTTATGTTATGTTATGTTATGTTATGTTATGTTATGTTATGTTATGTTATGTTATGTTATGTTATGTTATGTTATGTTATGTTATGTTATGTTATGTTATGTTATGTTATGTTATGTTATGTTATGTTATGTTATGTTATGTTATGTTATGCTACTCTATGCTATGCTATGCTATGCTATGCTATGCTATGCTATGCTATGCTATGCTATGCTATGCTATGCTATGCTATGCTATGCTATGCTATGCTATGCTATGCTATGCTATGCTATGCTATGCTATGCTATGCTATGCTATGCTATGCTATGCTATGCTATGCTATGCTAAACATTGCCTGCGCAACATTTCTTGAATCATATTTGTCAGGGCACCGCTTTGCCTACACCAGAGGCGTAGCGATGGGGGGGGGCAGTGGGGGAATATGTCCCCGGGCGCTGAAATTATGGGGCGCCAAAATGGGTTGGAAAAAGGAATCGAAAATCGAAAGTTTAAGCGGGGGGTGTAAATCAAAAGTTTGAACGGGGGTGTGTGGAACTCTGGGCGCCAAAATGTGACAAAAATCGCACCCTCCCGGGCGCCACCTATAAGAATTTTTTTTCCGCGCAAACTTTCTCACGAGTATTCTCATCAACCTTAGTTGACTTGTATTTTTATATACCGTGTATAGAGAAGACTCGAATAGCTCCTTGCCGTGGCGTCCCACTGCGAATTTATTTTTTTCCCGCATATACATCCCCAGGAGTATTCGCAAAGTTTCTTGGCGATCGGATGAAAGGTGTAGCAATGCATACAAATCAAAGAAACAAACACACATAAATTGATATATATATATATATATATATATATATATATATATATATATATATATATATATATATAGAGAGAGAGAGAGAGAGAGAGAGAGAGAGAGAGAGAGAGGGAGATAATTATTTATGTTCATTTGAAATGTTTCTTTACTAGTCCGTCCTTTACGCCTGATATGATTAGCGGAAACATGTTTATAAACTACAAGAAAGATGAACCCAATCAATTTGAGGTGGGCGAGATCCCTTACGCGGGAGGAAGATTTTCCATGTACATAGCCCTGCCACTGACGGATGATGGTATCGCAAGTCTTGGTATGTTGACAACAACATTGCACACTATTGTTAAACAACATTAAATTACATCTAACAAATGTGATGTCGATGGTTTTTTGAAAATTTCAGTTATTTGCAATGTTCTATTTTGAATACATACATACAATGCGGTTGAAGTAACGTGACAAGCCATGGTTGACCGAAATTTGAGTCACCTCCCAAATTTGAGGCACCAAAACGAAATATTGCTGATTTTAATTTAACTTGGAAATCTAATTTCACTTGTTATTTCATAACATTTTTAGTGTTATACAAATCATTTGGCAAAGGGGTCATTCATAAATGACGCCACGCTTTTTTTGGGGACTTTTTTCTCCCCCCCCCCTCCTTCACACATCGTCATTAAAAGCCTGACCCCCCCCCCTTAAAATGAAGTCACACCTCAGCCTACACCCCCCCCCCCTCAAAAATGAAGTTTTTTTTTTTCTTAAAACATCGATATCTTTCCAAAATCTTGTTTGAAAATCTTGTCAACATAGAGTGGTTTAATCAATTCCAATTCCAATTTATTAAAACAGTTTTCTAAAACGCGAAATTACGGCTAAAATATTCGCTTTCTAGCTTTGCTTTTTTATAATGCAAAAGTGTAACGTCATTCCAGAAATAAAACATTCAACATGCCCCTAGTTATTTTAAAAGCATAATTATTGACAATATCTGATATCTTGGTAATTGACAAAATAAAAACATGTTGAGATATTTTGTCCTGAGATATTTTGTCCTGAGATATTTTTAATTGGATACTATGCAGTGTTTTGTTTCTTCCAGACTTTTTTCTCTGTGTGCGGGGTGTCCGGGGGGGGGGGGGGATGGGGGGCGGACACTGGTAAAAGTATGTTTCCTGTTTCAATTCCATTTCGCCCTCCCCCCCCCCCCCTCCTCCCACCCCGAAAAGATGCCAGTAAGAAACTCCGATAATAGATCACTTTTATTACGCTACTTTTAAAATATAAAATACTATTTCATACTGTCTGTTCCGACGAAGGCGTTCATTCTAAACACATCGTTTCTATTTTATTCTTTTTCGGTAATTATTATTACACATGCTATAATATTAAAATTGATTCAGGGAATTTAGAAAAAATAAATTGTCATAAGCTAAACCGGTAAAAATATGAAATGGGGCACTACTAAGGTTTCTTCTAATATTGATTTGGAACACCTAGCCAATATTTAGCTTTAATTTGTAGTTCTAAAAGTTTTAAAATCAACAGAAATAAATAACAAAGTATGTAAAGTCTCGAATTTCGTGCCAGTAATTAAAAACAAAAATATTTTACAGAAAAATATCTGTCTGATCCGCATAACGTCAACTGCCTTTTCATGGACCTGAAAATCTATTATGCTGAGGTGAAGATTCCAAAGTTCACAACAGAGACAACGCTTGACTTGATGAAACCTCTCAAAGAACTTGGTATAGCCAAGGCTTTTGGTCCCGGCGCTGAATTTCCTCGAATCACCTCAGGTAACCAAAGATCTAATTCCATCGTTTAATTCTCTAAACCAGAAAATAAAAAACAAATTCACTTTTAGTATTAAGAAAACAATACGGTTTCTGAAAGTTATTTTTTTTAACAATGTGTTTATTAGAATTTTAATTAATAAATCCACTCAGTGAATTTCGAAAACAAGATGCAGTCTCACTGCATCGATGTGTGCAATTTAAAATTGTAATTTAGATTATGAAGTGTTACACACATATTGTTAAAAGCTAGAATACACAGTACACGATGACGTTTTCAATACACTGAACGTCTGAGGTCAACTTACACATAGTAAACACCGAGAGGCTTAGGCAGGTATTTTTTTCATGGGTAGAAGCTAGCAATTTGCCAACCCAACCTTCACACACACACACACACACACACACACACACACACACACACACACACAACACACAACACACACACACACATATATATATATATCTATTAATATATATATAAATAAATAAATAAATAAATAAATAAATAAATATATATATATATATATATATATATATATATATATATATATATATATATATATATATATATATATATATATATATATATATATATGTATGTACCTGTATGTACCTGTATGTGTGTGTGCGCGCGTGTTTGAAAAACGATATTTTACTCTTAAAATTGTTTTACTCTTATTTTACTCTTAAAATGACGCTCCCCCCACAGGCACAACCCACATCAGCCAAGTGATCCACAAGGTAAGATTTGACGTCACACAGACAGGGACCACAGCGGCGGCAGAAACTACCGAAGAAACAAACAAAGGCCCCGCCCTTACAACAACAGAAGCAGATATCCAATTTGTGGCGGATCATCCATTCCTGTATTTCCTCAGGGATAGAGAAACCGGACTAATTCTGTTCCAGGGAAAATTTTCCGGCTAGGAAGCTCGAAATAAAACTTGAGATGAACTGAGGAAGATGTTTTCGTTTTTTTTTTATCTAAGTAAAGCACTATCAACTGAAATGTCTGTCAGTTCATACTTACATACAGTCAATGCATTGTAAATACATTGTAAAACGTTCTACAAAGGATTACTAAAAAAACTGCTGTTGCTAAAGCTAATAATCGTTTACAAATGAACGTTTCTTTTCAATTGTTTTGTTTATTTGTTAGTGGTAGAAAGCGTGAAGGCGAGTGTTGACTAAATAGTCGACTATTTCTCATTCAATTTAGCATCAATTTTAAAGGTATTTCACTATACCAAATTTTTTAAAATTTGAAAAAAATAAATAGTTCTAGAGTATTGTCTGTTATAAAAACTAGCCAGCTGACTCTATTAGGGTTGGTAAAAGAAAGAATAATGATTATATGATCAATACATATGTTAATTTTTAAAAAAATTGGGACTTCTGCAGAAAGCTGTTTTTTCAAGATGGCCTCATTTGCCAGAAGAGTCCCTGATGCTTGCAAATATTTTCCTTTATTTCCCCTAACTGAGATTCACAAAAATAATAAGTAAAGTTTAGTAGTTAAAAGTTGTTTTTTGTGGATTAAAACAATTTTGTAACGCCTCAAACAATTGCGGAGAACATAATAAAGGACATACACATTTACACCATCTCCCGAAAAATGGAGGGGAGAGGCGACACAAATTGCAAACTTTAGAGCAGGGGTCTCCAAACTACGGCCCGCGGGCCAGATGCGGTCCGCGAGGTCTTCTCATCCGGCCCTCGGAGATCTTTTTGTTCACGGAAAAAAATGTTTGTTAGAAGTGGCTAAGGTACTTTGCTCAGAAAATTCAAAACAATTTGAAATCTAGCTTTGGGTATAAATACCTTTGTCCTCCATGTTGCAAACATTGATGAAAACATTGTGACTCAAATAGAGTCGCTGGACAGCTGTTCCATGTTTTGGAACAAGTACAGGGCAAAACTGCAACTACAATGAGATTTTAATTTGTTTTTCCAACTCATTTTGGCGCCCGCTAAGGTCAGCGCCCGGGGACATGTGTACTCCCCCGACCCCCTCGCTACGCCTCTGTACAGAACAAAGCCGAGATCGATCTTCTTTAAACTCTAATTTGTAGTAATTTGTCTTCAAAACTTTGCCGATGAAAATGTTTTAAGAAATCATACCTATTTAAACCTATCATACCTATTTAAACCACATGGCCTAGTCTATTAATATTTATTGTAAGCGACAAAAATAAAATTGTATTTGGATTTCTTGTTTTTGCTTAGTTTTCAAAAATATTCAAAACATCAAATACATCCAATCGTTAGTTTAGTCCGACAAAAACTAAACTGTCGAGTTTTTATAATCATACTTATTTTGATAATCTCGTACATTAAAAAAAATCTAATGGGCATTTCAACTTGTTTCGAAACTATTCTCGTTAGTGTCCATTGAGTAATACGTGTCAACATGTTTTGTACCGTATGTTCCGTTGCATATGAATCATGCCATTTTTAGCGCAATTTCCATTCTGGAGAATTGCGTTTATTAACCCGTCATTTCTGGATGGATGAATGTGTGTCCGCAGCTTTAAGTCGTATATCTCCTCAACGAAGCAATATTGAGGACTAGTTCCAAAAGCAATTATGTTAAGCAAGTTACGAAGATGAACATAGGCCATAAAAATTCCGGGTTTCTTTCATGGATTTCCCGAAAAAGCCAAAAAACCTCGAAAAAATGCAGTTTTTTGCCCATATCTCGGCAACCAGACCACTTAGCGACTTGAAACATGTACCAATCGATTCCTGCCATAATTTAAAACAATATAGCCGAAGAAAGTTTTCAAAAATATCCTTTCGTTCGGTCACAAAATTTTTTTTGAATTAATTAAAATTTGGACCGAATTAGTAGGCATTTTTATCCAACCACACCACACGCGTCATCACGTTCAATAGCTGCGCCATCACGTTCAATGGCTGCGACATCACGTTCGGTAGCTAGGCGCGCAATGGTTTTTAGTCATATAACTCTATTGTAAATAAAACATGTGTAAGCCCTGCTAGGGGGGGGGGGGATACCTAAAATCTACTCTACCCTTCCCTAGGCTTCTCTATTACCGTCCGGTCAGTGCAAGCCCGGCTAAACCCAGACTGGTTAATAACCTAACCTTAGTCTAAATAATAAAACTACTAAAAATAAAACAAAAACTTTAACAATATAATAAAATTCATTTAACAAAAAAATATGGAACCAAGCTTATAAAAAAACTAGAATCTAGGTAAAACAGAACACTGGAGGCATACAAAACAGAAACAGAACTCAACGGAACAAAACACCCAATTTCGGACCACCATCCTAGAAAGAGGAAAAATAGACAAATCAATTCAAAATGTAAAAAAAGTTATACACAAGGCACTAAGAAGTTGACACAATTGAAAATAAAATGGATATTGTACAAAATGAACTTTCAAATGAAAGTAGTACAAAGAACACACTTAAACGTAAATATCAGGTCACTGAGCATAAAACTACTAGTTCAATGCACACCATAATCAGCCTCAACAAGAGGTTCTCATAAAATATGTAAGTAAAATCTAGAAATAGATTCTAGATTCTCTAGATCCATGACTAAAATCTAAACCCAGACCACCATACTACCACGTGGTCTAGATACATCAACCATTGAGATTTCTCAAAGTGACTAAATAGTACGTAGTCACTTCGTATATAAAATAAGAAAACCATTAAAAGGAAACCATAATAAAACAGTATAAAAATAGCTCTACTTTACCATACACCACATAAATGTGATACACAAACACTTCAAAACACAGGCCTCGACATTCCCGCTGAATGTCCCTCCCTGTCCACACACCACATTCACGAACGAAAAACAATTCTACGCACAAGAAAATAGTCCCTAATCCAACAATAACTAACATTCAGGACATAAAGCAAAGTTGAGCAACAATCCAAAACAAAGTTTGCATAAATAATAACATTAAAATATAAACAAGACACAATAACCAGGCTACAAACCATTGTAAAATCAAAATCATATCAGCGTCATAATAGCGGACTACTTAACTAAAAACCACAACAATCCTCAAAGGAACACAAAAAGTGACATTCACCTTTTTTGTAATAAAATAATAATTAAATAACTCCCCAGCCCCTTTCACATGTAAAATACTGAAAAAAAAATATTAATAAAAAACGTTTTAATAACTAACCAATGGTTATACTAACCCTGCTCTTGATTTACGCTACGACAGAGCTATTTTTAGATAACATAAGGAAATTGCGCATAAATGTCACTAGACTTTTTAATTAACTTGTTTTTTTTTCTGGATATGCTTTTCTTTTTGCAGTTGTGCAATTTTGGTGTTTTTCTCTCATAGTTGGGCGACTGTCCCTAGCTAGTGTGATTTACCTGCCATGGGTTCGAACTCGGGACCACGCCGTCCACATTATTTTAATTAGGTGAGCAGAGCCTGTTTTGTAGGACGAAGTGGCCTAGTGGTAGAGCGCTAGACGGCTAATCCGAGAGTCTCGAGTTCAAATCCGGGTTCATCAGTAGACAGTCCCTGAGTCCACCCAACTCTGATGGGTACCTATCTTACATTGCGGAAACAAAGGCGGCTGGGCATAGTGCAGACCACACTATCCCTTCATATGCCGGTGCCTCCGAAGCAAATTAACTCTACTTCATCTGCCACTTGTGTCTTGGGCACGAACAGGAAATGATGATGAAAGCCTAGTGATGAAAGGCTAATGGTTAAGCAGAGTGTAAGGTTGAGGGTTTCAATACTTTGTAAAACATGCATTACCTAATCAGATTTCTTGTTATAAAAAACTATGATTCCAATAATACATCACAAAGCTATGCCTGCGAGACTGTGGATGCAAATCATCTGCAATAAAATATGTTAAGAAATTGTTTGTGTGTATTGATAGGTTGATCTCGAACAAAACTAAAACGTCATTTCACAGGGTCTAAAAATCCAATTTGTTAGATTAACTTTTCCTATACATGGTTGTTCGGGGCGGAGTGACCTAGCGGTAGAGAGCTAGACTGCTAACCCGTAAGTCTCGAGTTCGAATCCGGGTTCAAGTCAGTAGACCGTCCCTATCTGCTTTGGAAGGAGAACTTTATACCTAGTTGTTTAAAGAACACGAACAATTATGTTTTATATAGATCAGTCTGATCATTGTTAAAGTAAACGTTCCATTTGGGACCTGAAGATTCACAGGGCAGATAAAGTAGTTCATCTATTTATAAATAGACTATGAAGGGATGGCGTCGTCAGCCACTACTACTTTCCCTATTGTAAGTCAGGTACCCATTAGAGCTGAGTGGACTCAGGGACGTCCGACAGACTACGAATACTTTGTCCGGACGCGAGGCGTAGTTGTCTAGCGCGCTACCACCAGGCAACACCATCTCATATGATCTTAGGGTTGCGGTAATCATGATTAGAGATTTGACCGCGTAGTATGCTGTTTCTGTGAACCCCATTGGCAAAGAAATACAAAATCGCAAATGGGGATGGATAGGACACACCTTGCGTAAACCAAATAGCGAGATCATCAGACAGGCTCTAGATTGGAATCCCCAAGGAAAGAGGAGAGTAGATTAGGTAGATAGGGTAGATAGGGTAGATAGGGTAGATAGGGTAGATAGGGTAGATTGGGTAGATAGGGTAGATAGGGTAGATAGGGTAGATAGGGTAGATAGGGTAGATAGGGTAGATAGGGTAGATGGGGTAGATAGAGTAGATTGGGTAGATAGGGTAGATAGGCCAAAACAAACGTGGAAGAGATAAATTCTCAATGAAGCAGAAACAGCTGGCATATCGTGGGCTCAACTTTAAAAAGTCGCCAAAACCCGAGTACGATACAGAGCTTTAGTTGCGTCCTTATGCCCAACAGGAATGATGATAATGCGAAAACTAATTTGAATCTCAATCCTTTTCTAAACAAGTCGGCTAAAGGAATTAGATTATTGTTAACAAAAAAAAACCATAACAACCAACACACGTTGAACGTGTGTGGCTTAAGCTGACAGATGTTAAATTAAATATGAGATTTATTTGTCTACGAGCTGACCCGCAAGTAGAATACGCCGCCGTCTAGTTGTTTTATTTTCTGCTTATCAGCAATTCATAATTTGTTTGTGAATTCAACACTACCCCTCTGTGTACATATCTCACGTTAAGGAAAGTAAAGGCGTCTGGGTACTGTGTTGTCCACAATATCGGTTTGTATACTGTAAAAGAACAACAATATGAAATCACTTTTATTTGTCGTTAGGACCGCATTGAAAATTACGTCTCCCTGAATAAACTTTTGTGGGGACCCTTATATGCTGATAAATAAGACTACTTCTACGGGTAAGGGTGGTAGTTAGGGTAAGGGTGGGGGTAAGGGTGAGGTTGAGGGTGAGGGTGAGGGTGAGATTGACATTGAGGTTGTGGATGTATCAGTGCTGGAAACAACACTTAGGATATTGTTAAAGATTTTGTTAGGTTTAGGACTAGGTTTAGTAATCGAGAGCTTAAAATAGAGAGTAGGTATAGGTACGGGTATAATACGTTTTATTCGGTTCGTTCAGATTTTGAAAAATTCACGTTCCATAGTAAAGGTTATTTAGTTGATCACGTGACATGGCAGCACTGAGTTGAGCGAAAAAAAGAGATAAATTTCAAAACTTTAATCCAGTCCTGTCAGCTTAAAACTACACGTGTTCTAAACATTCTTTATTTGTTCTATCACGTGAACTGTACGTGGCAAAAGCAGCATTTTTAAAACCCATTTTTGTTCGCCCGCTAGAGGGCTTGTACCTAACTAGGTGAGTCTTCTTCAAATTTATTACTCAAAGAAATGTATATTTAAAAACATGAATTTATATTTTAAAAATGTCATTAAAAACGTTTTAATTACCAGCTTTTATGTAATTACGCACTAAAAAGGAGAAAATAAACGATTTTAAAAAATATATAACACTACACTACTATTTAAATAACTGTAAAGAATTGCTTTAAATTTGCTATTGGTTACATTTACTAATATTAGAAAGAGACCCATGATTCTTTATACTAATTTAAATATTAATGTAGTATTTAATATTTAAAGAAAATCATTTATTTTCTCCCTTTTAGTGCGTTATAAATTAAAATCTTGTAATTAAAAAGTTGTTTTTAAGCATTTTTAAGTACTTTATCTTTTTTAAAAATTCAATAGAGTTGCATGACTAAAAACTATTGCGCACCTAATGAACATTCTTCTTCTTCTTCGTACTTAACTAAGTATATAATGGAGGATATAAACAACAAGCCCAACTTCGTGTATGAACTGGACTGTGGTCTCCAGATCCGCGGGTGCCCCATATAGTTTTTCCTTGAGTGGGGGGAGCAGGGGCAAGTGTTTGGATCGCGCTTGGCTATATAAAGAACATTCTTGAAGGGCGTGCTCCGTATTCTCCGGAGCCTTGCCACAAGGGCATAATTTCGCCACACCCAATTTTTAGTTTTTTATGCATGTGCTGTTTTAGTCTATTATGGCCTGTTCTGAGTCTAAAGATTATGTATTGTTGTTTTTGTGTCAAATTGTAATATGCATCGTCTTTTTTTTGTAGTGAAGGTGTGTGTCAGACCTCATTTGTGTTTGTGTTTTTATAATTCTTTTGATTTCTTTTGGATGTAGCGAGATTTCTGTTTGTTTTTTCTTTCCTTCAATTTTTGCCAGCCGGTCCGCGATCTCATTTCCTAGAATCTGGCAGTGGCCCTGGATCTACTGTAGCACAATCTTGCTGCAGGTATTTTGTAGCCTTTCAAGTGCTTTTCTGAGTGATTGAGTATAGGACTCTGGATTTTTTAGGGAATACAGGACAGATTTAGCATCTGTAAGGAAGACTGTCTGACTATTTGGAGATTCAGGGTGTTCTGACAGGAGGTTTGCTGCATGCTCTAAAGCTTCTTTCTCTGCTCTAAAATTGTCGGATAGGCTGCCTGTGGCTATTGACTTTACTAAACTTTCTCCGTTTGGCCATTAAATAAGGACTCCAGCCCCGCCATTTTTTGTGGCATCTTCAGCAGAGCCATCTGTGAATACTCTAATCCAGGTATTGCTGGGGTACTGATCCTTAATGTGCTTATATGTTATTTTCTTTAGTTCTTCTTGATCGTAGTCAGATTTTTTTGTCCGTGAGATCATTTGTCCTTGAGATCATTTGTCCTGAGATCATTTGTCCTTGAGATCATTTGTCCTGATATATTTTGTCCTGGTATCTTTTGTCCGTGAGATCATTTGTCCTTGAGATCATTTGTCCTGAGATCATTTGTCCTTGAGATCATTTGTCCTGAGATCATTTGTCCTGAGATCATTTGTCCGTGAGATATTTTGTCTGAGATATTTTGTCTGAGATCATTTGTCCTGAGATCATTCGTCATGGAACCATATATATATATATATATATATATATATATATATATATATATATATATATATATATATATATATATATATATATATATATATATATATATAATGATATCTAGCAGAAAACTATGGTTAGCTTCAAGTTGATGCTTCTGGTGTTAACCGGCCAGTTGGTTTATGGCTCTAGTAAGAACCAGGTTGACCATTACAAAGCCCTCTCCATTGCGGCAACAAGATTCTCCCAGAAACTTTATCAGCACGTGGCACTAAATACACCAAATATTGTCTACTCTCCAATCAGGTAGTATATCATTTGATTTTTAACTTGAATACGATATAACGTCATAGAATTCACTACAATTTCAACTTTTTTTACTTTCTCGTATATACAAAGTATAGAGAAAGTCGAGATTTTTACAAATCTCGACGTTTTACACCTCACTGATACGGAAAAACATAGTTTTGCAGTCTTGTCCGTATGTCTGTGTGTCTCTGTGTGTGTGTGTGTCTGTGTGTGTGTCTGTGTGTGTGTGTGTAAACACGATGACTTGAGTACCGTTACAGCTAGGTTGATGAAATTTCATATATAAGTATTTTATCAAAATGGTAGATCCGTATCAACTTTAAAGCGATTTCGGGTAACCGGAAGTGGTACTTTTTTTGCTTTGAATTTTTCAAAAGCCTAAAACTTGAGTACTATTTCAGATAGATAAATAAAAATTTACATGTAAGTAAAAGATCTAATTCTCTACCTACTTTCAAATTTTGAGTAATTTCCGTTGAGCGGAAGTAGTAATTTACGCTATTTCCAATTTCTCAAAAAACGCATGTAAATTTATAAAGTACTAATAATATTGCGCACTATTTTGCACATCTTTATTAGGCGTTCAATTGGTGTGCAGTTGTTTTTCCACGAGATTTTACTCTATTTTAAAAAGTTTAAGTATTTAAAATGGATTAAAAATCATGTCCATATCCCGAGTTCCCATCCCCTGTTGTTTTATATAAGAATATTCGAGAAAGTTTAGGGGAGATATTCCCGGTTTATTTCAATTACTTTATTTATTTTCTTTTTTGTACGCGTACGCGTACGTGTACGTGTACGTGTATATATATATATATATATATATATATATATATATATATATATATATATATATATATATATATATATATATATACATGTACGTATACTTTAACGTGTTTATATATCTATATATCTATATATAGATATATAATGGCCAGAACCATTAATATGATTCTTATCATGCTGTGACAAATGTGAAAAATTTTGAAATAAATTATTTTGTCATATATATATATATATATATATATAAATATATATATATATATATATATATATATATATATATATATATATATATATATATATATATATATATATATATATATATATATATATATATATATATATATATATATATATAGCATTCACGCGATTTTGACTATGACATCATTGGGAGCCAAAGGAAAAACTAAGCATGAAATATTGAGGACTCTTGGAATTAAGTCTTCAGAAAATGTTTCTTCTTTGTACTCAGAATTCTACGAAGGGGTTAGATTTAATATCCAATTTATTAAAATTATATATTAATTGTCACCTTTTTTAGCAAAAAAAAAAATCTATTTTCAAAATGTGAAAAAAAAAAGAAAAAAAATCTTGCTTAGTTTGATAGCAACGTAGGACATTTTTTTTTAAACGTAAGTTTATTTAAAAAGTTACGTCGGTATTAAAGTTTAAAAAATACAGAACTGCAGACGAAAAAAACGTGTATTTCTTTCAAGCCGTCATTCCTTTATTGCTAAATAACTTTTAAATCTGCTAGATAAAGTCTTTGCGCAGTGCTGACATTATATTGGCTAACGCCATGTTTTCCAAACCTGTTGGAAAAATCAAGTCATCATTCTCTGAAGAAGTTAAGACCAAATTTTGCGCCATAACAGAGAGTTTTGACGTACTCGCCTCTGAAGGACCCGAGGAAGAAATCAACAACTACATTGCTGAAGCCAAGAAAAACAAGATTGAAGACGCTTCGCCACAAGGTTGTTCTTAAGTTTATGTATGTTTAAAACAATTTTTTTGTAGAACTAATGTTCAGAAACCATAGTGGTATATAGAAAAAGAAAGGTTATTATCGAAAAGGATCCGAAACTCATAGTAACATTTGTTTTCTTTCTATCCAAGAAGGGTACAAAACTCGGCATTTTTCTTCTAACAGTAAATTAGAAAACACTTGTAACTCTACCCTACTTAGAATAATACAGAACCCTTTTGGTTGCAACACTTTAAACCTTGAATGCCTTGATTTAAAAAATCATTAAGGAAATTAATTAAAGTACACTGTTTTTTGAAAGTACTGTAGGCCAAAAGGCCAGTAAGACCTTAGCAACAGAAATATCTAATTGCAAATAAACCATTGGGGGGGGGGGGGGGGGAGGGGCGGGTGACACCTTGTCGAAAAGTGACTAAATATATAGAAGAAATATTCTTTTTGCAAGTTCAATCAATGCTTTATTCGTTTTAATCCACTATACTGTGACTATACAGAAATGACTAT